GATCCTAGTACAGAGTATATGGAAGCTACATGTAGACTGGGACTCTCCGCTGCCTGACGCTCTCGTTCATGAATGGAAGGATATCCTGTCCGATCTGTCCTGCGCAAGTGACGTTGCCATTCCTCGCTTCATTGGACCAAAAATCCACGTCGACAAGGTCACCTATGAACTCCACGTCTTCTGTGATGCGTCTCAAGATGGTTACGGTGCAGCCGCGTACCTGTGTGTGAGACAAGTTGACGGTGCCTATTCGTCAGTTGACCTGATCTACAGCCGAACACGAGTCTCGCCCATCAAAGCAACAAGTATACCACGTCTAGAGCTCCTAGCAGCACTCATCGGCGCCAGGATCATCAAATTTCTGAAGAAAGAGCTTCTGGGCGCAGTTCACATCTCAGCTACCCACCTGTGGTCTGACTCACAGTGCGTGCTTGGCTGGATTAAGAATACTGAGAAATCGTACCCTGTCTTCATCGCCAATCGGTTGAAGGAAATCCGTGCAGACCAGAGTGTGTGCTTCAACTATATCCGTACAGCCGACAACCCAGCCGACCTACCATCCCGTGGAGCATCGCTAGCCACACTGACAGACAGTACAGCTTGGTGGTGTGGTCCAGAATGGCTTCGAGATCCTCCTGTACACTGGCCCAAAGACGTCATCGATGCTCCTTCCACAGTACTATTCGCGGCGGAGGGTCCTGCGGAAACCGAGACCAGCAGCAAGCCATCACCGCTGAGTATAGATGAGAGCAAGTATACTTCGTTTGAGAAGCTAGCCCGTGTAACAGCATACGGTATCAAGTTTGTCAAGAGATGCCGTCAACAGACCACATGCGGCACTCATTTGTCTGCTGCTGAAATCGACAACGCCAAACATCTGTGGATTCAACATGTTCAAGCAACACACTATACACCGGAGATTGAGGCTATCAAAAGCAACGCCAAGAACAAGCTGGTCCAAAACCTTGCGCTCTTTCTAGATGAACATAACCTCATCCGCTGCAAGGGTCGATTGGAGAATTCATCCCTACCATACTCAGCGAAGTATCCCATCCTTCTACCTCGTTCACATCCAGTAACCACAGCTATCATCAATGACTGTCACCGCATGGTGCTGCACAGTGGAACTAACCATACCCTATCGCGAGTCAGGTATGACTATTGGGTCCCCAGAGGACGACAAACCGTCAAGACTGTACTCAAGAAATGTGGTGTATGCAAGAGGTTCAATGGTCGGCCGTACTCGCTACCGAAAATGGCACCCTACCCTCCAGAGCGCGTAGCTGAGTCTAAACCGTTCACACACGTTGGCGTCGACTACTTTGGCCCAATGACAGTCAGAGAACATGGACTCATCCACAAGGTATGGGTGTGCCTATTTACGTGCATGGTCACACGTGCCATCCACCTCGAGCTTGTTGCTGATATGACCACAGAACAGTTCCTGATGGCATTGCGCAGATTTGTGGCAAGAAGAGGAGTACCGCGCAAGATCTTCTCTGACAACGCTCAGCAATTCCTGCTTTCGAAATCGACTCTACAGCTTGCTTGGGAAGCCATTGTGAAGGATGACCACACTCTTAATTATGCTGCTTCCCATGGAATCGAATGGATTTGCATTGTGCAACTCTCCCCATGGATGGGCGGGTTCTATGAACGGTTGATTGGAATCGTGAAGAAAGCCCTCCGTAAGTCTATTGGCAGACTAGTTCTCGGAACAACGGAGCTGTCAACCATTCTCGTCGAAGTTGAAGCAGTAGTAAATTCACGACCGCTGGTGTACGTAAGCGATGAGATCTATACGGTCTTGACACCTGCCCACTTCTTATCATTATCAGCCGAAATCAGTCTACCCCAAGGGCATGTAGAAGAGGACCCTGATTTCGCCCCAACAATGTCGTCAGCGGAACTGCTACTTTCTACGTGGAAGAAAGGTCAGAAGCGATTGAATGAGTTTTGGAACTGTTGGAGATCTGAATACCTAACCAGTCTACGAGAACGGCAACAATCGCAGTTGAAACAGGTTGCTCATTCTACCGTGAAGCCAAGGATTGGACATGTGTGCCTCATCAAGGATGACGCGCCCAGAGGTATGTGGAAACTGGGTATCATCAGCGAACTTCACGCTAGTCGTGATGGAGAAACGCGTTCCGCCACTGTGAGGACGCCCAATAACAAGCTCCTACGGCGCTCACTACAGCACCTATATCCGTTGGAGTGTGAGTCTGCTCGACCTGCTGACCACTCGTCGAATGAACCACAGCCTCCCGCTGTAACCAACGACGCACACGTCCCTGCAACAGCTTCTCGACCGGTAAGACGAGCTGCTATCGAAGGCTTAGGACGTGTCCTGGATTTGCACGAGGCAGACTTGGTTTAGTTCACCATGCTGGTGTCTGTCTCAATCAGCTATCATCCACTCAAGCTGTATAATTATGTTCACCCCCCTTTTTATTCGAGTTTTCTTTTCCTCTGCCAACTTGCTCTCCCACTCACTACTTTGGCACTAGGGTGTAGTATGGGCTCCATGACTTATGTGTCCTTGCTCTTCAGTACCTTCGCAATTTGGTTCACAAGATATGTCACATCATTAGCGTAGCCTGTCAGGAGACATGCGTCTGTGGGGACTGCCCTAGTTAACATTAACAATACCCAAATAATAATAATCACCTAAATACGCGGTTCTTATGCGCTATTATAATCTTTCTCCCTTTGGTCACCAGGTCTTTTGTGATTGATCGCTCCACCTGTGTGTGGGAATGTCGTGATTACATCACGAAGTTGTACATAATATCACGTGTATGTTTGTGTGACGTTATCGTCCACGTAGCATTAGCCCTTTTGTTTGTTTTGATGGCTTTATGGTTTTACCCAGCTTCTTGATGATTAGAGATTAGAGTAAGTCATGTAGTACTGAATGAGAATTAATCCCAGTCCTTATGAAGTTAGTTATGTTGTGGAACTAAGAGAGTCTAGACTCTAGTCACAACAAAAACAAGTACATGTACAGCGTCTTTCCAACCAGTCTTGGCGGTGAATTGGGAACCTCGCTGCTCGCTGGTGCAACGACAGGATCACAACCTTACCAAGGGCTCCAGTGTGATGTTTTCTGAGCGGAGGAGAGTACTGCTGTATAGCAAGGCAGTTGATTCTGCCATGAATCATGTGAATGGCGTAGAAAGGACACGCGAGATAATAGCACCTAGAAAGTGCTTTTTCTCTGTTTACTCTACCGAGCCTTGCCATTTGCATGTCAACCTCAGCCTGCAGAGGGCCTATTCGAGGACATCACACAAAGGAACCTGAATTAGCTTGAATTGCCAGGAACGATGATTGCCAGCAGCGGCATCAGGAGGGGTCCTTGTATTGTACACATCGCGTTATAACGTTAGACCAGCCCGCTACTAACATGGTGGAAAGAAGGATGAAGATGTGTGTCTTTTCTTATTGTCCGCAAAGATGTGTGTCATGTTTTATAGCGGATGTCTTGTGGAGAGTGTGGTTCGGGATGTCCCCTAGAGAAGGACTTATTCGTCGGAAGATATCGAGGGATATCCACGGAAAATGCATGCTTGAAGGACAGCATCATGATAAGCTCTGTACAGTCAACTTCGCTTATAACGCCACTCGGCGGGGCATCAAAAAGGTGTCCTTATTCGCGAAGTGTCGTTATACCCGAAGTCTCATTATAATTATGTATTCCAGTGGGATGGGACTTTGCTCTGGGCATGGAAATTCTGTCGTTATTCGCGAATTGTCGTTATATCCGCAGTCGTTATTAGCGAAGTTGACTGTACTTGTGTTAGTACCCTACCTGTAGGCCCTGTTGGTGGTGTCTTCAAGGCATTCTTCACATCACCCACATGCCTACATCGACCTACCCTGCTGCCTGCTGCTGGTGAGCGAGGACTGAGGAAAACCCGACACATGTGTCCCTCTTTGTCTAAGTCCAAGCGCGTGGACAAAGGACGCCGCCGCGTATGAAGACGGAAACATCTTGTAATGCATGGAATGCGTGGGGAGGAGCTACAGTACCTCACATAAAGTCTTTGTTCTTGTACAATTTATATTATTAGCCTATTGTTGGTACCTGTAATAAAGGTGTGTATATTCAGACGTGTACTTGCAGTTCTGCATGATTGTGCATGTACTGACAGAACAGTCCCCGCCCCTTAGTTTCCGATCCAATGCTACATTTGTAGTGTACAAGGCGAGATGCTCCTAGATTCTACGAGCCGTCGATGATGTCTGCGTTCGGTGTGTTTGGGAGCGGTGCTTCTCAATCAAGGCATCGAGCCATCTGGGTACATCTGAGCGATTTCCGCCGAAAGACGCCTTCTCAATCTGCGCTTTCACCGTTTCGGCCACACTGCATGACATGGAACTGCTGTAGCCTGTGCGACCCTGATTTGATCATAAGTGTCACAATGGTCTCTGTACTGTCCGAATTCACCTGGTGGTCCAGTGGTGGATATAAAACTGGAAGGGTCCGGTCAACTAAACCGTAAACGTCGTTACTTCGAAGGAACTCAAGCGCAGGCTGGGTCAAACCCCGTCGACGTCTGCGATTCGAGTGGCATACTGCCATGGCATGGTTGTTGAGTATGTCGAGTGATTGCAACCACCCGTGCACGGCGGGGTGACTCGCAACACAGGAAGTAGCGTCGACGATCGAGTCAATCGATCTCATCACGTGCACGTGGATTCTACGTCTTTGATCGAGCCTGTTGATGACCAAAGACCGTCACTGAGAAAGTATGTATCGCCTCTACTGATCAGGTCAGATCAGAGGGTGTAGCTGGCCCACAATGGGCCCCATCGACTCCCTACACCGATCTCTCGTGACCGTGCCCGAAAAAGTCACCGAATCCGTCGAAGTGCCAAGCATAACATTGCAGCCATCGCGTGCGGTTGTTGCCCAGCACTAAACGTAAAACTCGTGTTACAACAAGCTTTGACCATGTGACCAGGGTGACTGGACGAGGGACAGTAGTAACCCGCTGAGCCTACAATCTAGTCCGACTAGTCGACTAGGCGAAGCCACAGTGCGCTGTTTGAGGTGACATTTTACTGCATGTGACAGTAGCTGGAACATCAGGGCGGTGCTGTCCCTACGAGTCGAGCCGTTTGCTGGTTTGGTTGACTTACTTGGTAAGTAGTTGCTTGCTGATATCAGCCCACACGGCGCATCGTCGGCCATCTCGCAGCCAGCAGTACGCAGGGAGGGCACACATACCAAAAGTTATCATCCTAAACCGTGGACCATCACCGTGTTGCGTGCTGGAAGGAGATCCTGAGTGGTGTTTGGTCACTGGCTCAACATCTGCGCCAAGATATTGAAGCAGAGGAAACGCCAAGGTTCCTTCCGACAGTGGAAGGAGGGCACCACCTTCACTAGCTCTTGCGGTGTGAAAGCTAGCGCGGTGCGACCATGGCCACCGACCCTCAGCAGATCACCTTGAAACTGATGGGAGGAAAGCCATGGGGCTTTCGCTTGCAGGGGGGAAAGGATCACGGAGCACCGCTGCAAATCACCAAGGTAGAACTTAGTCTTAGATACATGTCTGCCTGACTTGCAGGTGCAGTAGACGTTAGAACGAAATGGTTGTTGTGTTGCACTTACTTCGAGTTTTCCTTACCTTCTGTGTAAACTGTGGCGTTGTGCAGCTCGGATCTCAAGCTCCAGGCCTTCTCATTCAGTCGTGTTTTTGTTCACTTCAGTGATGGTTGTTGACCACAACGTAGCGAAAGTTACTACCTTTGAGCGGCCAAGTGAACGTACTTGTGCCCCAAGATCAGATCTTACACGCATAAATTATTGTCGAGGCCCAAGGCCAGGGGTTGTACACAACTAACTTGTTGCCCCAAGCATCGTTCCTATGGTCTAAAAAGCCCTTTGCCGCTGTCGACTTTAGTTGATTCTTCACTTTTGTATGTGTCGTGCGTTCCTTGATTTGTGTGCACAGCTCCAGCGCGACGGAAAGGCTGCACGGCAAGGCGTATGCGAGGCGGATTACATCCTGGCCATCAACGATGTTGTCTGCGACAAAGTCCTTCACAGCGAAGCGCTGAGCCTGCTCAAGACCTCGGGTCCCACCATCACGTTGAAACTGCAGCGGTATGTAGACCTCGTAGTGTACTTGTACTTGTAGTCTGTAGTCTGTACTAGTTGTAGTGTAGACACCATTGGATCGTGGAGATCTGCCCCGAAAGTGGCGAAAGAAGACTGAAGTACTTACTGTAGTACCTGCGTTGGCGTGTAGTCAGTGTGACGGGGATCATTGTTCCCGGTTTCTATGGGCAGACCACATGCCACCACGTGTAGGAGCGTCACACAGTTGTAAATGATGGTTGAAAAATGCCATTCCCTGACTCTTGCAACAGCGTTTCTAGGACATGTAAGTGTGACATGATCACGAACCATGATCAATGCACTTAGAAAATGGATCCTAGTACTAGTACTAGGCACCAACTACTTACTTGAAACCGGGGTGGGAGGTGTGACTCTTGCTCCAGCACGCATCTCTTGCAGTTTGGTGGTACATGTACCTGTTTCTCCCAGCTGTCACAGATGAAAATACTGGAATCATTGTGCCCCTAGCATTATTATTATGATCTGACCTTGACTATGGCTCCTGTGTGAGCAGTGCCACGCCCATTCTTGTGCCCTCTTGAATGTGCTAATGTCGTAATGAGTAATGTATTCCAAGTGATCCCTAGCGCTAATAAGTCGTTTCCACCCCTTTGTAATGCATGAATGTGGGTAACAGTATAGGTAAGGGTGGGTGCAAGCTGCAAAGTACTTCCTGGGGATTCTTCTGCTGCTTCATCCATCATAAAATTATAGTAGTATTGAAAAGTCTGTTGTGGCCTAGTTTGTTGTTGTTGTTTTTGATTTTACTTCACAAGGCCAAACGGGCAATGGTGCCCAATTCTATGGAAGCGAATTTCAAAGCGGGAGAGAGCGAGGGGGGGGGGGAGGGAGGGAGAGAGAGAGAGAGAGAGAGAGAGAGAGAGAGAGAGAGATACAGAGTTTCTCCTCTTCGTTAGGTTCCTTTCTCCTTCTTAGAGGCGCACATGAGTAACGATGAATCGGAGACCCTTGGTCGGAGGAGTTACTTCTGCCAAAAAAGAAGTAAAAGAAAAAGTTGTGTTGTCCTCCATATCCAATGTGCTCTGTCTCTGGCGTGTATAAAAGAAAGCATCGCTGCCTGTTTGGGCTGTGACGTTAAATAAAATTCAACAACGATGATAACGACAATGGCAACGGCAGCAGCACCACCACCAGCAGCAACAGTAATAGCAACAACAACGACGACGACGACGACGACGACGACGACGACGGCGGCAGCAGCAGCCGCCGCAGCAGCAGCAGCAGCCGCCACAACAACGACAACAACAACAACAACAACAACAACAACAACAACAACAACAACAACAACAACAACAACAACAACAACAACAACAACAACAACAACAACAGCAGCAGCAGCAGCAGCAGCCGCAACAACAACAACACCCAACAACAACAACAACAACAACAACAACAACAACGACGACAACAACAACAACACCGACAACAACAACAACAACAACAACAACAACAACAACAACAACAACAACAACAACAACAACAACAACAGCAGCAGCAGCAGCAGCAGCAGCAGCAGCAGCAGCAGCAGCAGCAGCAGCAGCAGCAACAACAACAGCTGAGAAAGGCAACTACATACATATTCTCCCAACTGAGTACTGGCTGTTCCGTGTGACAATACTCTGCAGATTATGAGGGGAAACAAAGCTAGTTAGTGATGACAGTTCGAGGAAATAATAATATGCATATCTGGCCTAGGCACAGGCCTGTCGCGCCCCAGACTCGGTCTCCAGTACAACTAGGGGATGCAGCTGTGCTTCCAGATAATTATCATTGGGTGATTGTGACTGTAGTCAACCAGTTTGACGAAAGAGAATTTCTGTTGCCACTTCCTAATCTTTGTCCAGTGGAACAGCTCCAGTTCGACAAGGCGAGTCGATCGATGCGGGCAAGGCCAGACCACCGCAGTGGTTGGCAAGGAGTAGCAGCTTCAAACGACGCAAGCTCCGTGCTGCCCGGCCTGACAACCAAACAGATGATGACGAGGACAAAGATGCATCGACTGAAGCGGCAGCACACGCAGCAGAAGACGATGTGGATGGTGGTGGTCAGTCACGACAAGCCAGTGAAATCATTGTCAATGAACCTGTCGTTTCAGAGGTTGCTGCTACAACAGATGAGAAGTTAACATCGGGAGAACCAGCAGCTCCAGAGGCTGTACCACAGCCATCAACAAATGAAGCCAGTGAAGATGCAGCTGCCACTTCTCCTGCAAAGAGTCCGGCAGCGGAGCAGAAGGGGGAGATGAAAGTGAAACCTGACTCCATCGAGCTGCTGTCATCGCCGACGAAATTCAGCCGACCTGCTGCTCCAGGACGTGGAAATCGAAGGTAAGAGCTTGTCTGTATCACATTCCCTCCATCATTGAAACCCCACACTGACTGGTATATGCTCACCGTTATGGAGCAGTATAACACAAAGGTGCCTTGGAAAAGGAAACTTTAAGATTCAGCTACTAGTACACGTACTACCATTTTCACATGTTCGGTTTGTTTGTTTTTTTGTGACGGTCATCTCCTGAAGATGATGCGGAAAGTTCTGCACTTTCTTATGATCATACTTCTTGCTGAAGAATTCCAACTTGTGGCTTGCTTGAATGACCTGATTAGCAGCAGTTGCTTGAATGACCTGATTAGCAGCAGTTGCTTGAATGACCTGATTAGCAGCATAATGAGATCTACAGTACCATGACTGGCTACAAACAGATGCGATCCATCCGTATAATGAATGAATTATCGGTGTTGACTAGAGGTGTGATGTGTGATAGTGTTGGCTAACTTTTTTCCCACTCACTGTGTTCCACAGGATTACTGCAAAGACAGTCACCAGTAGCAAGTCAGACGCGGAAAGCAACATATTGGTAAGCTAGGTTGCGCTCTAGCCGCATGATCAATCGCTGTAGCTGTGGATGGTCTTGTTGCTGACACTGGAGGTTATGTGCATTATCCTCTACCAGTTGTTCCTGTTCTCTTTCTGCCTCCGTCACTTCTGAATTTAAGTCACACTTCAAAAGTACAACGGTACCTGTGGTGTTCAGCATGGGGCGGAGGTGCCAGTGTGTGTGTGTGTGGAGGGGGGATCTGATACCCAATGCTCGTGACACCTCTCGTGTGTGCCCCCCCCCCCCCCAACACTTATTGGCAAGTTATTGCCTATGATTACATGTATAGGCAAGCACGCCAACGTTATATCTGTATGATAACAATTGCTCTGCTACAGCCAGCTGCTGGAGGCAAGGGTGCATCTGATAAGGCCTGGTACAAGCAACTCTTCAAGAGCATCAACATAGCTGATGAGGAGGAATTGTCTGCTGCTCATCAGCAGTCACTATCCGTGCCGAAAAGCCCAAGAAAAGGTATGGGGATGCATGCTGTGCAGTTTTCACCATGGAAGACAACAAGAAACACCAAACAACATACCTTCAACAATGATCAGTGTACCTCTTTAAAAAGTTTGTTTTGTTATCAGAATGCTGTCAGCTCAGCTGGCAGTATGCCACAGACACAGAATACGATTCGCTCCTTTTGCTTATGTTAATCTGTGTCTACTGCTTCATTTGTGTGTGTGTGCACGCGCGTGTGTGCATGTGTTTGCCATGGTACAGTGGCGCGATCACCTACATTTGGAGGCTCGTCGTCACCACGGGTAAGATAGCCATAGCCATGCATTTGTTTTGGAGTTTTTCTCGCTAGTTTTGTTTCTTTATCTCATGGTCCCATCTGCCGTGTGCATGTCGGATGTCCATATATTCTTAGCCTGCCCGGCTATACAGTTACTGCTGACTCACCCAGTCATGTGACCTTGTTTTAACAGACAATGCCGGCTGAAAACACCGTACAAGGGAAGACCAGGTTGAATTTTGAATGGTGAACGTTCAACTGCCAGTCTCGCTTGTCTTTTAATTTATCTTCCTTTCTTTGTTTCTTTAGATTGTACCGGCGATTGCACCGAAACCGAAGATGAAACAGTAAGTAACAGATCAGGCCTGACTGACCAACAATGCTGAACCTATTCAAGTACCGTGGCTGTGCCTTGCAGGCTTACATTTGTACCCGCACAAGCAAATCTGAGAGGCAGGTCGTTCCGGCGACACAAGTTATTTATTCGAAGATGCTTGCCATTGCGGAGTTTTGTGCTGAATTGGATTAACTGGTTATGCTTGTGTTATGCCGATGTGTGTTATGCAGGAGATCGCTTACCACCGATTCCGTGCAGGATCGGCTGCAGACAGGTGAAGGGTCAGCTGAACAGCTGGCTACATCTCCATCGCGAGGACGTAGTAATACTGTGTGTGATCCCACGACAGCCAGCAGTAGCAGCGGTGCTAAACCACCAGTAGCCAAGAAACCAACAAAGCCACCAAAACCAGTCAGCCCGCAGAAGCCCGTATCTTTGCAGTCGCATGCAAAGGGCCAGCAAACAAGCAGCTCATCTTCCCAGTCCACTCCTCAGCAACAAATATCTCCTACGAAAGTATTCTCGCCTTCATCGGCTAGCCCCATAGCAGTAGTCAGTCCCACTTCCCCGATTCAGCAGCAGCAGCAGCAGCGCATGAAGCCCACGGTATCCCCCAAGCCCAGTGTAAACATAGCTCCAAAGGGATTCTCATCGCGTCCACCACCTGCTCGCAGCACTCCCTCACCCAACAGGCAAGACGCAGTATATGTTCATCATGAGAGCACTGAAGATATTTCCAGAGAAGCAACTGGCAGTGAAGCGTGTACTGCTGAGGCACCCGCTGCAGACGCACCTCAAACTGACACACCAATCGAGCAAAGCCACAGTGATCAAGTTGAAAGCCAAGAGACTGAGCCGGCGGTAGTACAAAGTAGTGCACAGCCTGAAGACACGGCTGCTGAAGAGAAGTCACCTGAATCAGTAGTGGATACTGCACTGGCCAGGGTTTCAGATGCTGCTGATCAGAATGGCAACACTGTGCAACAGGCCAGCAGTTCCCATGAGGCACCCGAGCCTGAGCTACCACAGGCTGTAGAAGCACAGGCTGTAGAAGCACAGGCTGTAGAAGCACAGGCTGTAGAAGCAGAGATAGAAGAAACCCAGACAACCATGGATACCGAGGATTCAACGAAACAGGCGCCTGAAGAAGAGGTGGCGGCGCAGATGACTGTGGAAACCAATCTAGAATCAGCGCCCATCGCAGAGCCTGATCTTCAGGAAGTGAATGAACCCACGGAAACAGCTGAGGACAGAGTTGATGAGCCATGTGTTGCCGCTGCCAATGCAGACTCGGATGTACAGCAGAGTGCATCTGATGTGGTTGAAGACACTGTGACTTTCGGTGAGGCTGCTACCGATGAGACCGCTGTGACCGCAGAAGTGGAAGACATTGAGCATCCAGAGATTGATGATGGACAGGATGTAGCAGTTCCTGATGAAATGGAAAAACAAACCGACGAGGGTGATCAGAGCGTTGCAACAGCTTCTACCGCAGAAGTAGCAGCGGAGGAAGTGGCTGACGATCAGCCCCTTGCAGAAAGTTCAGGTGATGTTGGCGACTCAGCAGCCGCGGAGGAACTGGCTGACGATGCGCCACATGCTGAAAGCTCAGGTGACGTCGGCGACTCGGCCGCGAACGATAATGCGCCAGCACCAGGCAGCAGTTTTCAAGAGAACACACCAGCCAGCGAAGTAGCCGCATTGGTCGAGGAGCAGATCATTCCTGCGCGGGTGGTGCCGAGTGAAGATATTTATGAGGATGTAGTCCACACGGAGCCCATAATAGCTGATAACAATGACCTGTATGATGATGTTCTGTTCGATGATCGTGTCGACGGCAAAGTGGCCGGCAATCAGAAAGAGCACGAGGTCAAAGTAAGTACATGACATTGTACAATGTCAAAATTAGACATGCTAGGCACTGAATGAGAGAGGTTAATCGGCAGCGGGGTGTGAACTATTTACCTTGCAATAAGCATGCGTCTGTGCCACTGCTATTTTGGGCTAGGCAATAGGACTTGCTCACTTGTAACTTTCGTATTGTATGAGAAACAGGGCCATCAATCACAGAATTGCAGGTGTATTACAAATAAGTTGATCATGATCTTGGCGGCCCGGTCTGATTCTCAATGCTATCTTGTGTTGCTCTTCACCCACTTGCCACTGGCTGTAGGAACTTCAGGCACACCATGGACTGGCAAAAGGACTGTTCACCTACACCGCACATTCTGCAAGGTGAGATTGCCGTGGGGTCTGGGTCTGTTGTGTCCCATTGAGTTCGGGATCAACAATGCGTGGCAATGCTGGAGAAGAATCATGTGTCCACTTCTGAGTATTGCTATGACCGTATTGCTCTTACTCGTTTCCGACGTTTCATCATACCTTGCAAACACAACAGGGCCTTTAATACAGTAACTACTCTGGCATGTTGAGACATGTTGTGCCACTGTTTGATTCTGCTCTCATCAAAAGTGCCTTTTTGAAACTTCATTCGCTGGGCTACTACATGTTGCCTCACAGAGAGATCAGCTTCCAGCGAGGTGACGAAGTCACGCTACTTCGCAAGGTCGACGACAACTGGGTGGAGGGAGAGTTCAATGGTAGTACAGGGATTCTCCCCGTCAACTATGTGGAAGTAAGTCATCTCTACATCATGGTGCTCATGCTGGTTCTTGGAACAGGCAAAAGGAAAGGCTGTTTGCATGGGACTTTCCTTTTTCTCTTTCGGGGGAGTCCCCAATTCACTTTGCGCTCCTGCATTGGCGACTTCAGTTGATTCATTCAGATCAGCTCAAACAAGATGAGTTCCTGTATGACTGCTAGATAAATCTTGCCTTCTGATCCGCTGTGTAAGAGGAATGCAAAGTTCAGTGAGTTGTACGAATTCTCGTAGAGAGGTGGTCACGCTATGCATTCTGGCTGTGCCTCTCTGACAGATACTGATCCCAATCCCCGAGAGTACCTCCCACCCTGCTGACACTCCAGCCGAACAGCAAGCAAAACAGACAGCAGCAGCAGCAACAACGCCTGCGGCTGCAGAAAAGGCAACAACCGCAACACCGACAGCCTCATCCAATACGGCAACCACCGCCACCTCTACCGCTGCAGCAGCAGCTGCAGCTGCCAGCACAGCAGCATCGAATGCACCGAGAAGCCGTTCCCAGTCTATTGTGACGAAACCCACAAGGGCACCGCCCAGTGCACCTGGAAACACTGGAAACACTGGAAACGGCAGCAACCCGGCAACAAATGAACCAGCAGCACAGAACAACAGGAGAGATGGTGCTGGAGACGAGGCCACGAAATTGGTCAAGCCGTGTGCCATTGCTCGCCATGAGTTTGTTGCTGATCACAAATGGGAGCTTTCCCTGAGAAAGGTAGGCTTCCTTTTAAGCCAATGCCCATCATTCTGTATTGGAGGAGGAGGAGGAGGAGGGGGGGGGGGGAGAAGAGAGGGGTACACAACACAATACGGTACTTGGGTATTTCAAGTCTTGTTCAGATATCTCTGGCCATCTTTTAAAATATTTTGTAAGTACATGTATGATAATGAAACAAAAGTAAAATTCGCACATTCGTGTTACCACCAGCTATACAAGAAGTAGCATGATGTACATTGATGCGACTCCCCCAGCTGCGTCATGTTACTGTGCGCCTGTTCTCTTTGCTCAGGGAGAGCTAGTGACGCTGCTAACACGTGTTGATGAAAACTGGTACGAAGGCCGACTGAGCGGCAAGAAGGGAATTTTCCCTGTGAGCTACGTGGAGGTATGTGTGAAAGTTGTGTGTATGTCTTTGACATTCATTGCTGTTGCCCGGCTGTTTCTATTTCTCTGGAGTATATTTTTAGCATCGATGATCTCCCATGATTATATCGTATACATTAAGTCAATGTTCACAAGTAAATTGTTCTATTTTGTGTCCATCCTGCCAAGTTATTCTTGGTCTTGCATGATCACTGGCTCAGTATGAGTCATACATTGACCGCACTGGCTGCAGAAACTACTGGTAGACCTGAGACGTAAAAAAAAGAAAGAAAGAAAAGAAGCTGCAGGCTTAGTGGTGTGGCTGACATTGGTAGGACGTATCCTGTTCGTGTGTTTCTGGTTAGGTTCTATGCGATGTAGAGCCAAGTACCAATGGACAATCAGAAGGTAAGTACTGGTATACAAAGTACTTCACAAAGCATGTCTACATTGAATGGTAGGCTTCACATGCATGAACATACTAGTAAAAGATGTGAGCAATATCACAAATATCACCTCGACTTCGATGGATACTGGCGAGTTGAATCATCGGATAAATCTGCTCTTTTGGGTGTTGTGAAGCCGGATGAGATGATTACATGTGAGACCAGTTGAGCAGGCCATCCAAAGTGACACCAGTATAATTATGTTCTATTTCCACTGTTTACCCATTCCTATGCAGCTTCAAGCACAACGACAAATAAGAACACTGTGAGTTGTTGTTGTTGGTGGTGGTGGTGGTGGTTTTTTTTTAAAGATATCCGCCAGAATTATGTTGCTTTGCACGTTAATTCGTTATCGGTATGCACAGAGGTTATGGCTAAAAGCTGTGGACTTGTGATGTTATACTAATGCGAGTTTACTCTTCAGAACTCTTCTTCCTGTTCATCGCACTATATCGCCCGTATACTAGTACTTTGAGGACTTGCAGGATATGTTGTTCATTTTATGCATCTTTGTGAATGGCAAATGAGGCACAGGTTTCCAGGGGCATTGCCGCTTAGCACTGCTGCAGCACGAATTGAATCAGTTCCCATATGATCCGCCGGATAATAAACAAATGCACGGTCGTATGCAAACTACATACAGCTGAAAATGGCGACATCTAGTATTACAAGCCAAAGCAAAGGTGTTTCGTCATCAAATTCTTCCAAAGAGAGATAGCATAGCCTCAGGAGTCAGGGATGCTACACAGGATGGGGATGGAGCCAGGAAAGAAGAATGGCATTGTAACTGTGTTCCCTTTTTTCGTTGCTCGTGTACAGGCACCGACATCCAAAGACACTAAAGGAGAAAAGTGAGTACATGTACTTGTACTTGAATTCTGAGGAGCTCTGCATGAATCAAGCACAGATCGTGTATGATGGATCGGAGTACGACGTACACAATTACACAAACTGAGTCACAAACGTATGTACGAGGGCTCGTGCGTGGGTGGGAGAGGGGCCGCAGTCTGCCCAAAGAGAGATAACTATTGATTGGCTGAGCCTTTTCATTGGATGATGAAAGCATGAAGCTTTGATAAGTGACCGACTTCCTTGCCCCTGCCCTTCCCCGCTCTGTGTGTATCGGATCAACTGTCCATTGGACCCATCATATCAGTCTACACATCTTGGGCCGGTTAGCGTAGAATAGTTTCCCTGATTGCTGTACCTTCATCTCCTGTGCCTTGTTTCGTTGCTTTCCGCCTGCTGCATAGGTACGTGGCTATGTTTACTTACGTGGCGCAGAATTCGGACGAGCTTGACCTGACGGATGGCGACATAGTAATGGTGGAAGATAAGTGTGATGATGGCTGGTTCGTTGGCAGGTCGGTGAGATCGGGAGAATTTGGAACATTCCCCGGTAACTATGTTAAGGCTGCGTGATGGCTCCATCAACGAGTTTACCTCACTGTTCAGTGCACCACCGTAGCATTACCTCCAGCGCAAGCTAGTTGAACAACTTTCAACACTCACGCGGCAGGTCTGTCAGCCCGCACGCAAGCAATGGCATCGCTCACGGACGTCCTATCTGCTTCCGTCGATGTACTGCTGCTCTGCTTCTGCGAGGGCAGTGGCGGCAGGGTCTAACAGATATCATAGTACTGCCCGACTCTAGTGGTATACCTGCCGCTGAACACTCATGAGTAGCTTAGCTAGTCTGTGTGCATCTACATGTACATGTATGTGTGCAATATATGTTGCCGTGCATCACAATGTCCCATTGAACAACACTACCATGCTCCAAAGCTGCCAGAGCTGCACACCGGCTGTCGATAGTTGCCGCAGTGCCAATGCATGCCCGACGTGTTAGGATCAAAGGCCAGAATTGCCGCTATCAGATATGCGTCTTCTATTCGCGGCTGCTGCACCGGTGTGGGCTCTATACACTGATCACCACGGTGACCAGCACAGTTGAGTAGGTGGAGCAATCGCACAGTATATAGGTATGTGCTGGATCATGATATGACTGTCACAGTAATATTGCCAAATTTGACGTGTAGTGGCTTGTCTCCAGAAAGACAACTCTCTCTATTATTTGCCGGAACCGCCACGCCAGATATTATACAAGACTGGAATTTTTCATTGCCATTTATACAGAATTCTGATGAAACCATGGATACCGCAGTGGCGTTCTATCTATGTTTTATGTTACACCGTTCAGTGCTGCGAGTACATCTTTGGTCTTGCCGGGAACTTGGAGAGAGAGGGGGAAGGGGGCAAATATCATTATGGTTACAATGTGGCAGAAACGGAGCTGGTTTTACAGTCACGGCCGACTTAGCAGAGCTTGTAGCCGCTGAGAACCGTGTGCCTGATACTGCTCATCCGAGAAGGAGAATGGGACTAGAAAAGCTACAGCATTTTTACACACATGTTCATGGTTGGTCCATGCAGTAGCAGAATTATTGTTGATGTCATTGCACCAGGGAGTTGTACTCGTACCGCAAGTTTAGCGAAACCCTGCCGATTTCACGCGGCCACAGACTCGCAGTGCCGCATGATGCCTCGTATACACGTATAGTATGCTCATGAAGGCGTCATCATCCCCTCCAGAAAAGGTGACGTCAACAACAAATTCCACTGTGGACCATGTACCAGACCAGGGAGTAGTACAATACCGTCAAGACTAGATAAACAAGAGTGTGCACCTCCGGGATGGGTTGGCCCGCGGCGGAATTTCAAAAGGTTTTGTTGACGTAATCTTTTCGACAATGCACGCGCTGCGAGTCTTTTGGAAAGTTTTGCCTCGTGCACTTGGCCGGGCTTTACGTTACAAAGTCGGTGCCCAGCACGTGCTCTCGCACTGCTCTGGGGCAAAATGCGCGTTCTTCTGAAAAAACTTGAGGTGACGTCAACAAAAAATTCCGCCGCGGGCGGGGGTATCTGGAGATTGTGCAGAAGAGATTCGGAGTTGCACACTCTTGTTTATCTACTCTTGATACCGTGTTACTCCCTGGACCAAACCGTTAGTAAGCAGAGTCGACACTCTTCAACGGTTTATAATCATGAGACTGTGACTCCGAGTTTATCATGAGTAAGTTGGTGCCAGGGAGGTGCTTGCCTGTAAAACGGAGGCTTTCTTAGTGTCATACAAACAACTCCCTGGTACATGATCTCAGTCACTCACTTATTTCACACCAGCAGATCAAGAGGACCCTGACCCTGACCTTGACCTGCACTCTTGTCGTCTTCAGTGACCTGGCCAGCTGGAGAGGACTCTTGACCTGCATGGTACTTGGTGGTCATGATGGAGCGGTAAAATCTGCGCAAAAGATGAAAATCGCCGAGGCCGATGCGCCTAAAAAGGCCGAACTCGGATCACCTTCTTGGAGTCGTCATAGTTACTGACCCACGCGTAGATCTACGCAGTTTCCGCGTTTAGCACGTGGAATCGCTGTTTCAACACGTACACAGCAGCGAAGTGCGTATTTCCTCGGTCGAATGAGTTTGGCCCACGTGTATCTGGGTGGTGTTACATTTGCCACAAATCGACCTGTTTTGTTGCCAGTTTGGTACTCTTTTTAGTATTTTCACTTCTAAATTATTGTCAATATTGACTCAGGCTAAGAAGAAAACCTAAATACACAGAGCTCTCTCGCTTTATTAGGCCCGATTAGCTCCCTTACCTCCAAGCATGGCGTCGAAGTCATTTTCAGTATTGGCAATATTCGCAGTTCTATGCCTAGTGTATCAGCTGCCCGCAGTATGTTCAGAACCAGCGTCCGAAGCACCCGACTCCAAACCTATTGAGCAGCCCGACGCAGCGAAAGAGCCAGCAGAAAAAACAACCAAGGAGCCCGAATTCAGCAGTCCCGAATATGCCAAGAACTCCTTCTGCGGATACTGCAAATACTGCAAGGTACAATCAACTGACTATGTAGTTAAAACTGCTCCGCTGATCTACCATGATAATAGGATGAAGAAGAAAAAAACAGAGAAAATTCTTGCACTGTCGTCATGTCCGTGAAACGACTCATTTTAAAAATCTCTTCTTCATACGATAGTATTGCACACAGTGTTAATATGATTTTATGAACATAGCAGACTCAGCGGAGGACGTTCAGGTTGGTTGTAACTCTGAGTTTCATGCCGCTAGGCAATCATCAGACAACTGAAAACTCAGAGTTACAACCAACCTGAACGTCCTCCGCTGAGTCTGCTATGTACTAAGCTCTGTCTCTGACATTGAGCACTCTCTGCAGCTCGGGGATCAACGGATTTGATTTTATGAACTATAATATTCAATGAGCTAGGCCGCTATACTGACTAGAAATCTACAGAACGATGGCACAAGGAACACGAACAGCTTTTACTCACACCCTGGTGCATCGGATCACGGATCATGCTTCGGTGTTGCCCAGCAACTGCGGCACTGCTCAGGCGTAGAACGGGAATTCACAGTACATGGTAGGGTGCGTAGCTCGTGTATACTGTATAAGCAGAAATATTCGTCTGGAATTTAATTTCGTCTTTTTCGTCCAAGGAGCTTTTGGACTAAATTAAATGTAGGACGAATATCGATTTGTCCAGCGTTTCTTTACACTCTTATGGCCCATGGACGAAATTTCCAACCGGACGAACTCCTTTTCTTTGGAGTTGGACGAAATTATTGACCGACGAAATTTTCTGCCTGTACAGTAGTCAGTGTAGTGTGGTTACCACAGCAGAAAATGGCCGTCATAGGTACTACATGTACATAGGCAAAATGGCGGCTATGAGGTTGCCGGTGGTACGTGGTCACCACACCGCAGATGTGCGAGGTACGCCCCTGCAGGGCATGCACTCTTGAATCCCACTGCAATCCCAGTGTAACGCCCAGGTGCCGAGCGTCGGCGCTCTTGTTCGGTTTTCTAGTCCACCTTCTTGGGAATGCCCATGGACGAAAGCATGCTACTGTCGTGGACATGGAAATCCGGTTGCACGTCTAGCAGCCCCAGGGCGCTGGCCATGCAGCCGTGGATAAGCGGAACATGCAGTATGCGATGCAGCGCGCTGGTCGCATCGCGGATCAACATGACTTTGTGCACTGCACGCTGTGTTCAGTACGCGCTGAGGGCGCCAGCCCGGTCAATCGACTGGATTTCCATGTCCACTACAGTAGTAGGCCCAGTGTAGTGCATGCACCGCTCCACATACATGTACGATACAGCAGTATAGTCACCCTAGTCCCTAGTGGTTGATGAATATGTTGATTGTGAATATTTTGTCCGATTTCACGTATCTAAAATACTGTATAGCAGGAAATTTTCGGACGGAAATATTTTCGGACAAAGCCGAATTTCGACCTTTCGTACGGATTTTATTTTCGTACAGTGCTGCATGCTAGATGCACGTGTTCTCATGCGGTACGCGTGTATAGTGTACACATAACTTCACCGGAACAAATTTTAGTACGGAAATAATTTTAGTACAAAAGAGGCCGTGTACGAATCGTACGAAAATAAATTCCATCCGAAAAAATGTCCTGCTATACAGTAACGCATTTATACCGACATTTCCGCCCGGTGTCTTATTGCAGGCTTTTACGGTATGGTCGTACCAGTATGGACTGATTTCCATATGGGAAATTCCATGCACACCATGTACCGGGGTACTTACATTATAGGGTGTTTAACATTTTGCATTCTTATGATACGTATATTGACCCACGTTCATTTACAAAAATGATGCAACAAGCTGTGCCAACTTGCCAAGGTGTCCATGCAAGTACCTTACTGTGCTTATAGAGGAAATTCCTTTTCCTCGTGTAGGAACTGAGATGCCCTGCTGTTCATAGATCACTGGCACTATGTAGTCATTGTCAGAGCGCGGTGCGTGCATGTGCGTGTGTGTGTGTGTGCGCGCGCGTGCGTGTGTGTGTGTGTGTGTGTGTGTGTGCGTACCAAAAAAAAGACCAAAAATAGGGATTCACTGGCCAGAAAAAGTCACTTCAAATAGCTGTATGGTGTAGACCAGGCTGAATAGTGACGGTCAATTCTTCAGCCTTGCAAGCTGTTGAATGGTGCAATCCCAGCACAAGTTGCTATGGCTTCTGCCGTAGCATTGCTCTCATCGCCTCCGGCGATGGGCGTCAAAGGTCAAAAGGTCAAGGTGTGTGCGTGTTTGCGTTTCCTGTACTCTCTGCACTTCGTAGTTCTGCGACCTGTGCGGGACGGACTGTCCGTGTGAAGACAAGCGGCGTGTAGGATGTGATATGTGCAAGGTAGGTAGTGACTGTGATATGTGCAAGGTAGGTAGTGACTGTGACCTGGGTACCTGGGTACCTGTGTAGTGACTGTGACCTGGGTACCTGGGTACCTGTGTAACCTGGCTACCGGGGTGTTGAGCTTGTGCCTTGTTGTCTGCACACAGGTTTCACACACGTCAAGCAGACCTACATGTATACTACAGTTGCGCTCACTGAAATCCGACCCAATGTGCAAAGCTGGCACATTCCACTTCCATGGCCCTTGACGCCCTGGTAGTGAGCGCAACTGTAGAACATGACATTGTACTAGTAGTATTGGTATTAACCTATACATTGTATTGGATAATTCTCCGGGTGATTTTCTATGTTTTCCAGGGCTTTCGGGGAAAATCAGACAGGATTAAAACTTAAAAGTGACATGGCTCAGCATAACGTTCAACCCTTTGACTGCTGATCCCGTACTATTACTGGATTCTAGATGACCAGGCTCTAAGCCCGTAGTTTTTTTACGTGATGAGTGTACAGCGTATTGATGAGACTTTACAGGATGTGTGTATATTCAAATGGTCGTAACTTCGCCAATGCTTAATCGATTCTCGATTCTCGAAATATGGACATTGTGTTCACCTAATAATTATACGAACTTAAAACACTTCATGACTAATAATTATGGTACTGATTTCCCATAGCTCTGTGACATGGTGTGTGTTATGGTGTACTAGTAATGCACTTTGTGTCATTTCCTACACGTATCTGCCTGTTCTCCTGTGCTTGGTGTTTTTGGTGTGCTCTGTCGGCCATCACTGTGGCCGTTGCCACGGGGACTGCCGCCCATCGATTGTAATGCTGCTCATCAATTCCAGTACTGCAACTTCTGTGCTGCGTGCAAGCTCTGTGACACATTCTGTCAGGCAGGTAAGTTGAGAGGCTTGTCACATTCCTCGCCGTTCAATGTGCTTTTAAAACGTTTCCGTTCACTCGTGGCCATGTCTGCTGACAGTGTGCCGTTCTAGAACTTCTGGTGGACGAACGGCTACTTCTTAATATCCACTACCTAGAGTTGACCTCCATTCCACGGTGCTGTGTCAATTGTTTGTGTGCTGTGTCAACTGTTTGTGTGCTGTGTCAACTGTTTGTGTGCTGTAATTGGTTGTTATGCGCTGTGTGAGCAGGTGGCATCATCGACAGATTCTCCTCGCATTTCTTCGAGTAAGTTACTCTGTGTGTTTGCGCGGCTAGAATCATGCTGTAGTGATTTCCTGCATGGTCGAGGTGCAATGGCTTGTTTATAACAATAGTGCACACAGCTTGCTTCTTCTCTGAACCTGTCAGACAGGAGCAGGGTTGATGCAGCATCTGTCAACATTGTCAAGCCAAGTTAGTCTGTCCTCCGCAGCGCTGGAGAGCGCTCTCCACGGGGATGTCTGCTTTAGTTTAGGTCATGCCGAATCGTATCTGGGTCGGCCCCGCGTTCCTTTTCACATCACTTGTGTTGATGGCCAGCGTCAGCGCATAGCAATTTTCTTCAGACAATGTCTAAGCCAAGTTGTTGGCATGCTTTGATACTGGCTGGCAACTGCTGCTGGTAAGTGACCACACCTGAGCCTCGCACATTACTCGGTGTGCGCTTCAACAGGATATCACTCACGCAGTCTCTTTCGCTGTCCCTCTATCTGTACTGTACAGAATGCTGGGCGGCGTTGATCTTGATAAAGTGGATAAAGAACTCGCCGCCGATCCCAAGATCAAGGAATACCTGTGAGCACTATGGGTGACGGATTAGCCCAGCGTCTAGGACCAGAAAGTCAATGAAGAGAATCTGACAGTTGGGAACTTCCAGCACACCACCTCCTCTTGCTGATGATATACACAAGTTACATCACAGATTTGCCTGTAGACTAATCGCAGGCGTTCATTGTGTTTCACGATATGCAACCGCCGTACAGAATGGTCATACTTTTTTTATGAGATAGATTGAAGCTTTGAGATCTATTGAACTGAGCTGGACTCTGGCGGCACTTGAACCCTGCTTCGCTTGGCGGTAACAAGTTAGCGTGGGCCAGTACAGCCACATGTATGTAGTATATTACTGGTAATATTATTATTGGTAACTGATTTGAGGGCTGCTCCTTGCAGCTGAAACGTTTCCACCATGCAAGAGCAAGCTGCATCAGCCTTCTACACCGATTCTAGCAGTACGCGTATCTCTTTTTTCCCCTTTAGTTCCACTGAGGACATGTATTTTAGGTATTATTCACTTTTCTTACGCCAATCGTAGTCACACCAGAAAACAACAATTACTTTGCCATCGAAACCATTGATATTCTCAAATGTTGGTGAGCTGACATGTCAAAGAAACTCAAAAGACTCCCTGGAGGGGAGGAAAGAGATGAAACAGGAAGAAGAAAAAAGACAGCTGGAGACCGACTACAGAGGCACAAAATAGTACGTTGTCTGCTGCTAATGGATGTGGACATATATCTCTCTACATGAAATGCTGGGTTTGCAGTAAGTGCATGGGTCGTAAACAGACAAACGTGAAATGAGCGCATTGGGGAACTTCTCATGCCGACGCATATAGCTATAGTGCGTCCTCCTTAGCAGGAATCAGTGCAACCGATGTAAAGAGGTGACGGGGGCAAGTGGCGTTCAGATAAAATCTAGTGTATGAAGAACACGCATGCACATGCACACACGCACACACACGCACACACAAACACACGTGCACACGCATACCACTACACAGACTTAAACTAGATCAGTATAGAAGAACAAGCTTGATAGACGTGCCTCTCATCGAAAGCACAATGTCTTTCGTCCTTCGGCAGAGGTGACACACTCAAGATGGTATATCATGGCAAGAGTCAGAATTAGGAAATATGTTAGGCAAACAGCAAGCTAAAGGTCGTCTAGTCTTTTTTTGTTATAAGAATATACTATCTTGATACAGGCCTAGTGCAATGTTGTTTTCCACAAGCAGAATAAATATATTTCTTCCCATAACAGCTGATTGTGGTGTGTTCACCGACACAGCTGCACATGTTCCAAGCGCACATCACCTTGTAGAACATGACAACGGCGAAGAGGATTGATAAGCGAAGAGGACTGACGACGATGATAGCAACGATGACACGATGAAAGGTGTGAAGGCTAGGGGGCGTGCGAGATAGAGAGATCGCAACGATAAACTGGCAAATCGGGTAAATTGTCGGGTGAGTAACGGTGGGTTGGAGCAATGCAGCTACCGGTGATCGACAAAGTGGAGAACAGTGGCGGCCAGCAAGAGAACGATGACGATGGCTGTGATTGGGTCAACACCCGTTGTAAACTGAATGAGAATCAGTGTCAAACAGTAGAGCATGGCCAGAATGAGCATATGCCGACAAGTCACCAGCAGTCCCCCAGCACTGGTATGATCGCAACGCAACTGCTGGCTCACTACACAGATCAGGGGGCAAGAGGAAACGTATGCAACACAACAACGATTAGGCTTTTAGCAAGATTAATCCCGTACGGTATGCTGGACATGCACATGTAGCTACTGCTACTGCTACTGGCTGCCAGTACTACCCCGAAACAACAGTGATATGTAACAATAATCAACACACATACACATCAGTACAATCATGTAGTTGCACAGAGAGTGTTAGGATGTTAGCCGATTAGAGTGGCATAGTTGAAAAGTGAAAGGCTGACAGAACGACTAAAGTAAGTTTGGGACTAAGAACGTTGGAGTTCAACCTCACATGCTCATCTATTTGTTTGTTTGGCTCTATGTTACTCCATGTCATGGATTTCCACTGCTTGCACCTTTGCATAGCAATGATAGCAGTGTACAGATATTCTTGGTGTCCCAAACTTACTATGCCAAATATAATAGTGCAACGCAGCAGGCTCATGCAGCAATAATAGGCAGAGGAACACACAGCACCGCTCACAGCACCACTATACACAGCAGCACACAGCGCCGCACCACAGCACCACACACAGCGCCGCACCACAGCACCACACACAGCATCGCACACAGCACCAACACACAGCACCAACACACAGCACCACACCACCACACACAGCAACAGCACCATGCACACAGCACTAGCACACACTTGCAACATGCAGTAGCACGCACAAACCAGAAGCACCACGCACACAAGAGAACAGTCAAGCTGCAGTCGCCCCGAGGCGACTTGTGAGTCCAGCAGTTAGACATACCACGTAAACACGGTGCACAGTGCAAGCAACAGCAGCATAAGGTGCTCAACCTAGTCAACAGACACAGCATTGCAACACTAGCCAAGGTCATAGCCATGCAGCAGAGTGCAACAAGCAACTGGACTCATAGAATCCCACCGACCAACTGAATTACTAATGCAGCACGCGTGCATCATACCACAGGAACCAAAGTGAAGGTGAAGACCCCACATAGTAATATTCAGAATTCCAAACTACAGGTACAAGACAATTTAGTACGCAAACACAACGCCCGCAGCCAGGGCAGCAAATACCTTCTTGCATTGCAGACCAGGAAAATTGAACGACAGCAAATGAAACGAAACCAGCACAGCAATCAGCGAGCATAACCCCTTTCCCATGACGTAGATGCTGTTGCATACATTCACACCCCCACATTCAAGGGTTTCTAGCAAACGTCAACACATGTACGCGCACACACCCATGCCAAACAACAAGAAGAACACGACAGACAGCTCCCGCGCATATATGTTTGCTTACCCCGCTTGGCGGCAGGCTCTCCAGAAGCAGAGTCGCCATTGTCGCAGGCTTGCTGGGCATGGGAGTTGCCAATGTTGTTACCATGGCTGTTGTTGCTTACAGCTGCAGCCGCACAAGCTGGCAGTCCCACTGACAGGCAAACGGGCTGTGATGAGACAAAAAATCAACAACCAAAATATGAAACACATATTGTACACGGAGACGGAGGGAATACCATAGAGCGGTTGTTGCTTGGGTAGGGCAATGCACCCGCTTCAAAACCGGCTTTATAGATACTTCCAAGAGTATATAACCCCCCCCCCCCCCCCCAAGGATGTATGCAACTCTGCACATGGGGTTTCAGACGGCGAAAACTCACACCACGTGTCTCAAATACGTTCGTACTACGTACACACGAAGGATAGCGCGCGAGCAATCTGAATATCTGCCATGATCATGCTGGGGATTTGCATACCCGCAGTGAGTTTCTGTCAGAGAAAAAAAATCGACTGACACCACCATGACTTGAACTAGGGACCTTGGCTATAGGCCAGCGATGCTCTAACCAATGAGCTATGGTGTTGCCGGCATCCCAGCAGAGACCATTCAACATTTTCTTCAGACTTCGAATTCACGTTTCCTGCGACACCACACAGGCTGGGGACACGCAACCCTCACTGTACGCACACATTCCACACACAAGCTTGTAGTATGCGAGGAGCCCCAATGCATCAACTATTTGTCAGTTGACGGAGCCGAAATTTCAGCTATTCAAAAAAATTTCAGGAATACACCATGCTCTTGTTCAATGGCTTTTCGTGAACTAGGTAGAGTGTGTTAGGGTACAGCTCTTTGGAGCTCCGGCAAGTCATTAGTGGCTGCAGCGGACAAGTCTGCAGTGAAGCGAAGGTGGAAAACCACCATTGATGGATGTATGTGTGCCTGTGCCAGCCCAGCCAGAGAAATCCTCCGAGCTGATTCAAGTAGGTGCTGATGTGCATTGCACGCCTACGATAACAGTTGTAGATACTGGACGCACACGGTCACACGCAGGATGGTGATGACGTAATCCTAGCGATAGATGACACTGACGTGCGCTGGCACGCTGACAGAGGGTACTGGTCGGTGAAGTGGTGCTGGATCAATGGAAAACCACCTGGTCAACCGATCCACACTGGTATTGGCGAGTACAGCAAAGCGAAGATGTCCAACGACGAGAAGCAGACGTTTCAGGAAGAGATACGGATGTGGATAAGCAATGGCAGGCTTGTCTCGTACGACGCGGAAGCACATGGCGCTCCTCGAGCTGTTCTTCCTCTGCTTGCTGTGTGTCAAGAGCCCAAGCCAATGACACAGATGCGGCCGAGCCTGGATCACAGAAGCTTAAACGAGATGATCAAGTCAAGCCCTGGAGCTGATGCATCATCGGCAACCGACCAGAAGCTCTGTGAGTGATGTCAGCGTGGTACTGAGAGTGTGGTTCTAGATGTCTGCAGGTGCGAATGGACCCAAGTCACCTAAAGAACCAAGTCGTCGTGTACGATGGAAAGATGTACGCAATGGAACGTATGGGGTTCGAGCTCAGCACAGCCCCGAAGGTGATGGACACCATCGTGAAGTATGCAACGTGCAAGTTCCCGAGCATGGACAACTTCGTCAATGACCTGTCATGCCCAAGTCCATCATGCCAACTGTGAAAGACAAGCTAGTGCAGTTCGGACTGCCGGCGAAGCCTGCGGAGGAGCTGGCAAATGCGAGAGTACTATGGCTGCAGACCAGCAGTGTTGCAGATAGTCTGCCCTGCCCTTAGGCTTTCTAGCCATTCAATCTGGATCTCTATTCAGCACACGTGCATGCATGGGTAAATCTTTTCCTAATCTACTTGGATTGAAGTAAGAGCTCAAGGCTCAGTGCATACCTTGTGGTCTCCCATCTCTTCGCTAGCACCAATCACACCGTAATCAGCAGTGGAAGATGACTGCAGCACAAGACAAACAATAACACAACAAACAGTAGCAGACATTAGCCAAGAGCACAGCAAGACCCAGTTCACTACTGCATACAGCAGCACATCTCTGCCAAATGGCATGAGTTGACTTAAACATTTTCTCTTCATTTTTCAGGATATTAAATGATGGATTTTTCAAAAAAGTTCTTTGACATCTATGCGGAACGGGCAGTATAGCATCCCCCCCCCCCTCTTCTCTCTCTCTCTCTCTTCACACACACCTGCTGCAGCAAGTCCTTGCATGCTTGGTTGTACAGAACACGATCACACCAGCTGGGTGGCCTGAAACAAACAAAAACATGAAAACAAATAGCAATGAGAACCACCCGAACTTTTCTATTGCCATCGAACCTGGCTTACCCAGTTCCCTCGCCAACAAATGGAAATCGAAATTGTTGCAGCAGATTTACAATAGACACTACCAAATACAGTGACCAGCGCACACCGGTGAGTTGTATCATCTATCCCTCGGAGACAACTACTTATGGAACTCGTCACGAGTCGTGATCTCGGTCTTCATCTGCTGACGCCAACTGCGGTGAAAAACCAGCGATGCCATACACGAGCGTGCATAAATCAGCCCTAACCCAAGGGCGACTGAAAGCAGCAGTCTGGGAGTAAAACTCGTATCGTTTCATGATCCAGTCTTCTGCGCTGTCTCCCTAGGTGCTATGATTGCCTGGAGTACACACACTGAGTGGAAGATAGAGGAACCAATGAAGAACTGGACTTACCGACTGTGCATGTACTGATCTGTGACACCTTCATCCTCACTGAAAGGATAGCTGTTCATACACACCAACACAACAGTACACAAGATATTAGAGGGCGCCAGGCGCGCGGTCAGTCAATACAGCCAACCGCTGTGTCCGTGGGTGTGTGAGGGGGGAGGCAAAATCTTGCCAACACACTGCATATTCATCCTACAAACACAGGATGAGAGCAGAGCAATACCAACCAACTACATGCGCACACTGCAAACACAGGATGAGAGCACAGGAACATGTACACTCCGTCTCAAACACCCTTTGTAGCGACTCACCTTGGAGGAAACGTGATTTCCTGCTCAAACAGATCAGGGAACTGCTTAGATTCCTTGTCAAACTTCCTCCACTGCAGAGCATACACAAAAGACACACACAGCGCACAGCAAGAAAATGCAGCATAGAATCAAACCAGAGCGATGTGAGGGTGCCAGTTACAGAGTGCTTCAGAGTATTACTTTGAAGTTTACAGACACACAGGACACAGCAACGCTAGTTAGCAACACAAAGACAAAAAAAGACAGGCACACACACACACACACATACAAAATATACCTCTTCAATCAGCTGTGAGCAACTCGGTGCAATGCCTTTCTTGAGTACAAATCCCTTCTTCTCCAACTTCAGAGCAGGCTGCATGCGCACAAATAAAAAGAACATTTAATACAGAAAAAATGAGAACACGGAAAAATAGAGCATTGGACAATCATCGTTCCAGAGCTGCAATAACATTTCAATTTAAGGGGGCTCAACCCCGAAGAGGGAGCAAAAAAAATTATGGTAAATCGATCTGAACTGTGTGTTTTCAGATGGCCAGACACCTAGAGAACTGGTCTGGGCTATTTCAAGGATAGGTTTATTATGTGGTTCCCCAGCTATGGGGGTGTTATTGTACCTATGTTTTTCGGCAAAAATTCAATGATTTCTCACTTAAGGCGTAAAATTCCAGTTGGTAATACTTCAAAAATCCTGAAAGTGGGTATGGAGGGGCCTACAATACTGTCTTCTTTGGAAAATGTCCACAACATATGCCCAGACCACTGTGAGAGGCCAAGGTAGCCCAGAATGTGATTTGGCAAAACGCGTATTTCAGCAGACCGGACTTTAGACTTGTTTGAATAGTGGAGAATCGAGACAATAACATGGTCCATTTTATGGTCATTATCTGCTCTTCAAGGCCATAGGAAGGCTCTACAAAAATAGATTTTTATGTCTACCATCTCGTTTCTCCACGAGAAACAAAATTTGTGACGGATTTTGCATATTCAGCTTGAAAGTCAGATTCAGCATTGTTGCCAAAATGAGTGTATCGACTTCATTCAAGCTTCACTTTGACTATGTAGGGCGAGAAGCATTTGCTATAGACCAATCCCAGACAATACCACATGCAACAGTCACAACTGAATTGTGTTATTCACATCTTTGTTGTATATTGTGATGTACATACATAATATAATGTACATACATACATACATGCATGGGTATATCAAATGTACAAAACAACGGATTATAAGTATAACGCTGTCAATGAGCAACTTGAGTTGCTTGGTTACTGCTGGATGCGATGGCTAGCAGCCACTGTTGGTATTGTGGGTTCGCGCCTCCAGTGTGCAGCACAACGTGAATGTTTGAGCAGATAACTGCAGCATCATCACGAGTGGTAGAAAGTGGGGACGATGCTGCACCTCCTGCAGCTGCTGGACTACTTGTGCGGTCTGGAGCAGTGTGTAAAATAGGGGTGTTGGTGTTGGGTCTTCCAGATGCTAGATGATGTGTTATGCGTTTTGCAATAGCAGAACTCATTGTGACTAGCACACGCCCATCGCCACCCGGTTCGTGCAATAATCCAAGGATGCCAGTTCCCTGATTCCTCTCAAATGCCAACACCAGATGATTGTACCTGTAGGCATGATATATAACGTTGTTGTTGTTGAAGAATATTTAGACTTCTACAAACACCCATGTTGCAGCGAAACGCCCACTCCAGCTTGTTTGCTGAGACTGTGACAGAAGCCTGACTAGTGCTGCAATGTGTACTGCTGTGATTCATGAATTCAGTTGACATTCCTTGCCTTGCCTTGCCTGGGTAATATTGCAGTTCTTCACAACATGCATAACACAATTTTATGCTGCATTTACAGTCTAGTTCAAGGCCGAGCTCATGAAAATGTGGCAACTTGACCATGCATAATATTACGTGTCTGTGACTGTCTCTGCTCAAGTTGTTCTACAAGGCATATTGCCAATATTTCAATATTCAGTTTTATAATATATACAGATTCCTGTCATAGTTCAATGATACAAGCACAGCCATACTACCTTTAACCCACAGCCTTCTCCTGAGAAACACAGGCACAGGTCAGAACTCACCCAGTGCAGCCTTAGAGTTCATAGGATCAATGCTTTCCACTCCATCCAGCATGAGACTCACATGTCTGACCAAATTCTCCTGCCCACACATAGAACACTTCACTGGCATGTCGCTGTGCTGTTTCTACTGGCTGTTCCAGACCACACTCATTACTCACAGAGATCAAGTCTCTACTTGCAGACACTACACTCTGACTCCACTATCTCCAGGTACTGCAGGTACAAGACCAGTTTTTCTCTCACAGTCGTCAGTAATATTTTTATCTGGCGACTGGAAAAGAAAAAATAGATATCGTTCCAAGTGCAACTCAAGTGGATGCACTTGAACTTGAGAGAAGCATGTCACTTACCTGCGTTCTGAGACTGATACATGTCATGTATCATTGGTAGCTGGGCTCTGGACAATCTTGCAGGTTTACTTGTCTTCACTGGCAGGCGAGACTGAGAAAAGGGCATATCTGAGCTGGAAGTTAGAACTACACGACCTGAAGAAGATTGAACACGCTTTGGTCCTGAGCGCCCACGAAAACGGCCGTGCCTATTGATAACTACAAGTACTTGACACGAAGCTCCATAGCTCCATCGATCGCCGACATCCAGCAAACCAAAATGGAAAACACAAAACGTTCAAACTGTTCAAGGACTGCAGTTTCTTTGAATTCTCGCAAAATAAACTTTTGAACACGACTATTTCTCGCAAAAAAACTTTCTCCAGCCGCGGACAAAATGTTTTCAAACGCGAAATTTTGCATAAAATCATGCCCAGATTTCGATGCGCGCGCAGAAGTACTGAGCCCCCTTAAAAAAAGTGTGAGAATGATAATCACCATAGTGAAGATATGACAGTAGATATTGCCAAGGGTCCACCACCTCAAGGTTGTGCAACTGCCTGTATTACCTCTATCCAGTGCTGCGACTGCAGACTTTTACATCACGTGACGCAGCTCAAAAGCCTGTGCTGGCAAACATTGCAAAGTGATCACCAGAGAGTTATACCCGAAGAAGGGTTGCGTACAACCCTGTAGCGATCATGCATATCACGCAGATTGTGCGTACGGGTTTTGTCACGTGATGTAAAGCGCTGTCGTCGCAGACCCCCTAGGTCGGAGTTGCACACTACTTGGGGTTGATTATGTACTCTTGATATCGCTGACAACACTTGAACATACCGTATCATCATCTGAGCAGTCGGCATGACAATACTCAATGCATGCCACCACTCCATCTTTCTCAGTCGATTTGGCGTTGACGCCAGCAAGGTGATCCTGGTAGGTCAGGCACACAACAAGGATCCAGCCAAGGAACAAGCACAACTCACAACACTGTACATGTATGTGAAGGTAAGGAGACATTACCAGCCTCTATGCCAAAGTCTCCGCACAAGAAGACATTACCAGCCTCCATGCCAAAGTCTCCCCACAGCATCGATCACGGTGGATAGTGGAGCAGATGGAGAATGCGCACTAACAAAGCCATAGAGACGTGCACAGCTGCAAAGACTCATACTGTGATACTGTAGTATGTGTATATACCCCGGGGGCACTCGCTGGGTCCGGACACCACGGGATAGCCTACTGGCTCTGTCCACAGGTTGTCTGCACTGACTGCCGATTTTTCCGGGCAGTTTACCATCAGGATCGAATGCCATCGATACATGCTCGCGGCAGCTCACGTTAATGCACGTCTACATTCTTCCAGGACACGGAGTAGGGCTTAAAGCACAGTGTCAAACATGACACAGTGATACTAGGGGGCACTGGCAATGCACTGTTGATACATATATCTCAGAATACAAGGAGGAAATGTCACACGAACACTAAACAGAGCATGCACAATACATGACTATACTTACATGCACAATTCCATGCAGATCAATGCGGAAGTTGAAGTCACCGAAGATGAACATGGGAGCTTCTCTCAGTCCAAGCTCCTCGATCCTAAGCGCAGCAAAGAAAGACATCAACGACGTTAGCACTGGCAAACACCTTGTATCAACAGCAAGGCACGCTATTGCCCCAAGCACAAACAAGAAGACTGGGAGACAGTAATCACTGTCCCGCATTCCAGTACCCACAAGAAAGGAAATACTAACTGTAACACATCACATACTGGAATGAGAGGGAAATGTAGAACAAACACTGCAACAAGAGGATACAACCTTGCTCCAGAGTTTAGTGTGACACAAGTCCAAAGAAGACCAAAGACGGAAGCCAGCGACGAAACTCTTACCTTTTTAGTGTATGGCGGAGAGCGCGAGCACGGTTGGCCACATAGATGGACGGTGACTGGAGTGAGCATGACAAGACAAAAGTTTGCACAAGCTACGTTAATGCCAATTCCACACCCAATTCCATCCTCATATGCCATCAAAGTGGAGACTGCGACCCAACAGGCTAAACATAGCGATTGTGATTCCAACATTGCGTTGGTTTCCCATCGGTTGATTTCACTCTGTTTCACCAATCTTTCATCGTCCTCTATCCAAAGATTAGAAGATGGTTGCAAAAACTCGAGCGATGGCACATACCTGGCTGACAGATTCAAGATTGCTAGCATCATGGAACAAGTGCACATTGACGATGTCAACCACTCTGTGGGCAGAACACAAAGCAACACAGTGATATGATAACTTGATAAGCTACACAAAGTATCCACAGTCAACACATATCGGCACTGTACTGTGTAGGGCAAGGTACCCACAAGTATCGGGGAATAATTTAACCGGTATCGCATCGCAGTTTGCTACGCAATTCTTCTGAGGCGCGAAGCAACTTCAGAAATGTGTTGCACAAAACTGCGATGCATATTGATTTTTCACTGTACCCTATGACGCACAGTGTACACGCCGGGTGTGTCTCTTAGGGATAAAATAGATGTACGAAACTTCGAAAGTGCTGAGCTATGCATCCTGGCACCAGGATAGGCTTGCAACTAAGGTGTTACAATGTACTTGTGGTCTGAGCTTGCACTCTGATCAGCTCTGCAGAAGGACAATGTTGTCAAGTGTTGAAGAAAATTGCTACGCAACATTTTTGAATTGATATTCAAAAGATTGAAAGTAAATTATTCCCTGAGTATCAACATGAAATACATAGCCAGAATGCCTCAAAAGCTTGACTTCCTTTTCCAAAGCAAATCCACCGAGAGAGAGAGAGAGAGAGAGAGAGAGAGAGAGAGAGAGAGAGAGAGAGAGAGAGAGAGAGAGAGAGAGAGAGAGAGAGAGAGAGAGAGAGAGAGAGAGAGACAGAGAGAGAGAGACAGAGATAGAGAGAGAGAAAAACACACACACACACACACGTACCTACGCACACACGCCCACATACACCACAAACACAGAGCAGTAGGAGAACAGCAATTACACAGGTAAATCTACAACACATAGTTTCAAGACTGAACTAACCTGTTCCGTAACCGCCATCTCGTGATGATATGACCCTTGCGTGACCATGGGAACTGAACAAGGGCCAAACAAGATGAAAACAATATTAGTATCCGGAAGTCACACGGAAACCCATGACACAATGGAAAATAGCACGTCCGCCCAACAAGCAGGACCAAAGTTCCGTTGAGCATACCACGAGGAATAAAGGCTGCATGGTTTCATCAAGAACACGGCAAAGACACAAGCCTCAACAGAACACATTGCAGTGTCTTGCTGGTAACAGCACATACCTGCGGAAAGAAATCTGGTGGATACTTCAGCTTTCGGTGATACGGGTCCTTGTTCAGGTTGTCGTGCTTTATCTACAACGCATCGGGAAGAGAGAGAAAGACAGCACAATGTCACAAAAACACACAGCAACAACAGGAGCGACAACTGTAAAAGAATTACTAGTAACCTGTCCCTTTCCAGAGTAACCCACCAACCCCACATCAGACACCAGGCAGGTCTGTTCCCATGAACAGTAGAGTAAAACCTGCCATGATTACCACTCTGATGAGCTGGCCACCTGCCCCAGAGCCCGAGGAGCACTGCAGCCAAGATGAAAATGGTGTCATTCTCAATCACTTGACCCGGGACCAAGTTTTGGGGGTCCCTCCAGCGGTCAGCTCTGCAGCCGGTTTCACTCTACAGTCCTATTGCTATCCCATGAACTACACATTGCATATGACTGCCTGCCTGCGCAATATTACATAGCAGTTGAACAGGCACTGGGCGCACCATGGGTACAGAATATAGTCAGCAAACCGATGTGATACCAACAGATATCAATCAGTCACGTTGTGACCAACTTCCACTCATCACATGCCTAGAATTATTACGCAACTTAACACTGAGCCCGTGGTGGATGGCGCAGAAAACAAGGATTGCTCATCGTCCACTCCATCCACTGGGGCCCACAGCAGTCAATAATTGGCTGCTCGCATGACTACAGTCACACGACATGCAATACGTTGCACCACTACCCCCCTCCCCGCCATGCCCGCAACAGAACACCACACAAATCATACTACGTAGTGTGTGAAACAGACATCAGGTAGTTGTGTGTGCATCACAGTTCCTCGCACCAGAGGACAGTACAATAATGCTCGGGTTCGAATACTTACGCAAGTCCGCAACAAAGACTTTGAAATAGAAACCACACAATACCTTCTCACCGGGGGCCCTACGACTCGTAGTCATTACCGGCTTTCGAATTTCCTTTTTCCATTTTCCATTCACCACAGCGTTTCCCAGATTAGCATTTACTCATATTGTGTTGGTAGGCATGGAGACGGCAACGCCGGCCGTTTGGGGAAATATATATAAAACGCGTTAAAAGCGTAAAAGCCTAGGACACACACACATGATGGGTGGTTGCCGTGGACAACCATTGACTTACTCTACATACCTCCTTATCCGCTACGGGGTGAAATCGACATCCTGTGTTCACCACACGGCCAGGCAACAGCAACGGCAGCAGTGACGGGGACAGCGCAGAAAGAATATAAAAGAGGAGAGAGCAGACCATAAGGAAAAACCCACCTAAACAAAGGCTCAATGTAAAGTCACTGGGCGTGCATGGCAGCCCTTACCAAGAACCCGTCTACTCAAGTACAGACGATTATAGCATGCCTTCCAAGTCCAGTGCCACAAAACAGAATACAACGACGGGAGTGACGACATAGAAGCTCATACGCACATATGCATGTGTATACGTTGGGTATGCAAGTTAAAAGTATACTGGAACTTCAGAATTATGCCAGGAAGTACCCTGTGTTGCATTTTTCCACAAACCGTAACACAATTATATTGTAATATGTAAAAGTTAGAAGGACTGCATACCTGAAAAACAAGTAACAAAGTGGCAAATATGCATGACCGGTCCTTCGTGCTCGTGAAATGCACATAACACTGAAGGTGGTGACAAGCACTGACATATTACAGGGCTCGGTGAAGTGTGAACAATGCAATGCTGACACATGCCGACGGACACACGCGCACACGCACGCACGCACGCACGCACACACACACACACACACACACACACCATACCCGGTGAAACAGTTGATGTTGACGAAAGCAAGACAGATACATGCATGCAATGGTGGTTACCGTGGTGGCAATACATGTCAACAATATACAGAGTTGTTGGTTATCGGGTAGAGTCAATCTGGAGCAGACCGTGTACTGCTGCCATCACAATTGCTGCTTTACAAGTACACATGTATACATACCGGCAGAGGCTAAATCTGCCGAATCTGCTCGTGCCAAACAACGCCGCCGTACTGACAGCCCAACAACAACAGTTACTGCATTCCCAGATAGCAGGATCATTTCGCAGGCCTAATGTCCCCCCAGACTGAGAAGGGGAGTGCTGTAGGCGACAACACACCGCCTCCATCTAACACCTCTTTAGCAGGAGGGAGAAAAGTGTGGATCAAAGCCAGTACTACCAAGAACAAACTAGTCGGCAGGGGCATCACAAGATTTCGTCTCGCCGAAAGCCAGCAAGTCACAAAACTCTCAATGCTGTTGCTCTGTTGCAGAGCTGGAGAGAGTGAAACGACTTTGCAACACACCTGCAGCACTCAACATACACTACACCTATCGACTACAATGTACATGACAAGAGAACGCCACGTTCACCAACTCAGGCAAAAGATAGAAGACAGCTGCAAAGTGGCAAAGGGTGAGCTCAGACGACCGTCACAACAATGAGTGCTGTACCTGAAAAGTCCCACATTGCAGCATCCGACACTCTTGAGTGAACCAGATACACACTTCCCAGAGCCTGTAAGGGAAGAGAAACACATAGAACAGCATGCATAGAATCCCATGACAATTAGAACATTAGGAAAGAATGGGGGGAGGGGAGAAGAGAGGGGAAGGAAAAGTGAGGGGCAACAAAAAGCAGGAGGGGTGGGAGATCCCGGGTATGTCATGTGTATGTATAGAAGACTGAGCATGATCTGTGTGAGGAAGAAATGAAGATGTTCCCACATGACAGCCTGTCATTAGGCACATGCGGCGTGATGCCAGCCATGGAGGATTTAGGCAGAAACACATGAAGATGTACAGGCAAAAGTACGGGGGGGGGGGGGGCAGTTGAGCAAAAGAGGGCTATGAACCGGAAAAGAGGGGATGGTTAGGCATATCAATAATGCACAAGGCGGTTAGTATAGTATCAACATGACATACAAGAGCCACGAGGCAAGCACATGTGACAAGCCCCACTCAGCAGATCAGAAGCATCAGCACTATCACTACTGTTACCGGTATACCGGCATGGTTGTCAGTGCAGACAAACAAATCAGCAGGCAAGTGGGTATCAGTTAGTAACCACTACTTAGAAGACAATCAACCTAGTATGGCACTTCGAACTGCAATGCAGGCACCTCTCAACAACTGGAACAGCAGACAAGCACCAATCCTTTTGACACATACTAAGTAGGGCAGAAACCAAGTGGCACTGATCACAAGCAAGCAAACTGCAGCAACCGCACTCCCCCAATAGAAACACTGCTCAGGCTCACACATCTGCCCGGTATTTCTGAGAGCGACTTGGAAGCCCTGGGCCAAACAACAGGCCTAAATCCAAACACAGGCTATACTACACAGGCCACTTCACCAGTGCGTCATTTAGACCGAGAACTTCCAACCAGGGTACAATGAGTACAATTCTACTAAGCTGGGAGACCTGACGCAAAACAGTAGCCTCTTACAGACTCCTGGTGTGTATTAGTATACTATTACTGCAAGTGAAGTGCATGGCAGAAAAGCCACTAATGCATCACACCTGCTGTAAGTGGAATTTGTAAGGGGAAGATAGAGCAGAAAAAGGGAAGCAACTGGCTACTGTTGGCACTAGACTGGTGAATACCGAATTAGTCATAGACAAGTCCCAATCTCTGATGAATGCTAGTGAGTGCACCCTGCACTACAGGCATACTGCTGCAAATACGTAATAGCCTGGACTTTGAATCCATCACCTGGGCCATAGAGAGAGAGAGGCAACACTCCAGAGTACAGGAGTGCAGTCCCAACTCACACCAAAGCTGACTAAGACGTGCCAAGACAGGCCAAACAAGGCAGGAAGCTACAGCTCATTAGGGTAGTGATAGGAAACAAAACAAAGGATTGCTCCGGCACCACGGACTTCCAGCCCTCTCTATACGCAGTATCACAATGCCCAAGTCATGAGTGGATTGGGGCACAGGACACTTCTATTTACACAGCACCAGTAGAGAGCTACAGAAGATAATGATTCATACAGTGAATAACAGTAAACAAACTATTACTGTGCATGTGATTCACATCAATGCCTAATGGCCAAGACCCATGAGATGCTACTTCCACACAGACATGGAAGGAAATCACACAACATTCCACAGCAGGCCACCAGACTATCTGGGCATATTTGCATTCCGGACATTCCCAGGCCCTTCAGAATACGGCCTGATTCAGCAGTAGATGTTTACCCTACACACAGCATGGTGTTTTCATACTGCACAGCTTTGCTGGCTTCTAGCCCAGGTTTTATTTTGCTCACCATAACACTCAACAACTGGAACAGCAATCCCTCAAGGAGCACATGCGGAAACAGAGCCAGACTGAAGGTGGGAATGGGTGCCACCATGTGAAAATACATGCGTATCTATCTGCAAATGAATACACCTGGCAAGCCAGGTACAGACTCCATGCAACGAAAATACACAAAAGGAAATATCGATGAGCAGCGTAAGCGATAAATCAACAAGAATTAATACTTTACAGGTACTATAAAACACGCACAAGAAGAGTGGACAACTTACAGTAAATTCCGTCTTTGTTTCATAATCTTTGTCAATGTAACCACGCACACGACTATACTCGACCAAGTCTGAAGATGTCAATAGACGCCTGCAACATCAACGCGAAACATGCACACATACACACCACACACACAATATACATCCGTCCACGTAACCACGCACATGCGCAAGCGTACGCACAGACATACACATGTACATGTACATGTACACACATACATACACAGACAGACAGACATACATACACCTCAAGCTGGTTTCAAAACCATCGAACACCCGCGGCTAAGACGAGGACAATAGTAAAAACTGAGAGCCAGAGAATAGAAATCTGGTGATGTGGCAGTGCACCAAAGCAGTAAAACAAAGCAACCACAACGAACAGCTAAACACTACAACAAGATTGGCCACTAACTCCACGTTCACATACAACAGCACACAACAGCATACAGCAGCATACAGCAACAACCGACACTGTGCACATCTTGTCTGACAGGACACAGCCAAATATCTCCAAGTTTCAAGCCATTCCGACACTGCAGTGCAATCACTGCAGTGTCAGGAGCCAATTCGGCACTGAGCGGCACTCAGCATAGTTCCGAATTACTCTTCTTTGGGCGATTTAGGCGGCAAGCAGGTGCATTGTTACTGCTCCATTGCATGTGTTTTGCAAACAGCGGTGGTGCAATTTACACTAGAGCTGTACGTAATAGGTATAACAGACACATGCCATATCAGGCAGGGGTTGAGCGACTAGCTCCTTCCTACAGCATGCTTAATACAAAAGATGTCAAGACAGTAACTGGAAGTATATTGGGCCGCAGAAAACGGGAAAAAGACCTTTGTAGTTTGTTGTAAGATACGTGTGCCCATTATCAAAAACAGAACAAAAGCAAGTCCTGCGCACTCAAGATCTGTCTCCCGTCAAACTCACTCAACAAAGCTATCAACATATTCCATGCCAGTCATGTACGACTTCCCGCCAACTTCTTGGCAATGCAGAGCCACAAAGTCTGGCTGATCCTGACTGACTTTCTGTACAGTGGGGAAAAAAGAAGCAAGGAAACCTGACCGCAATGAGGAATGGCAGTGATGGGCATGAGCCAGGAAAAAAAGAACACCGAGACCTGAATCACAGAGTGTGTACACACGACTACATACCTACAATAAACATACATGTACAGTGCTGCTCAATGAAATCCAGTCACGAGAGTCAAGTTGGCGCCATGCACCTTTTCGCAGCCCAGTGTTCGCAGGTCTAGGGCTGCACAGCGCCCGGCGCGTACTTGAGAAACTCGATCGGATTTCATTGAGCAACACTGTACATAATAATACACCCACCCCTCTCCAAACACGGGGACACATGCACAAGCATAACATTATGCACAAACATAACGCGCACACATACGCACATACCACCCCTCCCCAAACACGGGATACATACACAAGCATATTATGCACAAACATAACACGCACACACACACACACGGATGGATGGCACACATATGCACATGCAATTGACCATTGACCATTGGACGCCCATCGCCAGAGGCGATGATAGCGATGCTACAGCAGAAGCCATAGCAACTTGTGCTGGGATTGCACCATTCAACAGCTTGCAAGGCTGAAGAATTGACCACCACTATTCAGCCTGGTCTACACCACACAGCTTTGAAGTGGCTTTTTTTCTGGCCAGTGAATCCCTACTTTTTGGTCTTTTTTTCTTCTTTTTTCCCGCACACACATCACACCACATACTCCGGCATGCACTGGCTGTTGGTAACCACCCAGGAGAATGAAAGAAAAGTCAGGAAGAGTCTGAGAAAGAGAAGAAAGACGTGTGTGACCATAATCGTCGGGAATCGAACCCGCAACCTATCGATTGGAAATCGCTGCACATACCACTGCACCATATGGGACACACATGCACACGCACACACACACGTGCGCGCGCATGCGTGTGCGCACACACATCACGCACAGGGCCTTTTAGAACAGGTGAGAATCAGGAAACCTTCCAGAATCGGTGCAGCTATACTAGTGAGGGGCCTATGCACACTGCAACAGTAAGTTGGACAGGGGTCGTTTCATGCAGCTCTGATGGAACTACTTCGCAGCAGCATGCAAACATAGGCATGGCTGGTGTGGATGCTCAGCACTATGCAAAATAAGAACAATCAATAGTGTCCGGTATATCGGACTGCTGAAGGCGTCCTTTCAACAAAATAATTCTCCACGCGCACGAGTCATCAGCAGCATAGAGCGATGATCCGAAATAAACGGCAAAATAAGTACAATACAAGCAGCTTAGGCCATCATCACACAACGCTCACCGCCTCTCGTTTACGTCCACATGATCTACGGTGAAAATTCCAAAACGGATGGTTGTGTCATCACACATGCACAGTTCTTGACCCGCACAATTGGCGACAATTTTGAAAATTCAAACGCACGTACAAGGTCGCTTTGAAAAAGACTGGGACAGACAGATAGGCACGTTCATCCATTTTAGTTGTATGCCCCCCCCCTCTCCCTCTCCCTCCCTACCACGTCTATGTTTCCCGTTTCCTCTGCTCCCGTTTTCACGCCGTACACGGATCATCATGGCAACCGACCAAAAACTTCGTATGTGGACGTGGACGTAGACGCAGAGCTTTGTACCGTAGTGTGATGACAGCCTTACAGCACAAATCCTACTAAAACGTTTTCTAATAGGTGACAAATAATCTTCCAGATACACAGATACGTGCTACAACTGATGGGCTAGTGGACCAGAGCACATATTCGCTGCCCACACTTAACTTTACAGAGATTGCGCACTGACCGAGCATGCACTGATTTCGCAAAGTCAATATGTCACTATTTCTCCGTAAAACACCAGTTGTATGTTGACAAAATTTATATCCAACTGCCACAAATTGTATAGTTTGAAGGATAAGCCTAATCAGTCGATATCAATACGCAGCGTCGGCTGGCATGGTTTTCTCGTCACTTTATCGGCAAACGTTACATGACAATGTCAATGAGGACGTTCCTATATTGTGCAGGCAACTGATACGTGGGGACACATAGGCATGAGTTTGCAAGGCCATTTCAGGCAGTAACTACTAAGAACAAGACATGAAGTAGCAAAAAAAATATTGCTCTTACCGCACAGAAAGTATTCAGCCATGGCTCAAGTAGACGTTCAGGCTACAAATGTAAAAAAACATACCGATGACATCTGCTTATTTCACTTCATTCTTGAACACAACTACAAGCAAGAAAGCTCTGAGGACATTTTTTTAACGTTCCAAGTGAAGGGAATCTTCTACAAACTGCAGATTCAAAACGATACCTGCTCGAAGAGGGTTCCAACGTTTGCCGACACCAACAGCAACGACAGCTCTTCGTGGTCGGAAGACATCCTTGGCCAGCTAATTACAGGCGATCATCTGCCCAGCACACAAGCTGCGAAATTGACAATCCAACGGCGTCAAAAATTTCCAATACTCCACGAGCGGAACGGCAGGCAATTTTCACTCGTTTATCTCGACACTCTCTAAACTGCAGTAGCTACTGTACTGGCAGTGGCAAATCAAACCAGCGTAACGTGGCGTGGGGTGGGGAAGCACTATGAATCTGTCAAGACAGCAACCTACAGCTCATCTAAAAAATCCAATGTTCCACTCCTCACACAGAGCTATCTGACGCACCGGGCCCGCCGGTTGTCCAGAAATACCGCAGTTTGGCCAAACAAACCAAGAAACCTGACGTCGATCGATGAAGTAAGTGCTCAGCTTAGCTGGCTAGCCAGTGCCAGTGCAGTGCTAGTGCCAGTGTGTTGAAGTCTTGATTGAAGATCTACGCGCGGTAGTGTGAGTGAGTACACATTTTTCACTACAGCCTGCAAAGATGCACAATTACAGACTAGCTGCGCTGCATCATGCATCAGTGCAGTGCATGCAAGGATCTAGGAGGAAGTCGTAAAATACCGGTATTTTACGACTCCCAGGTAAGCAGCTAGCGGTGCGGTGCGCGGCGCCGTGACTCCTGCGCATAGCGCTTGCGAGCGACACGACATAACGCGTACGGCCCACAGGATCTAGCAGTGTACATGGTGTACTACTACTGTACTAGCGCCGGGATACCCCCGGTAGCGGGAGATGAGGATGAGCTCGAGGAGGTCGTATTTATACGACTCCCTGGTCACGTGAACTGTTGGTGACCCACTCAACGCCCGGCCGCAGGGGACAACGGTCGGTTCAACTCAGCTCAGTAGTGACGGTACAATACTCAATATTTTCGATTTTGACAGCATGTTTTACAAGGCGAGGACTTCTACTCCCTGGTTCAACTAAACAAAGTAAAATAAAAGTCTAAACCCAGCACTGCAGCAGGACATGTGCCATGTGATGGCTATGGATCAGTCAACTGTCTTGTTTCACTTTTTCAGTCAAACAGTTATCGATCTCATGGTTGTACACGGTATGAAGTAAGTAAGTACATGTAACTTGTTACTTCAAGAGTAAAATGTCATGTACATAACCATTGGTTATGACTTCTGTACTCTTGATGATACTGTAAGTAACAGTTAGTTGCTTGGGAATAATTATTATTTTCATGTTGATTGGGACAGTGTGTATATGTCAAGGCAGAGGATGCACTCACGGTGTTGAAAACAATGCTCCTGACAATACCATTATCGGTTGGCAGAGCCCCGGGTTGCGACCGTTTGAACCGCAAGGGGCTAGCCCCGGTTCTGACCCTCATTATACTAGGGTAGCAGCAAGAATTCATAACCCCCATGAACTCTTGGTAGCAAGAGTACATAACCCCTACAATTATGTAGAGGTTGTGCAGGCAGTTGCACACTCTTGGGGGTTATGTACTCTTGGTAGTAGGGAGTTGTTTTTACTGTCAATTGTGTATTCCTTGCTCGTTCTTGGAAGTTGGATGTCAGTCCTGCATAAATCCTCTTGATCCTTTTAAATTCTTTATTAATTTTTGGCCAGAACTAAATATTGCGACAGAGCTTTCGGCCATATTTTCAATTCATGCATTCCCAACTCATCACAACCACGCGCTCTTCAGCCGAACCATACAGACACCAGCAAGGACACTTCCGTTGAGAGATAATAATTATTGCTCCACGCCTCTAGACAGCTGTTTCGCTCCCTGTTGGAGCTCATCAGTAGAGGATGATAATGATGATAATGGAGGAATGATCATTCTTATACACCAGAAATGGCGCAAGTGCGCGCTTTCCACATTTTTGGCCAGAGGTAAGAGAAACTGAATAAAGAGAAGAAAAAATGGAAAGGAAAAAAAGAAACAAAACAAAGAAGCATGTAAAGAACCAACGCTAAAACAACAAACACCACTGAGCAGGAGAATTGGTTCTTTATAGCCGCAGTTATTTACTAGCATAACAGTGTAACAGGCGAACATGACTGTCATGATTGGCATGTGGCCCAAACCCCTTCAGCTTGCAGTTCAATTTGCTCGCGTTCGCCGTCCGTCATCTCATCGTACGATTTGTTCTCTGAGGAAGTAAACACGCATACCACAAAGAAAAAAAAGAATAAATATACAATTGCACCATCCATCTCTGTGCAAGGGAAACGAAATGCATTATGCAGCACTGCGTTGACTTGCCTTTTTCAGTCAGCTGCAATGTAGTCGTACTCTGGTCATCTTTGTTCCGGAGCACGACACTTTCTAGGCTGAAGCCGAACGACTCTGTAAACCACAGCGCCGAATGTACTTGATCTCTCAGTCTCGACATTCTTCGATTCCTCTGACGAGGGCTGATTGCGTCTAACGGCTTCCCTCTCATAAGCAAATTTTTGTCCTTGTCGTTCTGTTTCTCGATATCCCTCTCCAGGTCCACCACACGCCTCTGCATGGCAGCCAAGTCGCTGACGCTGGCGTTGCTGACGATGTCAGCTTCATCAAGCCGCAGCTCATAGGTTCGCCCTGGAAAGGAGGAGATTCATAATCACAGTATTCCTTTGATACCATTCTTTATTTTCATCACTATTCTCACGATGGTACAATATTATCAGTGCTTACCTTTGTAACATATTTCAGCACTTTTCTTCTTCTTTTTTCTCTGCTGCTCGAAGGAGTATCTTGCCTTCTGCACTCTTTCAAAGAGCTCCCGTTGCCTGCCATCCTTGATGGTAATCTTTCCTCCGGCCTGTGTTTTACTGAAAAAATCGTTCCAGTCCTTGTGCTGGGAACATAGAACACTCAGTGGAACCTCCACAACAATACCTTGTCCTGTCTGGGTCTGGCTCTGGCTCCCCTCAGTCTGGGCTGACTGTGCTGACACAAGGGTGTCAGTTGTAACAGTAACTGAGGGAGAGGAAGCCATGTTGGCACATGTCACACTTCTGCACTGTGACTGGAAAGTGGAAGTGCCCCTGCTCTAGCCATTTATAGGAATCTGTTGATGGATGCAGTTCATTTTCCCACACTTTTTGGGCTGCTATAGAGACTGTCTTGTGATTAGTTGAGCCGAGCACATGATCACATCAATCATGATCACATCACCCAGTAGGATCGCCAGATTCAAAAAAGCCGTCTAAAAGTTGCACTTTTATTTGCAGTCGCGGGAAATTTGAAGCCCTCCGTGGACGAAAATTCTCAAGGCAACAATATGCCGACGAAAACAAAGACAACCACCGCACTGAAAATACTCCACTTCGCTTGCATTCCGTACGCTCTACCCAATCCTACACATACAGAGTCCCCTGAGATTTTTTAGCGAAGGCCACAGATGAGAAATAGTGTCGTCTTCGTCGGCTCTCTGGAAGGTAAATCAATTCTTGGATTCAAAACGTCCCTCCGAAGATTTCGTGCCGCATTGTTTGGCACTAGCCGATTTCAATTCTTTTTGCATGTGTGCACAGATATTGCTTCCATCTGTCGGTGACAGGATTCTCTTTAGTGCCAGTTACCCGATTACTCTGTACTCGCCAGGTTTTCGGCTTGCCATATTTTTAGTGGAAATTCGTGTCATACAGTCATAATAATACTATACTCTCGTACTGAGTAGAAGGTGAACCTCTTTCAGTACTCGGTGTATGGTGTCAATGGAAAATAATACAAAAACAGTGATGGAAGCTGGCAACAATGGCACAATGATCACACCATAATAATAATTAATGAAAGGAAACGGCCAATTTCAATAATAGAAATGGGACGAACAACTTCTGGAGATAAACTTCATCCTGGTCAGCAATGCGGTCCAGATTGCGCAATTTGCAAACAGCCAACATACAAGTTTACACATCCACAAATGATACAGGACTGGGAAGCTATAAAGCTGTCAACAGCCGTACCAAATACTGCATGTGTATGCTGGCCTTGCGTGAAGGCACTGCGAAATGGCTGCCAGCGAGGAGCAGCCGGCAAACCGGCAAAGCCACTGTGCAGTGTTGACGACTGTGAGAGTGAAATGCACTGCCATGATGCATCCCAGCAGCCAATGTGCAACCTACATTATAACCAGGCATACAATAGACCTGCATGCGGAATGTGCAAACAGCGCCTACAACCACCGAGGCGGAAGTCACCAAACTTTCCTTCAATCCAGCATTTCCTGCAAGTAAACTGTGAGACAGAGGTCATACCGGAGGATTGGTACTGCACCACATGCTACAATGCCCAGCTTAATATACTGAGAGACATTGGCGGGACTGGTGATGACGCACCGGCCAGCACAGATCACCAGCTGCAGTCCCTCATCACTAGCATTGATCAGTCACTGGCACGTGGGCATGATGCGCAGCTGGTAGCTGAACGTTTCGCCGCTGAGCAATTGCTTCATCGGGGAGCTGTCCTTCTGGTGACTGTACACGAGGTGTATGAGGAAGCAGACAAGGAGCAAACTGGAAGGAACGCTAGGTGGCTGCTCTATCGTTTGATACATCGTCTTGACCACCATGCCTCAATTAAAAAACTTGGTGCGTCCCGGAAGCATGGAATCATGCTTCACCGAAATGGGTCAGACACGCTGCAGTCACTCTACTACTCCATGGTGGAGCAGCGACGGAATCTTCTACAGCAGAGGCAAGAACCAGCCGCCCTGAGCACAGCAACACATACAAGCAGTACCAACAACAGCGACAACTCCAGAATGGCTACACTGTTGGAAGAAGTGTCCACAATGATAAACAAGAAAGTGAAAGGACAGGCACAACTTTTTCATGGGAAAGAGTACGCAAATGGTACGGTACTATCCGAAGCAGATTTCAGTGATATCATTGCAGACATGGATTCAGATTTATGGCAGACAGTGTGGCGCATGGTGTACGGCAACGAGTACACTAATTGCCAAGCCACAGAGTCACAATTTGAACATACAAAGAAGATGCGCTGCCTTAACATTGTAGCATGTATGCTTCATGCATCAATGCCATCATGTACATACCCAATACATACCCTCCTGAGCGACGCCGTGGAGACTTATAGTCATTCAAACGAGCTGATGAAAATCCTTGCCAAGCTTGGAATAGTTGCTGGACGAGATACATTCGATCGCTACAAGATGGCAATGGTTGACCAACATATGTCCGCTGGAGTTCAGAAAGACATGATGTTGCATACATTTTCCCTTGCGTCTGTGGATAATATCGACAAAGATATGCAGTGGCAAAGAGTGAGCTGCGAAGACAGCCGGCGTGGTTTCCATGGCACCACAATACAACACGTAAACCCTATGCCGATTACGTGTCCGGCGTCAACATCGCCAACTGACCTAATGCCCGGTCACAGTGACAGGTTTCTGTGCTCAACAAGCAATTATGAGCCAGCCACTAAGAGAACTCGCCGAAGAACCCAGAAGGAGCTCCAGAGCGCAGCAACAACCTCAGCTAGTGGTGAAGTAAACGCAGCAAATGTACAATCAATAACAGGAGGAGCAACAGAAGCAGCAATGCCATTGGAAGCATCAACAGCTGCAGCATGGTCGCCAGCAGTGGCAGCAGCACCACAGCCGGCCACAGCCGCACAAACTGATACAACAGCACAGCCAGCTGAAGTACCAGAAGAGCCAGTCGCAGCTCCAATCGTAACAGCATCAACGCAAATCTCCTCCTCATCATCAGCAGCAGCAACGCCATGTTCAGCCACAACAGCCACACCGGTACTAGCAAAACCAGTTGCAACAACAGGAGAGGCAACAGCAGCAACAGCAGCACCGACAATTGCAGCAGCTACGTCACCTGCAGCACCCAGCATTAACACAACAGCAAGAACTGGTGCAGTTACAAACATGGTTGTGGCGCCGTTGAATCAGGAGACATGCTTAAGATTTTCTGGCTCAGAATGTTGGTACGACAGGAGTGTACTTACACTAGACAATTTCAAAATGGGAGCTCAGGAGACCATCGAACTGGATCGCCTGAAAGAGCAGCTGAAAGCGTACACTTCTGCCGAGCAACAGACTGGCCTGAAACCGTTTTTCACGCAGGTATTCAAGGACAAACCTGCGGAAGAGTCTAACATTGTGTACCTCGGCGTAATTAACGAGCCAGCAGACTCCAAAACAACAATGAAGTCTGTGCTAGATAAGCTGCATGGCATCTACGGCGTTGGCAAAATTACAAAATGGCTTTGCGTGGTTGGAGACGGCAAAACTTATGACCATTTGCTAAACCTGCAGTCAGAGTACGGCAGTGAGCTCGATTGGGTTGTGCCATTCATTGGCGATTGGCACACGCTCAAAGCTCTGCAACCCGTACTGATGAGGGTGTACTGGGACGCGGGCCTGAAGCAACTTGCGAGAGCAATGGGATTCAAAGGTGAAGCTCTCACCAGCCTTGAGAAATGTGGCAATTTCCGGAAGACGCACAACTTCATTCTGTCTGCATACCAAGTGATAACAATGTCCTTGGACGCATGCTCGGCAACGTACAGCGATGCACAATGCAAGTACGATGAGGTGTGGGAATTTTGGAGTGCGTTCGCCAGCAGAGATTGCATTGTTTACATTGCTCTTTGGGTAGCCATTCGGTCACGCAACTGGCAACTGCGTATTGCAGCACTGAAAATGGCTGCCCCACTGTTTCATGCTTTGGACCGAACGTTCTATTTGCGGTTGGTGCCAAGACACCTAAGCCACATGGGTGCTTTGCCACAAGAGATCCAGCAGCATTTCCAGAATGGAGGGTTTGCGGTTGGCCTCTCGAAGACGTCATTCAACACAGTTGGAATTGACGAGGCACACGAAATGTGCATTAATCGCAACTTAAAAAAAGCGCTAGTGACACCTGATGCGGATTACTTCGACCGTCAAGTGCACTACTTGCCACAAAGAGCGCACATGATGTCCAATCTTTGATGTCCAATCTTTCAGCACAGCTCTTTCCCACAATTAACCCAAGCAAAGAGAAGAGTACATCCGGAGCCACAAGCGGGACCACTCCAAGCGAAGCTGTGTTTAAAGGCAACTGCCAAGCCATGGAGAAACTCCTAACAGATGCAGGCCTGTTCCACAACAATGGCCCACGGGTACTGCACAACGTGTTCACTGGTGAAGTGGCTACGCAAGAAATGAGAGCAGATTTGTTAAGTTTTTACAGTACTGGCACACGGACATACCTTGCGTATGTTGAGAGTCGGATCCTCCGCATCCCAAGCGCTAGCCCTCCTCAACGACAGCATCGATTGCGTACCTTTGCAAAGGCAAGCGAGAGGAAGAAAGCCCACAGCCAGAAAAACAAAGACAACAAACTGGTCACAACGTGCCTCAAACGCCGCCTTGCTTTCTCGCAGACACATGGCACAACTGCAAATGGCATTGGCGAACAGCTGATTGTGACACCCCGTGCTCTTACAGACGATGGCAGGCTGCCAAGGAAAGGTGTTAAATCGACTGTCACTAAATTCTTTGAAGGCCGGTATGATGGTATCATCACAGCAAAACTTCCCTCACAGATGCTAACAGCTACGACAGCCATCATCCATGATGCTATGTTCGTGATTAACACCTCACCAATCGGTACTCACCGGACATTCGCGGATTATGCCACGTTCCTCATCCAACGGTGGATCACGCCTTGGTATAGGTTGGGCATACAGTCGGTTCACCTGGTCTTCGACCACCCAAACGTAGCTGGTGTCAGCCCAAAGGATCTTCTCCGGGAGCAACGTGATGCCGTGGGCGATGCGTCTACCCTGTGCACATCAGAGCTGTGCTGCAACCATGAGTCAATCACTGGAGACATGGCACTGCCAAAGAGCTGGAGGAAGTTCTTGTCTTGTCGGAAATGCAAGAGAATGTTAGTTAATTTCATTACCACATTTAGCCTCTTCAATTCCCTGCACTTTCTCCGGCAACCGCATCAAGCCTTTGTGACTGGAGGTGGCTTGGACGGGGAATTCACTGGCAAGGCACTTGGGACAGCGTACGGTGATCCAGTGGTAAAACAGCTAGACGTGTATGCGTCCGATGCAGAAGAGGCCGACTCTCGAGTGTGGCGTCACGCGGCAGCAAACGACCCAGTAGTCGTGTACAGTCCAGACACGGATACCTATCATGTCGCCCTATCTGGACGGGAAGTCGCAGACAGAAGTATAGCTGTACAACTGGATATGCCTGGTGCACCGGAACGGAAGTTTTTGCTCCTAAGCAAATTGGCCAAGGCCATCAATGGCGATCCAGATTTGGCCAAGGTGCCCAGCGATAGTCGTCTGATGCTACTGCAAGCACTATTCGTTCTGACTGGGTGTGACTACTTGTCCTACTTCTCTGGCATCAGCAAATTAACATTCTACAAGATCATGTTCCAATATGCTTCATTCATCACGAGCGGCGTGGATGCATTGGGACTGCTGAGTGACACACACAGGCAGAACGGACAGCGTGGATACTTGGCATTCCTACGACTCGTGGGCACAGCATACTATCAAAAGCATGTTGCAGCTTTTGAAGCCAACAGCCCGCACGCATTGTTCAAACAACAAGCTACAGAGACACCAGTCGACCAGCACAATACCTGGCTGTCAAAGATCAGGGATGCTGTTTGGCAACGAGTTGATGCGGAAGATGATTGTGTACCATCAGCGTCTGCCCTGCTTCTTCACTGGAAACGTGCTTGCTGGGTATTGGATATGTGGCGCCAGGCTGAGCGACCCACAGTACAGTGCCCACCATTGAATGGAAATGGGTGGCTTTTGTGTGACAATGCACTTTCTATTCATTGGGAGCTAGAGGAGCATGCAGAGGTGGTGAGGCAACGGGTCTTGGCTTTGACCAAGGGTTGCAGCTGCAAGAAGGGTAGCTGCGAATCAAAGCGATGCAAATGCCGGAAATCTGGCAAAATCTGTGGTCCTGGGTGCAAATGTCGCCACTGCACCAACACGGGCAGGCTTGTAGTGTCCCTGGAACACAGCAGCAGCAGCAGTGAATCCTCCAGTGACGATGAATCTGAACAAACCCAACAACAGCAAATCACAGTGGGTGATAATGAGAGAGGCACAATGGCCATGGAGAGCCTAAATGGTGACATGGACAGTGACAATGATATCACATGCTGACGTACAAGGTATGTTGATATATGACGGTAGTGGTACAGTAGCAGTAATGAGATGTTGATCTACGTTCACTTTCAGAGCTGCGGATCCATTGGGATAACCAATTAACACCACAACTGGTGATACTGCTCCTTATTTTAATGGCATTCAGTGGCATGATAGGAGTTATCAGTGTAAAATTAATCTTGGCCATAACACACATTTAATTTCATGAAGAGGCTTCACTAGTTAGAATGTTAGATGTGTTGGCTAGGGTTTACCGGGTGTTAGCGGCCGTCGTGAGTTCCCTTCCGGAACGGACACGATAATTTACTTTACTTCCAGTACATGTTCCACTCTACGTCTCTTCCATATCATCCATTCAAATAATTCTGACAAAGGATTCGACGTTGTATCTTTTCTGTGCCCTACACAGCTTTATACGCACGTCCTTCTGACTAACACATCACAGTAAAAATGAAGCATATAATGACGTCAATACTATCAATGTGGCAAGAATATTAATGGATCAAGCAAGTCAATGTGGCAAGAATATTAATGGATCAAGCAAGATCGTTGCTGCCAAACAGATCAGGGCACCACTGATTGAAACTTACTATTTCAGGTCGAAGCATTATGGAATACACGGTAAGTACCTTATACCCTTCGCTCTTAGTCACCAGATACATTACATATGCATATCCACCTTCATTAATTTACTGGTGTATTATTTTAGCAAAACAAATTCATCAGCATTATGGAATGCACGACAATTACTTTATACCATTCGCTCTTTGTCAATAGATGCGGCAGACATGCATTGTCCATGATTGCTATGCTAAACAGAGACATATTGCCCCTGATTATGCGAAAATATTAGTCGTGATTTTTCACATAATAGCAACACACCTTTGGGAATTTCGTGCCGCGTTGTGTGGCAAGCACGTACACTGCTTTCTTTTGTTGCTTGATAAACTAGAGTGTTGCGGTAACCTACCCACCAAGTGGCTTTAGTGCCAGTTATACAGTTTTCACTTACCAGCCAGTTCTTTCGAGCCCAATGATTGATGAATGCAAATGGAAATGACGAGTGTCCAACAAACATCAGCCGTGTAACTGCGCTTCACGCAGCCCATCCTCAAACTAATATCATATTGGGGTAGAAGGTATCCCTACGGAGTCGAAAACACCCTTTGATTGCCCTTGGCCGGCCTCTGAGACGACGAGGGCCAGGCAGAGTCCTCCACAAATTTCGGAATTTCGGCCATTCCTGAAGGCCTGAAAAGACAGCGTCATGGGGGCTTTGTTTCCCGCGGTTGCAAATAAAACTGGCCCTTGAGTAGGGCTTGGCGATCCTACTGCACCCATCTCTCTAGCCATTTATAGGAATTAATCAGGGAGTCGTAAAATACGACTCCCTGGAATTAATTATTTGTTGATGGATGCAGTTCATTTTTCCCACACTTTTTGGGCTACTATAGAGACTGTCTTGTGATTGGTTGAGCCTAGCACATGATCATGTCAACCATCTCTCTAGCCATTTCCAGGAATTATTTGTTGATGGATGCAGTTCATTTTCCCACACTTTTTGGGCTACTATAGAGACAGTCTTGTGATTGGTTGGGACTAGCACATGATCATGTCAACCATAGTGCTTGTGTTGCATGGACCATGGGCTACAGTACTATGGAGATTTTCTTGTGATTGGTTGAGCCTAGCACATGAGTCATGACTACATCATATCAACCATACTTGTTGCATGGGCCATGGGCTACTATGGAGATTATCTTGTGATTGGTTGAGGTACGTCTGTAGCTAGCTTAGTTTTGAGTGCTCCTCGTACATTTTTGATCGTGATAGAAAATTCTCAGACCAAAGTCAGACCAAAGTCCATCAATTGCCATGATGGCCGATCAGTTTTCTTGTGGATTTTTTAGTTGTTTCGTCTCGTATCTATGTCAGTATCGTGATGGTGAAGTGGAGAGGGTGATTTTCTTCCTCCGGCTTTTTATACAAGACTTTACGGTATATATGGCTTTTACAGTATTTTTTTTTAAGATGGCACATCACACACACCCACACACACCTCAGACCTCAGACCTCAGACCTGCCCATCGCAGAAGCAATGCTAGCGAACAGTTATGTTAAAAATAGCAACTAGTGCTGGGATTGCACCATTCAACAGCTTGCAAGGCTGATGAATTGACCGCCACTAATTTTAGCCTGGTATCCACCACACAGCTGATTGAAGTGGCTTTTTTCTGGCCAGTGAATCCCTTTTTTTTTTTTTCACTTTACACACACACACACACAGAGGGCAGGGGGGTTCTTGCTTTACAACACAATACCCCAAAGGGCCATGCTACCGCTACATGTAAAGTATTCTAATACGTGGACCTGTTCCTTTGGCCTTGGTGACTCCAGTGACAGTGTGACTGAGTGAGTGCCATTCTGACTTCCTGTGCAGTGCATGTAGTGGCAAAAAGACCAGGCCGGCCAGCATAACATGCAATGACATTACTCAATCTGCAGACAGAACTGTTTCGTCCTTTGTGGACTCGTACTCACCAGTGCAGCACAGAGAAAACAATGACAATAATAATTACGTATTATGGTACACAACCATGAACCATAATAAGTATCATGCTGGAAGTAGCTGACACCACGCACTTTACTTCACAACTACCCTTCTGCACACTTACATTGTACAAGGATGGCCTATACAGGGGAACATCTACCATGTCTGCACGGCATACAAGGCATTCAAGGATCATGGCTACAAAGGGCCCATACTGACGTACTGGGCTCATACATGTACATTGCAGGCATGATTCCCACATTGTGACCACTCCATTTACTATTCTCTTCTAGGACCTTGCCTGACAGTAACAGCAGTAGTACAGAGCTGGTACATGGTGCGTACTAAACATGGTGTTCAAACTACAGGACTATACATACAAGGAGGAAACTTCCTTCTGCCAGCGGAGAGGGCTCAACACAATAATGTGGAGCACTAGTACACACAAAAAGGTACAATGGAGGTTTACAGATTTGTCGCAACTCAGAGTTTCTTGCTCAATGCAATCATCAGGCGACTATTACATGTTCAGTGGGACTTGGCCAATATAAAGCATAGTTTGGTGATAGCTGGTTGGTACCTGATTCAGCACAGAAAATATTGCCATGATGGCCGTGTGGAGGGTCACTTAGGTGTGGGAGCTATTAGTGCAGAAAGTATGTAAACCTCCGCTGTGCCTTTGTGTGGACTATACATACATGTGCCCTGCCAATTAATCCATTAACACAAGTACCCCACATACAATGTACGGAATTGAACTGAACAATGCATGCAGAGGAGGTTGAACAAGTTAGTTGAGTTACAACGTCATGTCCAAGGGTGTGTGAGCCAATCTCCCCTGGGAAGACCCAACCATTGGATATTATTTTTTACAACGTCGGATCAAGCAAGCCAGAGAGGGGGATGAGGGGAGGGGGGGGGCGAGTGGCATGGAAGTACAGACGTGAAACAATACACCCTGCCTCTGGTATACATACTTCACACTCCAGCACGATTCGGAATACACAACTCATTCACACACACACACACACACACACACACACACACACACACACACACACACACACACACACACACACACACACACACACACACACACACACACACACACACACACACACACACACACACACACACACACACACACACACACACACACACACACACACACACACACACACACACACACACACACACACACACACACACACACACACACACACACACACACACACACACACACACACACACACACACACACACACACACACACACACACACACACACACACACACACACACACACACACACACACACACACACACACACACACACACACACACACACACACACACACACACACACACACACACACACACACACACACACACACACACACACACACACACACACACACACACACACACACACACACACACACACACACACACACACACACACACACACACACACACACACACACACACACACACACACACACACACACACACACACACACACACACACACACACACACACACACACACACACACACACACACACACACACACACACACACACACACACACACACACACACACACACACACACACACACACACACACACACACACACACACACACACACACACACACACACACACACACACACACACACACACACACACACACACACACACACACACACACACACCACTGACGCATATAAAAGTTACACCGGTATATGTACAGCCCTGGAAAGCACGAATCAATCAGACCCAAGACAGCTTTTATTTGTTCTTCTGGTAAGTGCCAATGATGCACCTCACATTCGAGGGCTTTCTAAAATAAAATAAAAATCGCCTACTAGTGTGCTTCGTGGCAGTCAGTCCTCTTCATCATGATCAACAATATGGTAATGCTGAGGAAGGCACAAGGGACCGTCCCTATCAAGCTGCACCATAGCGAACTCTATGCAGAGCATCGGGGAAGGTCTGGGTTACCTCCTTCCATGGGCGCTCTACAACTGCTAGTCGTGACTGGCCGCAGCATCCAATCGCCAGTATGTCCTGAGAGCAAGAGTAGAAGAAGACAAATGTAACAATCAAGCACCAGGAAAGATGGTCAAATTCACTACAACCACTGCCTGATCCGGTGAGAGAAAGATAGCCGTGTCCCCTGGGTAGTCGTGGATCATACATAAACCTGTCTGTGTGTTTGTTCAAAGTAATGTTACATGTAACAACATCGGGAGTTGACCATAACCAACGCAAGCCAAGTACATGTGTGATGAAAAAACAGTGATCATGGTGATGCTGCTTTGGGATTATACAAGCTTATGGCACTCATACGTGTAAACCAAGAAAAAGAAGAGCAGTATTGATAGATCATGGCAGAGCTACAAAGTCTCTTACATGACTATTTGGGGTTTGTTTCACGGGACATTCATTCCGGTTTAGACACATCTCGAAAATAAATCCCATTTACGAAAACCAGCACGGGTTCATATGCCTGCTTTCGCCCAGAATAGCAGTCACTTGCAGAATTTCTCTGCCTTTCGGTGCTAAATGCAGGCAGAACATGATGTAGAGTGTGATATCATATTAACTTTGTCTGTGTCCTGCACCAAGGTATTTCTATTCATGACACCAAGGGTCATGGGTACACTAGCAGAACATGCCAAAGAGCACTATGTAACACTAACGAGACCCCCCCCCCCCCCCGAAAAGTGCAAGTGCATGTGCGTGCCTCGTACAGTTACCAGTGGCACCTGCAAAGCACACCTGAGAAATGCAGACAACTAGAAATTGAGGACAACTTTCAGCAGTGCCTTGAAGGTACAAATCTGCATACTTCAATCTCCAAAAAGAGTACACCTTGGAAATGAGGAAAACTTGCGCTAGTCCCTTGGATATCTGCATGTCTCAGTTTCCACAATACCGAACTCCTTGTGAACTAATTCTGCAGCTGCGCGTGCTACTTTGCCGCGGGGTTGATTTAGCACAGCTGGCGCAAAGGTGGCAGTGCACGAACCAGTGGTCTTTCCCTACGTAGTCTACAGCCTGTGCGTATACATGTAAGCAAAACAAACTCGTATGCAGTACTAGATGCTAGAAAAACACTATTATTTTACCGAAAGAAAATTTCCTTTTTTTCTGCAAAATGATTTCAAGACACAGGAAGATGCCTCACACTTACAGCAAAGTGAGTAGAGATTGAGAGCGACTTGGCAGGTGAACCTGCCTTCTCTTCTGTGTCCATGGCCTCACATGCAGCCTCGGGCAAGTCAGCAGTGGACTTGCGCTTCCGTGGCCGGACCTTCGTGTCCACGGCCTTTTCCGGGGCCTGACCAAGCAAAGACAGCACAATAAAAGACACACACACATGCACACGCACGCTCAAGCGCGCGCACACACACACACACACACACACACACACACACACACACACACGCACACAAACAGACGTCAGCAACTCCGGAAAGTATTACTAATAGGCTTAATAGCCCAAGACAAAACACACATGAGATTGTAGAAACTCTTCCTCTTTTAGCGGATATACAGTACTTTCCAAAGATAGGCACAACAATCAGGGTAGTTCTTGGGAGAAAAGGGCTTGCTTTTTCCTTGGGAGTTGGAAGTCAGTGGCTGTTTCAGGACTCTTATTGATTACGAATTTGAACTAAACACAACGTAGAAATAACACAATTGTCTCTTGACGCTCTTGTATTTATCCGTCCGATGTCAACAAAACGTCACACTTGTAGTACTGAATGCGGCAAGTAGAGCTCGCCCATCCACCCCTCCCCACCTGGACCTATTGGAAGGGTCGCGGAGGTAGAGGCGCTCTGGAGGGATTTTACAGTGTCGGTTGACTTGCGATATACCCCCCCCCCCCTTCCCAAATGAACAATGTTCGTTTCAGGCACGACAAAAAGCTTTTCCGACGACCCCTTAGAAGAGCCGAGTTGAACTATCCCAAGAAAATGGTTGCTGTCAGTCTCACCATTATCTATGGAATCATCATAGCAATGAGATTGTCAAAGTGGACATCCACATGAAAATGGTCATTCCCTATCGTAATTGTAGATTTCGTTGTAATGTCTATGGGAAATGCATACAAAAGGTAGCTTTCCAGGGAATTTTCCAAGCTCTTCCGCACTAATCCACCCCTCCCCTTGGAAGACGTCGAGGAGTTTGGAAGAGCCTAGAGGACATTTCAGGAACGGCGGAACCGGTACGGTTGGTGTGACCATGGCTGGACCCCCACTGTTTGGCCACCAACGCGTGCTAACTGCTGAGAAAGTCATGTCCCTGCCATATCATGCACAAAGTATGAAAGGCTATAGCTGGACCAATCAATAGCCGCTTCCAACGGTACTGAGTGACTTTCATTTCTGAAGTGGCCAAAAAGCCACCTCTTCACGAAAAGTCAAACAGTGACGATTCGAATCCATTTCTAGATAAGTATTTCCAATGTATTCCCTTCCACCCTTTGCTTGTCTGTGCCTATAATATTATGCTACACAGTTACAGGTAGGAAAAGAGATGATGAGAAAAAAGAGAAAAACCCCAGTGTAACCAACCTTGTCCAGGTCCAGCGTCGCCATGAACGCATTGGAATAGAACATGACACGTTTGTCGTTAAGCTCCATGCAGTCCATGACGGGACCAAGACTGCGTCGAGCTGTACTAATCGTCCGCAGGTGCGGTGAGAGATCGTCCAGACTGCCATCGGTGAAATTGAACAGATACACCTAGGTTACAGGTACACACACGCGCACGCGCACGCGCACACACACACACACACATACATGCGCGCGCACACACACACACACACACACACATACATGCGCGCACACACACACACACACACACACACACACACACACACACACACACACACACACACACACACACACACACACACACACACACACACACACACACACACACACACACACACACACACACACACACACACACACACACACACACACACACACACACACACACACACACACACACACACACACACACACACACACACACACACACACACACACACACACACACACACACACACACACACACACACACACACACACACACACACACACACACACACACACACACACACACACACACACACACACACACACACACACACACACACACACACACACACACACACACACACACACACACACACACACACACACACACACACACACACACACACACACACACACACACACACACACACACACACACACACACACACACACACACACACACACACACACACATAAAGCAGCAATGTGAGTGGGATTGTCTACTCTTGTGGCTACTAACAATTTACAAGTACACTACATGCTCCGTATAAAAGTGCTGCCTACATTTCGCATAGGCCGATGGTTAGATAATCTTGAATCAAACTTCAACTTACAGCTTTAATGAACACGGCATGCTTCGTGTCAATGCCCTCTTCAAAATCTCCTGCTTCTATTCAAATCACGGGTCAAGTCTTGCCTTTTCACAAGAAAAGAGAGACACATGTATTCACTTTATGGCCGACATAGGCATGATTGCTTCTTTTTACTTCCCAGCAGCTCAATGATCTGGTTATGTATGTCAATCTGCTACTTACCTGGTACGCTAATGTATAAATAAGAAGAGATGATGATGAGGAAGATGGGAACATCATGGCTGAACACTGGCTTGGCAGGCGAGGTGACGATAACTTTACCTGCACACACACGTACGCACATACACACATATCCAATGCACACACATACACAAGCCACACCCACAAACAACACACCCACCCACAAACAACACACCCACCCACAAACCACAAACCACAAACCACAAACCACAAACCACAAACCACAAACCACAAACCACAAACCACAAACCACAAACCACAAACCACAAACCACAAACCACAAACCACAAACCACAAACCACAAACCACAAACCACAAACCACAAACCACAAACCACAAACCACAAACCACAAACCACAAACCACAAACCACAAACCACAAACCACAAACCACAAACCACAAACCACAAACCACAAACCACAAACCACACACACACACACACACACACACACACACACACACACACACACACACACACACACACACACACACACACACACACACACACACACACACACACACACACACACACACACACACACACACACACACACACACACACACACACACACACACACACACACACACACACACACACACACACACACACACACACACACACACACACACACACACACACACACACACACACACACACACACACACACACACACACACACACACACACACACACACACACACACACACACACACACACACACACACACACACACACACACACACACACACACACACACACACACACACACACACACACACACACACACACACACACACACACACACACACACACACACACACACACACACACACACACACACACACACACACACACACACACACACACACACACACACACACACACACACACACACACATATGGACGGATGGACATATAGACAGGCAGGCAAACACAATCAACAACACGAAGGGACAGAGAAACTAACTTTGAGCGGCTGACATATACCATAATATATAGTTTGTACGGGGTCACCTGGCAGGACTACATTGTAAACAAGAAACCGATTTTTCAGACACATTCTATGCCAGGTGGTGCTGTAGCACACAAAAAAGTGTTCCCAGGAACTAAACTGATAGAATAGACCGATTGATAGCAATCAAAACTATTGCCACGACAAAAAAAATACAATGTACCTTCTCCTTTTTCAGATCGATGACATCAATGTGGTTGTCCGCGAATGCTATGGCTGCATACCGTCCAGATGTTGAGACTTTGAGGCCTACGCAGGCTGCAGAAAGTCGAGTAGACAACAGAGTGCGAAACAGGCGCATTTCAAGCAACTTTTGTGAGAAACTTGTCCATCGTCGTTTTAGCTGCACTGCTGACTGGGCAGAATGCAGAAGTGCTACGGGGTAGACCAAATGACTGGATACAGCTAGAGTGCAAAGGAAGCTATCACACCAGAGCTCAGTGCCCCATTCATCCTTTCCTATTACAGGTGGAATCCTGATAATTCGAACACCAAAATGCCACGGAAAAACTTCTAATTATGGAGGATTAGCAAGACGAAATTCGCGTTCGCGTTCGCAAACATTTTTCAGTTCGCGAACTGGATTGCGAACTTTCGCATTTTTCGTTCGGAAAAGTAGTCGGAACACGAATTGTGGATTCGTGTCAGGGCAGTCATAAATTTACCACGCTGTACTGCCTACGTCGTGTCAACATCATGCATGTGCGAATTCTGTTTGCTAATCCTTCTCATAACGCGAATTCCGTCACTGAGTTCGACTTTCTTTGGAGAGCGAACGCGAACGCGAATTTCGTCTTGCTAATCCTCCGTATTATCCGGACATTCTAATTATCCAAACATGTACCCAGAACACATTATGTATGTCAAAATGCTCGCATTAACACGCAGAATTGCACTACGCACCTTAGACACAGATTCAGTGGACACTGAACTGCCTGTGCATGCAAACCAGACTGATTTGCACAAAATAAAGTGAACTTCTAATTATGTACCCAGTTCGAGGTTCTAATTATCAGAAATTGTTATGTGGAAATCGTATTGGCAGAAATCGATCCCGGAAGAAACTTCCAACTAAGCAGTATGTTCTAATTAAGCCATATTCGAATTATCAGGATTTCACCTGTACCAGCATAAATCAGCCGGGCACTACCGTTACATGTTGTACTTTGACGCAGTACAGCCTACAGGCATGAACATAATATGAAGCGACCTACTCGTTACTTTGCACGTCAAAAACGCCTCAGAGTGATACCGCGGGTTGCTGAAGGGTGCAACCGATCTAGGCACAGATAAAATAATGTACATAGCGTACAATATACTTACCACAGCTACTTCTCGCGGTCTGATAGACATCTCGGCATTCGCTAACGTCGCCGCACTCTACGGTTGCCACCTGCGCGTAACAAGAAAAGCGCGCACACACAAAAATCATGCATAGTGAAAATCAAGCAAGAAAATCGGGTGGATAATATCCATGTAGTAGCTGGCAAACAAGTACTACTAGTATTTTGCTAACTACTTCTACTGATTACTAGTACCCAGGAAACCGCGTAGAGTTGCATTAGCTTGAGTTTCCACAAAGTGCTTACTTTAACGATGCTCTCATTAGAAAAAACTCAAGCAAAGTGGAATTCTAATGAGAAACAAGGGAACCTATCGGCAGTTCTGGCAAAACTAGCAGGAATTTAACACTGCGCTGCGAGGAGGTAAGAGGTTAGAAATACAACTTACAAGGCCAATGGACAGGCAATGGCAGCCAGTTGGCAAGTGGTGAACAGTACCAGGGTGTCCTGACAGCTACTACACACAGACTTACCTGTAGGCCGTAATTGCTAGCCAGCAATAATCTACTGGAGTCCGGTGTAAACGCCAGTCTCTGGGCTGTATCGAGTGACTGTGATGCTGACGAAACGGACATGCTTTGCTTGCTGTCGCTACCGGACGGCTTCTAGAACGAAAAATATATAGTGAAGGCATGCGATAATGAGTTGAAAAAGTCTTGAACCAGAACCGCGCTCGTTGTGGGCCACGCAATCACCCATGCCAACCTGTGCTCGTTCAACTAACACAGTATTCAGGGGACACATCAATGCACAGTATGTGTCAAGTGGGATCAGCCTTCCAGGAACAAGACCAGCAACAGGAGCTGCACAAACCAGGCAGATCTCGACTGGCACGTAAACTAATTCTTCTAAAATATTCATTGACCCGTGATAGACCCTACCTTTGAAGCAACGGCAAAGACTCGCGTTCCGGAGCGGTCTGAAATGGCCATCCACTTCCCGCACGGTGAGACAGCACTGCATGCTATGTGATGTCGGCCCTGCAAAAACAAACACCAGAGAAACACACAGGCAGAATACTACTTGAATCACCCGATGCAACATTTTACTAGTGACCGAGTCTCCAGTCAAAAACACAGTACAAAGAATAATGATCCGAGAACTACACAGTTTCATTTGGCAAGGTTTAGCAAAAGCAGTCCTTTTGCTAAAATCTCTAAAATTAGACGTGCGTCGGAGTCTAATCACCATTTAACCCATTCAGCGCTACTGGGCCTTGCCTATGGTACTCTGCATATAAAATGCTAAAAACAGGGCCAATAGCAAGTTCTAAAACTCGAGGGTTCTGGCAACTGGGGTCCTCAAATATTTTGGAAAGGATTGCCAAGACTACCAACCACAGGGTGACAGAATCGATACAGTCCCCAAAAAGAATAGCGCCTCACAATAGGGGACGCAAGTTTGCTCAAATTGCGTGAAATACGCCAAATGCGTGAAATTGCAGCTGAAAGATCGCTGAAAAGAGAAGAAAAAAAGACGCGTAGTGTTTCCAAGCGGGATTCGAACCAACGACCTATCGTACAAGAGGCAGGATCATGATCCAACTCACTAACAGTGCTTTTACACACCAGACAGCGCCAGAAATCACTATATATCCCATGACGTCTATAGACGTCATCCCGCGCATGGGGGGCATTTTCAATGACGTCTATAGACGTCATCAGCGTTCAATGGGTTAAAATTCCACCATCGCATATGGTTGGATTATTCTCCAATTTGCTCCAATTTCACTTCAGCAAGTACCAGAATGCACTATGGGTTCACAAAGCTTGAGCTGTCTATATTGCTGTCAGCACAAGGCAAATCAATGCCAAAACTGAAACACCCATCCAGCTAGACCTGATTGCAAGCTGTAGCACCAGCCATACAAGGTGTGTGCATAGTAGATATGGCCCTATCCTACCCCACCCTCTACTATCCTACACCATGCTAGATGAAGGGCGGTTGCCCTGCAGACTGGTACGCACAGGTCACATTCACACCTCACTGTGTACGCACGGTCACTGGTACGGCTGGTTAGTAAAGCCGAACAATGATAGCCCAACTCTTTCAGCCTGACAGTAGGCACTTGGGCTGGAAGAGATTGGCTCAAAGTCACAGATAACGTACCACCAGGGCAGATTTACCACTTTCAGCCCCACCCCCTCCCTCCCTCCCTCCAGAATGCGAGCAATATAAAGTATAAAAGGTTTACATACGCACTCGTACCTTTGCTTTGATCCGGAGCAGGTGGGCTGGTTGCTTTAGGGTGGCCAATACAGTACCATCAGCAGCACTGTCAAGATCAGTGCCTCCTCTCGCTGCAACAAACAAGCAAACGAGAAGCAGAAAGAGAGAGAGAACTGTAAGTTCGCATTTAAATTTTCAATCATGCACAAAGGAAGACAGCCACAACAAATGAGCAAAATAGCGGCCAACAGAAAACAGAAACTTGCCATACCTGTACCCAGGCTCCACATGTCTACGTGGCTGTCGAATTGACATGCAACAAGAGGCTCCTCACGGCAAATCGAGACGGGGCTTGTCTGTAAGCAAGAGAAACAAGAAGTGGGTAACGAGACGCCACACGGCAAATACAAAACTTGAAATCAGCAACGTTTCACGAGCAACTTTTAACTTGGTTTACTGAATGCAAAGGCATGCCAACGAGCTACCAGTCTTTGACTTACTCGAGGATAAGAGGAGAACAAACGGGAATTCTTGATTGAGAAGTTGTTTGTGGCATACACACAGAGTTGAGTATCCAATCCTGCGAAGAACGAAGAACAAAAAAGAAATGCATCCAGGAAGTGTAGCAGTTCTCAACAGCTACATTGCATAGTCGCCGGCATGCTAAGCGTATATTATCCTCAGCCTGAGGTGATAATTGCAGCAAAGGATATGTTCATTAAACTTACCACCTGAGGCCAATGCACCTGATCCTTCTTCGTCGCGCAAAGCCAAACTCCGGACGTCATGGGAATGCAGTCTCACAGAACCAGCATTGATCCACTTCTTTGCACCCTGCCGCACATAAAGCACACAAACAGTACCATGATTGGTCCTGGCTTTATTACTGATAGAATACTCTACTACAAGTGTGTGCAACACTGCTGCATCACACAGTGCACAGTGACTGCCTATTCGTATTACACCTTGGTCATACACACGAGATGTGAATGAGGCAGAGTTACTACAATAAAAACGACGGATAGACCAAAAACAATGGTAGCCATATCAAGGGGTGGCTATGGACCAAATATAGAGTAAGGAACTCCGAGTAACACCCAATACGGCAAAGACATGGACAAAAAGAGCGGCCACACACACGGCCTAGTGATCTGTTGCTATGCGGTTGCCATGGCAACGCGGACGGCGACACTTGCCGAAAACCCCAAAACAATACCAGACAAATAGGGCGAGGCTCGCTTAGCAGATAGCAACCAATCCTGGCACAGCCGGGACTTTTCAAAACTGCAAGCCTTCTAGATCAGTTGCTATGTGGTTGCCATGGCAACGAGAACGGCGACTCTTGCCGAAACCCCAAAACAATACCAGACAAATAGGACGAGGTTTGTTTAGCAGATAGCTCTAAGTGCAACCAATTCTGGCACAGCCGGGGCTTTTGTAACTATTGCCACTAAAGTTACAGCAACGACTATATAATAGTCCACAACCCCCTCATACACTGTGCGGTTGGTTGACGCTCGCTTCAGGGGTGAACATACAGAACATTCATGTGTTCAACTCACACCCTTGGGAAGGTCTGAGACAAGAGCTAAGCCTCCTGTGGGGTTTACATCCTAGCTGGGTGTTCTCTCATTGAGAGAAGTGGACTACCAGAGATGGTGCCTGCTGAGGGAGAGTCATGTGGAAGAAGTGCTTACTTCTAGTGAGTGAGTGCTGACACTAATCCTTGCAGTTCGGTTGAAACACAGTTCACAGCTGGCAAACACTTGAGTTCGATGGGCGAGGTGATCAGAAATGGTTGCAACTCAATTCAGACTACTCTTGACCAACCGCCAACTTTTTATCAAAAAAATTCATAAATTAAACAACAAGAACGACACCCGGCAAAACTTAGTTCTCCTTCATTCAAAGAGAATTCTCTTTGACATTACAAACACCCAATAGGTTCCCAACCCGTATTTTCGTCATGCCACTGAAATAATAATTTCGCCCAGTGGTTCTCGACACAGCATGGGATCAAGAAAATGTCATACTAGTACCTCAGTGTCGAGACAGTGCAGCTTGTGCACTTTGCTATCCACTCCAGCAGCATACACGGTGTCTTGTTTCTAACAGAGCAATCAACAAAGGGCAGAACATAAACACGCCATTGGATGAGGCTCTCAACCCTGAGCCAATGGTCTATGCGGGAACCGTAGTCACATCACATGTCACTATACAGTAGGCAAAAACCTTCTCAAATACAGGAAACAAACCAGTCCTATGTTCGTGAAAAACATAATAATTATGTGGATAGGGTCTATGCTGGATGTGTGATGATCAGTACCTTGTTGGTCACTATGCTCAGTATATCCGCCTTGTGCAGGGAGAAACTCTGTGGATGACAGCGATAGAAACATTACAACAATGAGGATAGGCGAAGATTTCACTTGCCACAACTGTACTTGGATTGAAAATCTCTGCGTTTTGACGTACAACACAAACATGTATGTTAATCCTTTATTACCGGATTACTTGCACAGCATGCACCAGGATTACGAATTTCAGCACAATTTCCAACTTCACCAGTTCATGCACGCCATGCACTGACCAAACTGACATAGCTATGCACTGGTACGGTATGCGATGTACAACTGCTGGATTATAAAATCAAATTATGAACAGTTTGAGTGATTTGTTGCAGAAAATCGCTGCCGGAGCCGGAATTCAAGTGCCAGATTAAAGCGTAGAAAATGAACAGAAAAATCCGTTTTGCCAGAAAGTGTTCTGGTTTGCAAGGGTTCTGGATAAACAAGTGCTGGATTAGAGAGGGACGACTGTATATGCAGTGTGTGTATTGTAGATGCATGATGATTGTAATGAAGGCAGTGTGCCACTCATCTGGGCCATAGAAACGAGATCGCAGTTGCATACTCTTGGTCATGAACTCTTGCTTGCATTAATATGAAACAGGTGGGTGTCAGGTATGAAGTAAAAACTACTCTTGTTCAGGACTGCGGATGCCCCATAACTTGCCTATGCGAACCATGTTCTGGTTTATACAATCTCCTGCATACCAGCACATAATTATAAAACGAACCTGAATCATATTGCCATGAAGACCACTCCAGAACTGAACGACCCCACTGGAATCGCCACTGACAATGGTCATATCCCTATACACACAAATAAAACACAAGAGTAGTAGACAAGATGATGGCAACAGTGCCCACATATACGACAGAAAAGAATGTATGGGAAAAAGCAGAAGAGAACTGCTTCACTGCGTGGGGTGTTTCAGTGGCTTACGTAAATCGGCCAAGATATATAAATCTAGAATAAAAGCAATACAGAGCGGGTTTACGTGCTTACTGGAGAAACGCAAGTGTCCAGATGAGAACGGCCTGTTGACGTGGCTGGTCAAGTGTTATCCTTTGAACGGCAACACCTGTTATGTACACACACACACACACACACACACACACACACACACACACACACACACACACACACACACACACACACACACACACATCAGAGCATGCACTCACAGAGCACCGCACGAAAGAGAACCTATAAAACCAGTGGTTCATTGGCCTGCACTTGAAGAGTGCTTTCAAAACCACTGCATTGAAAATAGCCACACAGTGCACAATGTCTTCACCGCCAAGACACAGGAAATGCCTTCACATACCAGTTATCAAGTTCCACACTCTGATGATGCTGTCTGATCCACCGGAGATCATGTGATTGCCCTCAGGGTGGAATGCAACAGACAGACACCGTCCTGCACACATAACAAAACAAAACACATGACATAATGAGCTAGCATACTTAGTGATACACAGTGGCCATGGGCCGTATGCAAGACGGGAGAACAATTGATTCAAATCCATGTGACAGTACATGTAGCGCAGGGAGTCGTAGCATCTGAGGCAACTGGACTATGAAACAGTGTGGGTTTCGCTCCCGGGTTAGCCGTTCCATTAAGGAGGAGTGTTGCTGCACTGGGCATCAGCATCGGGTCAATAAATCGGTGGTTCCACACATCCCGATCTGCGGTGTCCCACCACGAATTGAAAGATTAGGAAGTTGGCAGTTGCTCTAGTCCAGTCACAGTGGGCAGTACGGTTGCGAGTCTGCGACAGTTACACTGTATAGATGTGGTAAGAAGAGTATACCCGGGTACAGTTAGGTTCCAGTCTACCTTGGGGCAGAGCGAGTTTACGCAGGCATGATCTTCGGCTCAGCAGGTCACAGTCACGCTTGCAGCCGTATGTTGCATAGATCAATGAACACAACGGAATTCTAAATCTAGAGTCGAAACATCAATTACTTTGGGCGCCAGGTCCCCTAGATGCTACGACTCCCTGGTGCAAAGCAACAAACCATTCCAAGTTGAATACGCTATGGATAGCTGCTACAGCAAACACACAGCCAGCTGACTTACCCCCGCCTTGGTTGCTGTACGCCTTCTTGTACACCACTGTGTCTGGCTCAATGACAAACATGCGAACACAGCCATCTTCACAGGCAACCTGCACGGCCAAAGGGCAAAAGAGGCAACATAAAGTGTCACATGAGCATAAAATGATGTCATTGTGAGAGCTTGAGCAGTGACAGTCCACCACTAGTCAATAGCATAATTATCAGGAGCAGCAGCTACATTGAGAAGCGACAGGTCCGTGTAGCGCATCAGATGTAGTACAACATGTGGTGGTGAAGCCTTGCAACTACAAACAACACAAATGTTTGCAAATCGCACGGAACTGAGAAAGCCACCGTCTGCTATGCAGATCATCAAGGCAATAAGTACATGTAAGTGAATCATGGCCGTTATGTCAATTTTGATACTGAACCAAACTCACAGCCATTTCCTCATGATGTGGGCGAATGGCCATGTCCCATACAGCTCCACCACTCAAATTCACTTGCGACTGTAAAAAACAAAACAAACAAAAACGCAGCACCAGTCAAACAAGGAGAAGTAATCACAAGAATTACCGTATTTTCCGGAGTATAGTGCGCACTTTAGATGTGCTATTTTAGGCCCTAAATCGCAGGTGCGCACTATGCTCCGAATATGAAATGCATGTACTTCAATGAAGACTGAAATGCGCACCCCCAATGAAGATTGGGGGTGCGCGTTATACAAGGGTGCGCACTATACTCCGAAAAATACGGTAAGGCAAAGGGCACTAGCAGAAAAGGCAACGTTGAACATCTTGGTAAAACAAAGAACTGTTCATTTCGGCCCTATGTACATTGCAATTGCCTGTCAGAAAACACATCACTTTTCTGCTAACACATCACTGATCTGTCCATAAGGCCACACCAAGTTAATTCTATGTTTCGCGTCGGATATTTTCTGGAAAAGGCACGCGGGCGGGCGAAAAAAAAAAAAAAAACAGAAGAAAAAACAAAACTCCATTCTATGTGTACTGAACCATGTTGCTCACAGAATACCACTACTACACTGTCACTTATCCAAAATGACAACCAGTCGCCATAGGAGAGCTGGCAGACTGGGCTGGAGCGATACAATAAGAGACTTCATGGATGGCTCCTTCTGCACTTTGACATGAGTCAAGTGGAATTTCGCTCCATCACAATCGTGGAAAATCTCGAAGTCCTTGACACCTGGAATCTCTGCTCGCCTGGTCAGCAGGCCCTACCGTACAGCTTGGAAATATAGAAATTTTCACCTCTCTCACCTTCTACGTACCATCGCCTGGAATGCAAGATTATCGAGAAGCTGATAACCTCCGATCTGCCATACTGGCTAGAGAATGTTCGCCAGAACAGCCATCGATTGACTCGTCTAGGTTCTTTTTTTTTCTTGTCAAGGATTCGAAAAGGTACGCGCGTGGTGACACGAAACATAGAAATAACTTGGTGTGGCCTAATATCGGACCAAAGACAGCAGATACATGTAGTAGCAGATATAACAGTAAGTGGATTTCAGTTTAGTCATGCCTACCTCAGGACACTGCCGTGCCAAGCTCCATTCCACTAAGGCACCAGAAAGCCCCGCTGACAGGAGGCGATCACCATACCACAGTATGCTCTCGGCACATTCTTCCTTGCTCGCATGAAGGACCTAGATAAAACGGCACATAATGAAGCGAGTCAGATCAAGCAAGGGCTGTGCAACAGTGCTGAAGATGTAGAGCAAGTTGGCTTTGTCTATCTGTGCCATGAATGTAAATCCTTGATGAAATGAAAGGACCTGAAGTTTACTAGGTACTCATAGTTTTCCACCAAAACATGTCCAGGACACTGAGGGGTCAACATGCAGTATTTGGCCCAATACTGATGGATAGCACTGATATTGAAATGAATATCTAGCACTAAGTTCTATTCCGCCAGTACTATTCTTGAGTATTGAGCCAATGTCGTACGTTCGACTTGGCATGTGCCAGAAATAAGTGGCACCGCTCCAGAAGCACATATTGTTAGAGGTTCACACAACCAAAGAAATGCCACTGCCACTGCAACGTGGCAGCAGTAGTTACTAGAACTTGCTACTCAAGAGTTCCTTTCAAAAAACAATAGTGAAGCACAGTGCTGCGCTTTGCGGATTGAGTAGCACTATACTGGAAGTTGCCATCCATTTTGTCATTGTCAGTGACGTTCTACTGTAATCATAACGACATGATAATAACTTGATACAGTCACTGTTAGACTTCACTGTGACTGCTGCTATCCAGCAAAACTTAACGACAGTGATGCAATCTCTGTCCAGAATATCATAACCAGGTTCTATGCTGCTGGTCAGTGCAACAAGCAGGGTGTTGGAAGGTGACAAGGCGACACATTCCACACATCAGATCTGAACAGTTGTAACATTAACTGCAGTGCACATCAACAACGTACACCACATGCACTAGCAATATTCTACTGATACGATTGTGCTGTTCACAGAATGGAAAGTTTGAAGTAAGATGTGACTTCTTTGTTATCATCTCATTAAACAGTCTATTGTTCAAACGAGTACTTTACCGACGAACTACTACATTACTAAAGTGGTGTTGTACATGTCTCCTACTACAACTCCCAGTACAACACTTCAACTCAGGGCGGTCACAGGAAGATACACAACACTAGAATAATCCCAGCCTAAACAAAAATCACATAATATTTTTTAAATCATTCGAAGTCATCATTCAAAGTCTCACCATTGTTTGAGCCCATGCCTGGTCGTTCTGCCAGATTTCCACATTCCCATTCTCCCTGAAACAATACCATCCACACAACTTTAGTGGCTGAACCACATTTCTATCAGAAATCTGCTTGATCTGGACAAACCTGCTAAGAGCGAGTCGTGCAGGGGACGATCCGTCTTGAAACGCCAGGCATTGGATAGCCGATGGGTTGTGCTGGAGGAACCTCACACGGTGCACTTCCATGGCTGACATACTCCAGCAGTCAACAAACCGACGTCCCAAAGCTACATTTGTGATCCTTGTAACAATCTTCTTCGTTTGCTACAAAATTATTTCCACTCGATAGTCTCGAATCAGACGAATGAGTCAAAGCTTTCAGTCGCCATTTCCAGTTGCGTGGCAACAAGTACAAAATTAATGAATCATCGGTGCCTTCAGCTTTGCCGAAAAAAATTCCAATGCACTTTGCAGTGCACTTTTCAAGTTACTTTGGAGAAAAGTTCAAGTTCTGCTTGTCAATGAACGAATTCTTCGAAGACCAAAGTGCCAAAAAGTGGAGGAGTTTATCTCTCTCGACTATAATCTATTCGTGATGTGGCTATGTTGTAGTTGAGGACTGCTCGTATGCAGTCGTTGGTGAATCCAGTCTCGTAAAATCTCTACTTTCTTTCGAAAGTCACTGACAATGGGTGCTGAGTTAGGAGTTCTTTCAGACTACTCAGTGTATGAGCCCACCGTTGAGCAAGATTCCACTCACTTTTTTTCAATTCAGTCAGCGCAGCATGAGGATGGGAGGCCTGCCAGCGTGTTTATTCACGAGGACGACGAGTCAGGGAGTAGGACGTTTGCAGAGAACGAAGTCAAGGTACGTACATGTATTGTAATTGCACACGTACATAGTACTGTCACTACTGTGTAACCTGTTTTCTGTGTAGTAGTGTCACAACATGCTGCACTAATGATGCTTGTGAGTACAGTAAAACCTGTCTAGGCGACCACTCGGATAAGGCGACCACCTGTCTTAGAAGACCACTACAACCAGGACCAAGGGCCTAGGGATGCTATTTCCAGTCAAATGACCCTGGACAGGGAGACCACATTTTGAAGGTCCCTTGAGCGGTCGTCTTAGACGGGTTTTACTGTACATTGCTAAGCTGCATAGTAACGAGTAGTAGTAGTGACTGGTGCAGCAGCTGCATGACTTGTACTGGCACATGGTGTGCAGAAATTGGCTCACAGAACGTTAGACCCAAGAATGTCCAGCCTGAAAAATAAATATGCTAGCAATACCAACCAGAATATGCAGCTCCGCATCCATGATGTGGGGTAGGTCACCTTTACAACTACTTACTACCAGAGACTTCTGCACTCTCGGCCGACCAACTCCACTTGCATATCACGGCCATAGCGAGGACAGTTCCGTTGAGATTTTGATTTTTGTCGGACACTGCGGACAGCTGTTTCACTTCAACAGAGCTCACCAGTGGAGGAAGTAGATAATGAATGATTGATATGAATGGATGATATTATACAACGCAAAACTTGCGCAAGTGCCATTTTCTACATAGAAATGCGGTATGCCGGCGGAAAGTGAGGTGTCGGGTGATACCAGCTCTAACAGAGGTGGTAATCTGTTGATTACTTTTGGCACCATTTCCAGCGCTGCAGGCCATGTCCCAGCAATGCACGTTTGCTTTAAGAAAATCCAAAGAAGAGTCACTCAGTGTGATGTACAGTGCTGTTCAGTGAAATCCAGCCGCGTCACTCAAGTACGCGCCGAGCGTTGCACAGCCCTAGACCTGCGAACGCTGGGTTGCGAAATGGTGCAAGGCGCAAACTTGACTCATGCAACCGGATTTCATTGAGCAGCACTGTACTAATTAAATTCACACTTAGGCTGTTTGGTAGGTTGTCAACAGCTCGTTAGTTTTGTCCCTGGGTTGTCTATTGTTGTCGCACCACACTCTTGTTTGGTTTCTTCACACTTGTACCTTTCTGTCGTTTCTTTTTATGTGTGTGAGGTCATGCATTTTACCGTTTTTGTTTTTCAATACTCTTCTTTGCGCTGTTGCTATCACACCCATGCTGTTTAAAATTCATTGTGCTTGGTCAGTTTCGTTTTTGCCTGTACCACTCACCTGACAAGAAAGCAATGAAAGTCCTAGTGCAAGAGGTTTGAGGATGTTGATTTTGAGGAACCCCAGCTGCTTTTTTTTCTTTTCTTGAGTGCTATTTCTTAAATTAATGATGAATTTTTCTCGTTGCATCGACAGCGTGTCTTGTTTAAGACTCAATTCTTACAGTATAATGATGTGCTGTTTCCACTTTGTTCACACAGCTTCTTCGACGTCTGCGGCATCCACACATTGTCAAGTATTTGAGTTCTAGTTCTCCAACAGCTGAGGGCCCAGTACAACTCGTGACTGAGTTTGTTCAGCCTCTCAACAGCATTGAAGCTGATCTTCATTCTATGGAAATTGGTGTTGGTCTTCGTTGTATTGTGCAAGCTCTTCAGTTTCTACATGAAACGGTATGCTTTGCATGTTTGATGTGCTGTGTGTCTGTCTGTATCCGTGTGTTGGTATGTGTGCATACGTATGTGCGTGCGTGTGTGCGTGCGTGTGTGTGTGTGTGTGTGTGTGTGTGTTGGTGTGTGCAGACGTGTGTGGGTGGGTGTTTGTGTGCGTATGTGTGTGCACGTGTGTGTATGCGTACGTACTACGCGCGCGTGTGTGTGTGCGTGTGTGTGTGAGCGTGTGACCTACAACTTTGTGAACACACCAGTAGCTGTAAGTCACTAACTAAATATCATGTCCTACACTGTATGAATGTGTGTCTGTCCGTGTGTGTGTCTAGTGCCACATCTCACACAACAATGTCTGCCATGACGCCGTGCTGGTTGCGGGCAGTGATCGTACTTGGCGTCTTGCTGGCTTCGCTCTTGCTTCAAAGTTTGAGTCTACAAGTAATTTGGTAAGCTAAGAGGGCTGTCGGTCTCTTTTTTTGTGTCTACTCTTGAACGTCTCTAAAAGCACTCTGCCTCATTGTAAACGTTTGCTGCCACCCCTGTGCAGAGACATGAGCCTTGGAGGGTACAGTAAGCTTTCAGCCTTTGGTTCTCTGTCAGACTGTGCTGTGCTGAAGAGCTCTACTAGGGAGAAACACTTGATTTGCTGGCCTCCAAGTGCTATGTATTATGGGGGGGGGGGGGGGGAGGGGGGCTAGCACTCATGATTGCTTAAGACCAGCCTATCACAGTCATTGAATGCCCGCGGTCTCTGAAGCCAGGGTGACGCCTGTGCATTCAACACCTTCTTTGCCAAGGAAACATGAAACATGGCATACAGTGTCGTTCGCAAGCGGTTTCTTGAGACGGCTTCACATGTAGCTCTCCTTGGAGGCAGCTAGAATGTTGGTGTACGCATGTAGATATTTAGCACATCAGCGGTGTTCATTATTCACTGTCTCACTCTCATGTTCTCCACGTGTGTTTAGTACCTCAAGTCTATAGCAGAGTTCCGAGATCCTGACAGCATCCCGCCAGAAGATCGCGGTGTAAGTAGTGTTAAAATTGTTATGGCATGTGACCCCCAGGAACTCTCTGTTATGACACTTCTCTACAGAGTAGCCTCACATCAGTTTGTCATGTGACTTTTAAAAGTTTGTGTAGAAAGTGATCATGACAGGTGGACAGTGGAACCAACATGGCCGACATCATGTGACCCGGCGATTCAAGGGTTGACTGGAGTTGGAACCAACATGGCTGTCCTGTATTGTCATGTGATAGATGTGAAGCCACTCTATTCCCTGATATCCTACAGTGTGGTGATGTGGAATGGGTAACATATCAGCAGCATGTGATTTGAGGCGCTTCTAGTTCTTTGGTTGACTAGAGCGACTGTGAGTGGTTCTAGCTCTGCCAGACCAGGGACATTATGAACCTAGCTCTGCCACACCAGGGACATTATGAACCTAGCTCTGCCACACCAGGGACATTATGAACCTAGCTCTGCCACACCAGGGACATTATGAACCTAGCTCTGCCAGACCAGGGACATTATGAACCTAGCTCTGCCACACCAGGGACATTATGAACCTAGCTCTGCCACACCAGGGACATTATGAACGTGTTGGCACTACTGGTACAAGTACGTACATCCACTGTCGCATGGCATCGTGTTATTGTCTGCTTTCGTCGCTCCTTGATTCAAACACTTGTACTCGGTGTGGCTGTGTTGCCCACTCAGGATGCTAGCACTTCAACGAAGGTTTCGTCGTGCCCGCATGCAAGAGATGCGTGGGGACTGGGCTCTCTTGTCCTGACGTTCGCCGACAAACTAAGCTCCTATGGTACGTGCTGTGTGGTCTCCTGCTGCTACTGTAGATCTGAGAGCTTTCAGCATGTCTTGAACAGTACAGCACATACTGGGGTGTATTCTAGAACATAGAAATGTCCATCCCAAATCTCGGCCACCACCCCTCCTGGAACGTTTACTTCTATAGCCGACTCATGCCCTTCACCAAGCGGAGTATGTTGCTGGTTGACAGAGAGACAGAGAGAGAGATTGACTTCATTGCACACAGTCTGTACTTCGAATGCGTAGATAAACGCCCAGTTTTAACAATGCCTTGTTGGATTATCTACAGGCGAACTAGAAGCAAGTCTGTCGGAATCTCTGCTCCATCCGGATCCCGCGGTAAGGACTGCGCAATGTGGAGATGTTGCATGTTTTGACGAGAATTCTGTACATGTTTCACTAGTATTGTATTTTGAGAGGAGCTCATAATTATGGTTGTACGTGTGCGTTTGTTCCCGGGTCGTACATGTATAGCAAAGGATGGCAGTACTGGTGTCGGTCATGGTTCTTCCTTATAACACGAGTTTTTACTATAGCGCAAGTGGAACCCGAAATGTTTACGGGAGAGTTAGGAGGGAGGAGAGGAGTTTGTCATCATTCTGTTTTGCCTAGTATTCTTGGTTTGTGGCTGTACCATTCCTCTGTGATTGCAGTGTCGACCTACGATGAAAGACCACCTCTCAAGCAGTATGTTCAGGTAAGATTATGATGCGATTACATGTGTAGGTGTGTGTCTGTCTGTGTCTGTGTAGGTGTGTGTCTGTCTGTGTCTGTGTAGGTGTGTGTGTACATGTGTGTGTGTGTGTGTGTGTGTGTGTGTGTGTGTGTGTGTGTGTGTGTGTGTGTGTGTGTGTGTGTGTACATGTGTGTGTGTGTGTGTGTGCGTGTGCATGTGTGCGCGTGCGTGTGTGTGTGTGCGTGTGTGTGTGTGCATGCGTGTTTTGTCACCGCCTTTTGTGTGTGTGTACGCGTGTGTGTGTGTGTGTGTGGATATGGGTGTGCGTACGTACATCTGCATGTGGATGTGTTTTATTGCGTGTGTGTGGATGTGTGTGGGTGTGCGTGTGCGTGCGTGTGTACACGTGTGTGGGTGTGTGGGTGTGTACGCGTACACCTCCAGTCTCTTTTCTACATTGGTTACTGGCTCAGTATTCGAGATAAAATCTGCATGTACTAGTAGTATATTATATAAATGCATGCAATGAAGTACATGTATTCTCATTCTGTCAAGCACATGACTGCCATGATCAAGCACACAGATTACAATGTCCTGTTCCCTGCCGTTCTCCTTGTCCCATTACAGCAATCAGCTAGTCAAAGTTCTACAGTTTGTCAATGACATCACCCTGAAGGAGTCGAAAGAGAAATCTGCTTTTTTCAGGTGGGTACTGCTGATAGCATTAGTGAGGTTCTGTTCTACGTGACCGGAGTGCAATGCCAGTATTTATTTGAGCCTCAGGCTGAGAAAAGGGTACTATTGTCCTCACGTGCACAACTGAGAAAAGGGCACTTGAAAGCAGGGTACAGACCTTCGCTCTGTAAAGTTGCCTTCACATCTGTGGCCGTAACTTTGTGATACTTTGAGATTTTTCAACACGGTTTTCTGCATATGAATCAGTGAGATTTTGAGTGTTAGGTATGCTATCTAACTCAATTTGACCAAAAATGACAATAGCACCCTTTTCTCAGCCTGGGGCTCATTTTTGATTTGAGTGCTCGTGTGTTTGGGGGCCTCACTTGTTCTGCTCACCGGTCGCACGAAGAAATCATGTGGAATGTGAAGTGGGAATTTTCCTGGTTCCAATGCTGCAGTTTTCTTATGGCCTGCTGCCAAATGTGAGTGATGCTCAAATCTGCATTATTTTGCTTGTGCCACAGTGCAATGTACATGATGTAGAGATCCTCACATTTGCCTAGAAATCTGGACCCAAATCACACGGACTCGTTGACTCTAGCCCAGATACCGGTTCTTTACTTGGTTTCTCTCTCTCTCTCACGTGCGCGCGCGCGCGCGCGAATTTTACTTACTTGCTCCTCGTTTTGGTGCACATTTGTTGTTGCTCTGGATTATACTCTGTAGGGGTCTTCCGAGGCGCTTGCAGCAAATCCCAGCCAGCCTTGTTGCACAGTACCTAACCTCAAAGCTCCTCTCTCGCTTCGTACTCTTGGAACAGTCTGCCAGAGAGCATGTTGTGCCCTGTCTCCTCGTGCCGCAGCCAAATGGTATGTTGAGTGAGCTGTTCCATGCTGGTGCTTGTTGTTGCTATTGTTTTGTATCTTTATTCTCACGATGGACAATGGCCAATAAGAGGTTGTTCTTGTTCTTGTTCTTGCTCTTGTTCTTGTTTACTAAATCCCAAGTGCGGTCCGGACCAAACGAGTTTTCCGGCAAGCCTTTACTCATCATGTAGAAAGAGTTCCTATTTGAGGCGTCTATTTTTGAGAGAAGTTGATTCTAATGCTAAGCTTTGGAGACTAATGCTAGTTTTGCTACCGGCTGATCTTTTGTAAAACGCACCGATTTGTTGCAACTAACAATTAGTTACTTGCTTTACTACTGGTACCTGTGCTGTGTGTGATTTATATTTGCAGATGCAAGGAGATCTAGCTCCAAGTCCGGGTCCAATGCGACTGGTATATTTGGTGAAGTACTATACAGGTGAGACATGTGCATGTGTGTGTATGCATGTGTGTGTGAGCGTGTGCATGTATATGCCAGTTGCCATTCTGTCATTCTGAGATTTCCCAGTGACACTAGTAGTGCATTGTACACTGTACATACAACTAGAGACTATGTGCTCGGGCCATGCATGTTTTAGCCTTGGCTGGCTCATCCATCATGGCCTTGCATGACCATATCTATGCACTGGACAGGATGCCAGCCATGTGTGAACCCGGCTACTGTAAAGCGTGAAATTTTCGCGGCGTTTTTAGTTCGCGTTTTCAGAATCCGGACAGGTTTGCGAGGTTTTAATTTTGCGATTGCAGAATGGCATTCTTGCTAAACCTTTCATGGATCTCCTTTTCGCGCTGTCTAAATTTCGCGATTTCCACGCGGTCGCGAATTTCGCAGAAATTAGACCATCGCAATAATTTCACGGTTTACAGTACATCTGTATTGAGTTTCGTCCGCTTTGTACAGTGCTGTGCATATTCCCAGTTTAGTGTATGGCCTATGCATTGGATGCCCAGATCATATCACGTCCCCTTAGAGGGCAAGCCCCATTGGAGCTCACATCTTCCGCTGCAGTCTTTTCACTGTGTTGTGGCTCTCGCCTGCTGTCCTTCTTTCCCCGGCGTTGCTCTTCAGGCAGCACATAATTCCTCTGCTGCTGAAGCTGTTCTCAGTGGAGGACAAGCATGTACGCCTGGTGCTCCTGACCTACCTGCATCACTACTTGCCATTCCTGGACACGGCCATGATCAAGGACCGCGTACTGCCCCACGTTAGTAACCATGTAACCATGTACATGCTCCTTGTTTTTACCTCTCTGATAAGCATCCTATGTGCATGATAATTTCTCCCACTCGTCCCAATATGAGATCAGGACACCTCATTGCAAACTCCTAGTATTGATGCTCAATAGTTGCACTTGTTGTGCTGGCGATGTACATGTATGTGGCCTTCCAACTACTGTAGAACGGGTAATTTTAGCGACTATTAATTTTAGCGTTTTCCCATTGTCAACCGGTTAGCGATGTTTTATTTTAGCGATTTGCAGCGATTTTACTCACGGATCACCAGTGCACTACTAATGTCTCAGCGGATTAGCGACTTGAAACTTTAGCGAAAATGAGTATATCGCTAAATTCGCTAGGGTTTTTACGTCACTAAAATTACCCGTTCTACAGTACACTCTACAGTCAACTTTGCGTATAACAACACTCGGCGGGGCATCAGAAAAGTGTCCTTATTCACGAAGTGTCCTTATACCCGAAGTCTCATTGTATGTATTACAGTTAGATGGGACTTTGCTCTGGACATGGAAATTCTGTCGTTATTCGCGAATTGTCGTTATGTCCGCGAAGTTGACTGTACAAATAAAACACCCAAGTATCTCACTGGGCGCTGCCTGCTTTGTTTGCTTGTTGGTTCTGCTAATAGGTCTTGATTGGCCTGCACGAAGATGATGATGAGATTGTTGCGGCCACTTTCCACGCATTGGGTGATATCGTGCCCGTTCTCGGTGCGTCCATTGTTGTCGGTCTCAAGTCGGTGTCCAGGTTCTCATCAAACACTCCACGCCCTTCAGGTACATGCACTTTCTTGATTTCGTATTTCGACTGTGGCTGCAATACGGAGAGGGGTGTGTGTGTGGTGGGGGGGGGGGGGGGGGGGTGATGTTGGGTGCTGAGCTCATATCTCTGTGTACTGCTGCACTCACTGGCATATATATATTTTTTGTTTCTTTTATTTTAGTTCGTTCCACTATGGACCGCGTGCACATGGTCGTAGTGAGGTTATCCATACTCACTTTCTTGACGAAAACGGGTGCTTTAAAGAGACGTTTGGCTTTGGTTCTTTGCAGATCTAAAAACAGTGCAACATCCATATCTTCCTACAGGTTTATACGCACTTTGTACGCACTGGATCATTGTGTGCTCGGTCTGTTGTCTCCATTGCAGGTGGGCCACAGCGGTTTGTCCAGCCTTCGCTGCGACCATCGGTCTCCGTTGGATCGCCCACGCCATCATCACCATCCACTTCTCATCACTCCTCGCCTCGTCATGCGCAGGCGGAACGACCCTCTTGCATCCGTGTGGAAGCAAAGAGCAGCCGTGGTAAGTACTCTACAAGACAAGTACATTGTGCCTGTGCAATGTGTAGATATGGGCCTACTTGTGGTGGGTCTATGGTGTGGTACATGTATAGTACTAGAGCACTTTCATGAGCAGCACTGTACGAGTAACTTTTTACGTGTGCTGTCTTCTCAGGTTTGCAAGGTCAGAAGGAGAAGTCGCCCAAGTCACCGAAACAGGTGCACTTCTCCCCCGAGAATGACTTTGCCACCACCGAGGACGCACTGCGCCAGTCGCCCACCTGGAACAAGATGTCCAGGTCGGGCGGGTTTGCCGCGTCAGCCGCCAATCACCTCAGCAATGGGTTCACACCTGAAGCCGATGCAGCACCACTGGACAGGGGACACAACAGTCCAAGAGACAGTAGTACCACGAGTCCTGTGTCTAATCCCCCCAGAGCAAACCATTCCCGATCGTCTCAAGAGGAGTTCAGTAGATGGAATAACACGACCAGCCAGCAAAGCTCCAGCGGTACTAGTGCTCTTTACAATGACGATGATGCTGAAGATGAGCCCTGGGAAGACTTTGATGACATGAGTGATGCTGACGATGGCTGGGGTGCTACCGCCTCTGCTGCGCATGAAGATGGGACGGGCGGTGCGATCCGTAGTGGTAGCAGTTACGACATGGCTGCAAAGAGTGGTGGTGCTGGTGCTGGTGCTGGTGATACTAAGGCTAGTGGTGGCGGGGACGACGACGGCTGGAATGACAATGCCCTGGGGGACAGCGATGATGATTGGGACCTTGATGATGATATCAGTGAACCCCCCAGTACAAGTAGCAGCAGGGCTACAGCTGCTCGAGAGCCCATCACTTCTGATTGGTCTGTGCAGCAGAAAAAGCACTCTGCGTCTGCAGTTCCGGCTTCTGGAAAATCTCCAGAGCTTGGTACGTCAAAGACCTCTAACATTTTCTCCAAATCTTCGCCAGGCCCAGCGTCCCCGTCTGCACCATCGCCCACCCCCTCTCCTCCAAAGGCCCCAGCCGCCAAAGGTTTGAAGCTGAAATCGAAACCCGCCTCACCTTCCTCAAAATCGACCGCTGCTGCAGCGCCTAGGAGCAAACCCGTAGAGCCACCCGCTCCTCCGCCACCAGTATCCGCCGAAGATGAATTACTTGCCATGCTAGAGCCTGACATCAAGTTTACAGCAAAGCCAGCGCAATCCTCTGGCGCCACCGCCAGTGGCATCAGCACCAGCCGATCAAAGTCAACAGCGGTCTCATCACCAGCATCGTCCAGGTCTCCGCTGGCATCCGTGCGTGCGTCAACCAGTGCTTCTCCTGTACCTACGGCCATTGCCGCATCACCTCCGGCCACAAGTGCTATCAATTTTGAGTACAACGCGGACGGCGATGCAGATGCAGATACGGGGGTGAGTTTATGTGTGAAATTAGGAAAGGGTCTTGGCTCCTTTTTAGAGAAGTAGAGAAATTGTGCATGACGAAGTTTTGTTCTCAACAGAAGAAAGTCCATTCTTTGTGTATGCACATAGCTTGTCTTGTGCTCTTCTTTCACTGCCTACTGAGAGTATTTGCATAATTGTATCTGCATGTCCATATAAAGAGAGAGGATCCCAGTGGAAAAGGTTGTGTTCCGTATTCCCCGGAACCAGGTTGCATCAGTACCGTAACTGTAATACCGACTGCGGATACTTTCCGAACCCACGTTCAACAATGGAGACAAACTTTACTGGTTCGAGTTCTCACTCTCAAAACACCAACTCCATCTTGGATTATCTTGGATGCACTCTAACAATGCCCTAGCAAAACCTATCAAGAACCTAGCTAGAACTGACTGTAGAACAAAGAATACACAGCTACATGTATAAGCAAGCGTCGATGTGTATAGGGAGTACAAGCAACACTGTCAATGGTGAATGCGTGACGTAGTCTAATGAGTACGTGTTGGCGGTCAGACACTTGACCTTATCGTATTATGGTATGAGTCATGCACATGTATGGAGCTTGAGGCAGTCATGCATGGCTACAGGTGTAGTGCTCGATGAATGCACGCAAAGTGCAGTCCTGTAATGTGACCTGTTGAAACCTGAACGGTACCAGGCGTCACCACGACTCCGACATACCTCCCTCGCGAACGAATCATAGCCTAATCAATGTATGCGAGTGAGACAAACTAATATTCCGAGTGATGTTCTAACTCCTGGGGAACTGCTATTGGATGTCACACCTAACATCATTGTGTCAAATGCATGCCGTAATGTCACTAGACATATCCGGGAACGAGGATACGTCTTATCTAGCCGGTTGGATGTATTGTTCACTCTGATTGTGGATTGCTTGCTAACACTACAGTCACAGCCTTACTACCTCATCGCCACTGCCGTACCACCATCCACTATTCGCTCAGCTGGTGACATTGTCCACATTGACGTTGGCTGTGGCTGGGCAGTTCTCGGAGTCGAGCTCCACCTCACCCTCTGTTACCTCCAGTGGGATGAGGCGATGAACTGATCGTCGATACTCCTTGCCTTTGATCTTCACGTTGACTGCACGGACGACACCATCTTGCCCTGGGTATGTGGCTGTGACGCGTCCCAGAGGCCATGTCGCGCGCGGAGTACTCTCATCCATGACAAGGAAGACCTCACCCTCCTCGACGTCTTTTGCCTTCCTGTACCACTTGGACCGGACGTTTAGCGCCGGGACCATCTCGCGCAGCCACCTCTTCCAAACTTGCCTTGTCAGCACTTGTAGAAACAGCCAGCGCCGTCTGGGGTGGACCTTCTCCAGATCCTCTGTCTCCGCCTCGAGGTGTGTGACTGCAGCCGCGCGTCCCATCAGGAAGTGGTTTGGCGTCAACGCTTCTGGATCGTCGCTGTCAGATGATACGGTGGTAAGGGGACGGGAATTCAGCATTGCCTCGGCATGTACCAGCGCTGTTGAGAACTCCTCATCCGTGAGGCCAGCCTGGTGCAGCACATGCCAGAGTGCGCGTTTGACTGCCTTGACCATCGTTTCTACTACACCACCGAAGTGGGGCGTTCTCGGTGGGTTGAAATGCCACTGTACATCTCGCAGCTCGGAGTGGGTGGTTAGGCGGTCTTGATCTATCGTGCAGGTGGCTTCGCGCAGCTGTCGCTCTGCGGCGGTGAAGTTCGACCCGTTGTCTGTCACTATGAACTCCGGGGTTCCACGCCTCTTGCAGAATCGGGTCATCGCCATCAAGAACCCATCTGTGTCGAGCGAGTTGACGGGCTCCAGATGTACCGCTCTGGTCAGCAGGCACGAGAATACGCAGATATACCGCTTCTGCTGCACCTTGCCTCGTCCCTGGCGCGTCAGAAATGGACCGGCAAAGTCGATGGTCACCTTGCTGAAGGCGATAAGTGGTGACGAGGTCCGGTAATCCGGCAACCCTCCCATGATTGGAGTCAAAGCCTTCGCGTAGCCTCGTCGGCACTTGACGCACCTGTGGCGATGCTGTCGCACAACGGACTTCCCGTTTATCAGCCAGTACCGGTTGCTGAGGTTGGTCAGCAGGTGGTTGGGACCCATGGAGTGCTGACATCTCGTCTTCGTCATCCACGATCAGGGCTGTGACCCGATGTTTCGGTGGCAGGATGATGGGGTGTCTTGTCGTCAGCGGCAGATGGTGTGCAGTGGTGAGTCTCCCACCGACCGTCAGTACGGTTGTGCCATGTACCTCCTCCAGCTGGGGTCGCAGCTTCAGCAATGGCTCGTTGGGATCGGGTTCCTTGCCGGACTCCAGTCGCTTGATGACCTTGCCATACACCTCCTCCTGGGCCTTCCGTACCCAGAACACGTCGGCCGCCTGGACCTCTGCAGGGGAGAGAGCGGGTACTGTCATACCGTTCACTGACTTGGCAGATCCAAACTTGCGTCGTGGAGCGGGTGTTGGTCTGTTGGCGCCAGCCTCCCTCGGTATACGGACGTTACGTACAAAGCGCTGACACCAAGCGGTGACACGGATGAGCCGCGTCCAAGACGAGAAGTTGGAGGGGTCAAGCTGGTACTTCCCTGGAACCGCGCTGAACGACATAGCGGATCGCTTCTTCAGCTCTGCCGGCAGACTACTGGGAACCTCGATCGGCCGCGCCGGGAATGCACTCTCGGGTCCGCGTAGGAACTTCGGGCCATGCCACCAGTCGTCATCGGATGCGAGCTGGGCTGCAGATAGGCCCCGGGTGCCCTTGTCCGCAGGGTTGATTGATGTCGGAACGTGCCTCCACTGACGGGGGTCCGACAGTGCTTGGATCTTGCTGACCCTGTTGCCCACCTCGACTTTGAAACGGCGGCTGTGTGACCGAAGCCAGTACAGGACATTGAGGCTATCACTCCAGTACGTGATGTCGGACGAGCTGATGCCGAGGGCTTGGGCGACTTGTTCGGCTACCTCGGCGCCGAGTACAGCTGCTCGTAGCTCAAGCATGGGGATCGACTGTCGGTGTAGCGGGGCTGGTTTAGCCTTGGCCATGGCCAGCGTGGACCAAGCCATGCCGTCTGGATAACTCGCCCGTACGTAGACTGCTGTTGCGACTGCTGCGTCGGATGCGTCAACGAACACATGGAGGCTGAGCTCTGCATCGGCCGGATCCCGGTCTGGGTCCTTGAATGACCTGGTGGCTCTCACGGCTTCTAGCTTGGGCAGTTCCTCGAAGAACTTCCTCCAACCCTTAGCCTCAGGCTCTGCGAACTCCTCATCCCATTCCAGCCCGCGGAGGCAGGCGTCCTGGAACATGACCTTTGCTCGGATGGTGTAGGGTGACACTTGCCCTCGTGGGTCAAACAGAGAGGCCATCTTGCTCAGGACAGTGCGCTTGGTGTACTGCGTGATGACGGGCACCTGGTACTTGAACGTGAAATGGTCGCTCTCAGCATCCCAGGCGACTCCTAGCGTCTTCACGCAGGGTAGCGTGGGGTGTTGGTGGTCAGCTACCGAGATCAGCGTGTTCGGCGCCCGGTCGGCTTCTGGCACAGACTTCATGACCTCTGCACTGTTCGACATCCACTTCCGTAGATGGAAGCCTCCCTTGGCCAGTGTCTCCTGGACGTCAGTACGTAGGCCCACCGCCGCCTCTGGCGTTGGCGCAGACGCGAGTAGGTCGTCCACATAGAGGTTGTCCATGATGATGGTGTGTGTGGGTGACCCTTCGGCGGCATAGGTGGCCGCGACAGCCTGGACGGCCTTTCCGGCGAGGTATGGCGACGCCTTACACCCGAAGCACACTCGCTGGAATTCGAACACCTTGGCTCTTCCGTCGACCTCCCACAGGAATCGGTGATACCTGCGGTCTCTCTCAGCCAGCTCCACTTGCAGGAACATCTCGCTGATGTCTGCCATCAGAGCCACAGGTTCCTTACAGAACTTGAGTAGGCAACTCACGATGTTGTTCTGTAGTGCTGGGCCGGCGTGCATCTCCTCGTTGATCGAGACGTCGTTCTTCTTGGCCGCCGCGTCAAACACTATCCGCACCTTGGTGGTGGTGCGGTCCTCCTTGATCACGGGAAAGTGGGGCAGGAACCACTGGTCATCCGCATCGTTGTGCACTTCCGTCTCGGGCACCTCGCGGATATACCCCTTCGTCAGGTACTGTTGGATGACACCGGCGTACGCTGCTGCGAGCTCAGGTCGTTTGTACAGGGACCGTTGGAGACTCGCCAGTCGTTGTTGGGCCATCGGTCTGTTCGAGGTCACGTGAGGCTTTCTGTCTTCAGCGACCCACGGGATGCCAATGGTGACACGGTTGTTGTTGAGGCTCATGGTGTCGTCAGTCACCTTCTCGGCTTCACGCTCAGCTCGAGACATGGTCTCTCCCGTGGCTGTAGAGCGGATGGTGTCTAAATTGAACATGCTACGCACCATGGCATTCAGCTCCAGGGTTGGCTCGGTGGGCTCTGCGGTCGCGGCATGTGTGGCGTGGTGGACGGTTGGTTCCGCCGATGTTCCGCTCCCCTCCAGGAGACCGAAACAAATCCATCCGAGTGGTGTCTTTCTTGCGATTGGACCATGGCCAGGCCCACGGCGTTCGGCTAGCGAGGTGTGCAACTGTGGAACGTCAAGGCCCAGTAGGATGTCCACAGTTGGGTTAGCTGGGGTATCCGGATTCATCCCGCGCAGGTGTGGCCAGCTTGCCTTCTGCGCATCCCAGTCCACACGTTGCATGTCGGCGGTTATCTGAGGGAGAACGACCGCCTGCACTGGGGTTGTTGCAGTTGAGTCTTTGTGACAGATCTCTATGGGAGCGATCCTGGACTCGTGCTGCAGACAGCTGCCACCGAGAACAGTCGTGCGCACGGACGTGGTCTCACCGGGTGGGACATTCAGCTTCTCAGCCATGTCGGTGGTGATGAAGCTGCAGGTGGACCCAGAATCCAGCATGATCGTTGCTTGTAGCTCGACGTCTCCACATCTCACTGTCCCCACAGTCGTCATCAGAGCTGGTAGGTTTGCTGGGGTTTCGGCATGCAGGGCGCTCGCTGCACAAGCCATATTCGCGGTGTTGGTGCGAGCGGCGTTTTGTTGGCTACCGCTGCTAGGCCTGTCAGAGTCGTCCCTGTGGAGCAGCGTGTTGTGCTTGCCTTTGCACTTCCTGCAGTGGCTCGAGGTGCAATTTCTGGCGAAGTGGCCGTCCTGTAGACAGTTCACACACAGGCCCAAGAGGCGCACCAGCTCTGATCGCTTCTGGACGGGTAGCTGTTGGAACTCCTTGCACTGCGCCATTGCGTGCTCTTCCATGCACTTCCTGCAGCTCTTCTTCTTCCTTGGGGAGTCAGAGGTGGCGTCGCGGGTAGTGCCCGCTGTTACTGCGGCCAGGGTCGTTGACCTTCTAGGCGGTGGGGTTGGCTGAACGGCGGCCGTCTTGGTGGAGGTTGGTGTCACCAGAGAGGCGGCTTCCGCTCATTCGGCCAACCACTCAGACAAGACACCAAGGTCTAGTTCATCCGTACTAAGGCCCTTGGCCTTCACATACTCGCCCCACTGCATTCGATGGGGGAGCGACAGCTTGGCCACCAGCTCATCACGGAGCGCAGGGTTGTTCCTGTGGCCATGGCTCTTTAGCAGCTTCATAGTGAGGACGATGTTCCTCACAGATGTGGCCAAGGAGTGCAGGGCGTCCGTGTCCTCTGCTCTGGCTGGCTTCAGCGCCTTGGCCTGCTCGATTAGCTGTTTCACTACCAATTCCGGCCGGCCGAAACGACGCTCCAGTGTCCGGATGGCCTCGTCTACATTGTCTGGCACGGCCAGGAGCAGCTGTACTGCCTCCTGGGCTGGTCCCTTCAGGCAGGTCTGCAGGCGCTGGACGTTCTCTGCGTTTGAGTATGCGCATTGCTCCGTGCTGCTTCGGTACAGCGCGAGGAACGCGGGCCATTCCTCCGGCTTGCCAGAGAAGATTGGCAGCTTGCTGCTGGTGGATGACTGGCGTGCAGCCAGCTGTCTGATGCCAGCGTTACTATTCTCGACCTGGGAGGTCTGCCCTTGACGTAGGGCCTGGGTGATTGCACCTACAAACTCACTGGCCAGGTCTGCCATCTGACGCGCAGGATTGCTGTTAACTGTGCTGCCAGTAATAGTACCGGTAGTAGAGGTACAACCACTCATGTACGCGTCTTCGACCTCACTCGCATTACTTGCTGCGCCCTTACCACCGGTACACGTCTCCGTAGCTCTGGCACTAGAGTATCCACGTGGCCCTGACTCTGAGTCGGAGTCTGAGACTGTCATGTAGCCGCGTGCACGTGCACTCGTGTCGCGACGGTGCTTTCGTGGTGCGGGTACTGGCATGGATGCGTGTGGGTGACTGGGTGACGTAGTGCTCGGGATACCGCTATGCCTTGTGCTTGCGGTCGACTCGCAGCGCTCACGTCTCTCCTCGTGGACCTGTGCAGGCTGTGGTTGCACTACCGGTAAGCCTTGTACTTCTCTAACAGGCTCAGTGACACTACCAGACTTCGGCGCTCGTCGTTGTCTGGCACGGCTTTCTCGTAGGGCATACTCCGCTGCGAATAGCCGCTGCCTCAGCTCTGTCATCGATCGGGCCAGCTCATCGTTGCGTTCTCGTTCTGCCGCAAGATCCCTGGTTTGCTTGTCGCTTGCTAGCTCGACCATTGCCCTACTCACCTCAGCTTCCTCTAGGTTCGTCTGCAGTGCGTAAGCGTCTCGCTGGCGCCGCTTCTCGACGATCGCGGATTCATCGATCATCGTCTGAAGCTGTAGTAGTTGCTGCTGATACGCAACTTCCTTGGCCCGGAACTCACGTTCTACACTGCGTAGACTACTGCCAGTACTGGATCTCGGCAGTTGCTGACGCTCTACGAATGTCCTATCCCAGGGCTCGGGCCCTATTCCCCGCTGAATGGACTCGCTTAGATAGTCAGCGTAAGTGGCATCGGCTACAACAGCAGTGGTGTGTTCAATCGTTCTTTGAAGTACCTGTGTCTGTGCCTGTGCCTGCGGTTCTGGTTGATGAAACGGAGGTTCATTCAGGTGTTCATGAATCGGATCTTGGACTACGCATGGCGGTGCCTGGTAGTGGTAGCTGTGTGCCGGAGTGAATGCACGGACATGCTGGACATCTGAGTCCCTCTCTACATGTGCGTCTATCACTACGTCTACCGGTGGTGGTGTGCTAGCCTGACAGGCCTCTGCATGGTGTAGACCTACTGCTGATTCTGACGTTACGTGCGTAGATCTATGGGAAGCCTCTCCTTCTGATGGCTGAGATTCTACACCGACTACCGTGTGTGACTCTGTTGGTGTTGGAACAGCAACTGAACTAGGTGCAACTACATCATCGTCAAAGTCGATAAGCGACGTATCTTGGGCTGCAACCGCCTCATGCAACTCACCCGCTTCCTGGAAGACTTCTTCTCGCATCGCAGGAGAGCTGGAGGTCTCAACGGACCTTTCCCTCAACGTCCCTTCGGCTTCCGACATCGCCTGCTCCGTCAACCGGGCGATTTCCAGCCGCTTTTCCGCCACAGCCTGTTCCGCTTGTAACACGGCTATCCTGGCGCTGAGCCTGTCAGCTGAATTCGCGGTGACGGCTTGGCTCCTACTTTCGGTCATCCTGTCATCTCCACCACTAGCACCAGCGTAGGACTGGGTGTCTGTGTACCCGAGTTTTGGCGCTGCGACGCCTTTCGTCGTGCGCTGACTCCGCCTGAGCTTCTCCATCGTGGACGTGATCCGGCTCGAAGGACCACTGTGTTCCGTATTCCCAGGAACCAGGTTGCATCAGTACCGTAACTGTAATACCGACTGCGGATACTTTCCGAACCCACGTTCAACAATGGAGACAAACTTTACTGGTTCGAGTTCTCACTCTCAAAACACCAACTCCATCTTGGATTATCTTGGATGCACTCTAACAATGCCCTAGCAAAACCTATCAAGAACCTAGCTAGAACTGACTGTAGAACAAAGAATACACAGCTACATGTATAAGCAAGCGTCGATGTGTATAGGGAGTACAAGCAACACTGTCAATGGTGAATGCGTGACGTAGTCTAATGAGTACGTGTTGGCGGTCAGACACTTGACCTTATCGTATTATGGTATGAGTCATGCACATGTATGGAGCTTGAGGCAGTCATGCATGGCTACAGGTGTAGTGCTCGATGAATGCACGCAAAGTGCAGTCCTGTAATGTGACCTGTTGAAACCTGAACGGTACCAGGCGTCACCACGACTCCGACCGGTTGTAACTTTTCTATTTCTGTCTGTGTGTCCATACAGGGATGGGGTGATGATGACTTTGAGGACTTCTAATGCACGCATTTCTGCCAGTGGCATGTGTTGCTCTACTCTGCTGTGCAGAGGCCTGTCTCCCTTCGCTTTGGCAGCCACCAGCAGCATCGTTATTATGCATGCGCAGCAGCGCATTGGGAGAATTAACAGAGGTTGAGCCTTCTCGAACAACGACCTGTTCGTTTTTCAGTGTTCATATTTATGGATAGCTTTATCTGGTCATATTTAGCCATTTCCCAGAGCCAAATTATTTGCCTTTTACTCTTTTTTTTTTTTTTTTTGCTCGGTAACACGAGAACCCTAGGTCGTATGATTGCCAGTGCCATCGAAGCTGCTTTCTTGCTGACCTAGCGTTCCCGGCATTTTGCCTGTACAAGTGTACATACTAGCATAGTGATGTAATTATACTGTACATACGAATATAGTGATGTAATCGTTGTTGTCTTGTCCAGATGTCCTGTAGAACTTTATCTCAATGTACATAGGCCCTCAGTACCCCCGTGCCCCTATCAGTGATGTCGGACATCTTTTTTAAAGGCTTGTATGTTCCTTTCTTATCAGCATGGCGAGTATCTAGATTTGTATCCTCACCATTTTCTCATCATTTTGTGGCGAGCACTCCTTTTTTGGCACTCCTTTTACTGCATCGACCTGCTATTGTAGCCTTTGCAGTCACTTTGTAGGAAACTTTAGAATCTCAAACTGAAGTTGCCTGCACTACATCCCTTGTGTTTGGTTCCCGTCTTTTTTTTAGTGTAGGGGGGGGGGGGCAGCTAGTTCAGTCGACCGGTGCACTTATGCCAGTAGTGGTTGGATCTGTTGCCAACAAACCTGGCTGCTTGAAACCTGTCAACAAGAGTACATAGCCAAATGTGTGAAATGCGACATTGTTTGGTCCGTGACGGAATTTTCCGGATAGCGATGTATTGCGACCACTTGGCTTGCTGATGCCATTGTGCTTGCGTAGCTGGCAACGATCCAAAGGGCAAAGGACTTGTATATCTCAGCTACGGTAGTCGGATCAGAACCGCGGACAGTAAACCCATGAATCCATGCATGCAACATTCCTGATGAACTGATGCCATGTTGAACATCTGTGCCAAGTGCCATGCACGCACGCAGAACAGCATGTCACAGACTCGTACACCTACTGCATGGTATGTCTATCTGGGACACTTCACAGCAGCTGGGATGACTTCTACATGCATTGCCATTGGCAAGCGAAAAGTTAATGTTGCTTCTTTTTTCCCCACTTCATAGCCGTGGCGGCGATCAACATTAGAAATTAGAATCTTACAGCTCAAGTTTTATAAGACTAGTGGTGATGTGAAAGGTTAGGAATAAATAAGGTCCCATTCTAGGCAGGGCAACTAAGCACTAAATCTCAGTCAGCTAGATCATGATTGAAGCAGATCACGGGTCATTTCCCAGATATCCACGGCTGCATTGCTGTTGAAGTTCGGAACTACTGTTACATGTTTTGGAAGCTGTCGGTGTGACCAGCAAGTTCATCAGTGTCCCTTGGTGTCGGTAGAGTTTTAGGCTAATTCTAACTAAGTGATAGACTGGGTCTACTGTGCCAGAAGATTCTCTGTACTGGGTTAGTGTTCCGTAGATCCAAAACTCAAAGTCACCACTAAGCTCTGATGACGGTATGTAAGGTGGCACCCTATGGTGCTGTAAACGCATCACCCCGGCCTAGATTTCCAGCGTCATCGCCTTCGACAAGAGGAGACTCGTCTGGCACGTCATTGATCTCACTGACACAATCTCCAGTGCCTAGCAGACCTGTGCAGCTTGCGTGTGCTGCCTGCACTGTTTGCTGTACTGCTGGTGCAATGTCATCTGCAGCTCCTGGGCTGTGTTCGTGCTCGTGCACAATCAGTGAGTCTGGACTATTGCGCAAATCATCATCCTCATTGGAGTCGTTCAAGTCCATCTGCGCTGCCACCATGGGAGCATTGTGCGAGTTCTTGGAATCCTGCTCAGTTTGATCACTGCTAATAGCACCAGCTCGGTCACTGTGCACCGGTGGATCATGGTCCTGGAAGCTGCTACAATGGGGCTCAGCAATTCCCTTGTCCTCGGTGGCACTGTCGGATGATGCACTCAATGCTCCAAGTCCAACAGTGGCTAGTGCTTCGGCACTGTCCACTGCTTCTACAGTATCCAGTGCATCGGCAGAATCCGGTGCTTCAACAGTACCCGATGCTTGAGCAGCGTCCGGTGTTTCAACAGTATCCGGTGCTTCAACAGTGCCCGATGCTTGAGCAGCGTCCGGTGTTTCAACAGTATCCGGTGCTTTGACAGAATACGTAGCTTCAGCAGTATCCAATGCTTCTGCAGCATCTAGTGCTTCAACGGTATCCATTTCTTCAGCAGTATCCAATGCTTCAGCAGCATCTAGTGCTTCGATGCTATCCTGAATATGTTCGGTCATATCGACTTCGTTTTCATTGTCCTGACAGACGTCACTCTTGCCATCGTGTCCACGGCCACTCTTGCCTGGATGATCTTGCATGGAACCACTCTCAGTCGACGTGTTAGGCTCTTCCAAGGATGGTGTGCCAGCGTCAATGAGTGCTGCCTCACTGTTATCTCCTGAATAATCCTGCTGATGTGGTATTCCCGACATACTAGTGGTGCTTGGATGGTTACTGGTGATGTCGTCCATAATTCTGCTGTCACGTGTGTCATGTTGCCCAGTTTCCTCGCTGGGTTCATCATTTGCGTTGATACAGGTATCTTCATCACTTTCTCGCAAGGTGCCCTGGCTGTTAGATTTGCTTGTCTCCTCCGTGCCCAGCTGCACCAGGGAGTGCGGATCAGTACAGTCATAGTTATTTGAACCAATGCCTGTGTTCTCTTGCACGTCCACACCTCCATTGCTAATTGTTCCGTTATCATCACACGTGCTTTCAAATACACGGTCCTCATCCTCGTCCTCTTCCTCCAGAGACTCATTCACAGATCTGACTGCTGGTGATGTGGGAGATTGCTGGCTTTCACCTGGACTGGCGGTGCGTGGTATGCGCCGCTCCCCCGATGCACTGCTTGTGAATATACACCTGACTGGAGGTATGTCGAACGGCTCATCCATTGGGTCGCTGAGCGCAATCAGCGCGTCAAGACCGGCATCCTCTTTCTGACCGCTGCTGCTGCTGTTACTGCTGCTCACGGCCTGAGCTATCTGCATGGCTGCTGAAATCTCTTCATCATTGTGCAGGCCGTGTTCCTGATCTAGGCCAATGGCCGGCTCCTCAGTTGCAATGCTCTCCGCGTTTCTCACCTGTATGGCAAAGACAAGCAAACATCCACACGCACGCGCGTGCGCGCGAACACACACACACACACACACACACACACATACACACACACACATACACATACACACACACACACACACACACACACACACACACACACACACACACATACACACACAGGCATAGTCTAGCTCCAACACCTTTGATTCAACTGTGTATCAACTGTGTATCGCTTATACCCGTAGAGCACTGCATGCCGCATGCGTTCAAGTACATCGTTGCACAGTTTACACACTACATGTCACTCACTGAAGATGGCTTATCTGCTGAAAAGCATGCCGAAACTCACAGGAGATGTATTTTAAAAGCCATTCACTGCAAATCCAATCATTGCGGTGGTTGCTCAAGCCAGATTTCCATGAAAGGTATCAGGACCTGTGAATGCTATGATCACCTTCATCTCAATACAGTACATGTACATGTATAAAAAGCATAGTTCATGAGCTATGCACTAGTAGAATGGTAAGCCAATATGTGTACATGTAGCACCGGTCACTATCAGATTCACACTCCTGTATCTACAAGTGTACCGCTGCTCCATCCATGCACTAACCAGTCGAAGCTGTTGATCGTCATGTGACAGGGAGCAATCGCGTGCCTCTGTAAGCCACTTCATCGACAGTCTGGCACGCTCTGGGGTGGCAGGTCTGGCCATGAACTGCCCGTTGAGATCTGCGGCCGCTAGCAGGCGCCGTTCTTGGACGTCGCGCATTACCATGCTCTGGGAAGAAGCAATTGCGCATGTGAAACCAATGTATTCGGAGGCGACAGACAAGATGTTTGGTATTATAATGTACGACTGCATGAACATGTAAATCTACGGCATCCATGTGTATAACTTCTAGGCCATGATATAATGTGGGGAATGTATTCACTCCAACAAGGTGGCAGTGTACTGTGATTCAGAATCACGCGCCCTGGAAGCCATGCTTCTTGGTAGATGCCCCAGTATCAGATACATGTGTGTCGCATACGCCCATGCATGTAAAAATGCACATGTGTACTGCACACTCCCATGCATGCAGCGTGTGCCGTAGAATCACACAGCCACAGTTAGCAAGCTGAAGTGGCAATCCATGCACCAGAATAACGCATCATGATTGGCCATGCAGTGTCCCTGCCACCAGAATAGTAACTGCATGCTTCGTGGGCGTGCCTCACCTCGCTGCGTGCGACCGCGGGAGTGTCATCTTCGGCATGTATCTGCATGTAGCGCGAGAAGGCCAAGTGAAATGCCTGCGCCAGTGTCAATGCCACATTCTGGGACTACAGCACAGGAAAGCACGGGCCAGCACAGGTCAACAGAGGAACACAAAGGCGCATGATTGGAACATGTCATATATTCACATACAGTATGTGTGAAATCCAGCACTGAGCCGGTCAACTGTAAAGAATGCACAAGGATTGAAAGATCAGACATACACAGTGCATCTCTTTCCTGCTGTGCAACTGAACATGCCCTGTTCACAGCTAGGGAGCCACCACTAACTCCGATAACCGATGCTCTAAGTAGTCTAAGGGCGCGTTCGAATTGTCCTCATGACCTTTTCGAGAAACATCTTAGAGGAGATTAGTTGAAGTATCCCAATAGAACGGTTGCTGTCAGCATCACTAGTTCCTTTGAATTTGTCATAGCAATGTGATTTAGACACTGATTTTCCAAGAGGGTCTCCCACGTGAAAATGGGCTTCCCTTACCGTACGGGCAAGTTTTGTTGTAGGTTCTTCGGGAAATGCATACAAAAGGCAGTTTTCGCAGGAATATTCCAACCTCTTCTAAACTAATCAACTTCTCCCATCGGATGAGGTTGTGGAGTTTCAAAAAGACTTTCGTTTTCTGAAGAGGCCAATAAGCCACCTCTTCAGAAAAACGGAACTCCTCGAAACGTTGAAGAGTGCCCCCTAGAAGTAACAAGGGGATAGGCCCACTGTGTGGATTCTTACCTCGTGGTCTGTTTCAAAGATATGAACCTTGTGCTGGCCAAGTCGGCCATGTCGGATGGTCATACCAAAGTAGATGTCATCCTGCAGTGCGACAGGGGGTGAGCAGCATGTACTGAGATTTGATAAAATACCTACTAGTACATGTTTCCTTCTCAGCATGTGGCCTAATATTTACCCTCACTGAGAGTACTAGTACATGCATACTAAGACCAATAGTACCATGTATTTAGTACCTTGTATTTTAAAATTGTCTGCCTCTTTCACTTGCGGCCAATGCTTCACTACACAACCAACAGAATTCTTAATCTCACCGGCAGTGCATGGCAATTGCCTGATACAGAGTGTATAATTGTGTGTGTGTGTGTGTGTGTGTGTGTGTGTGTGTATGTGTGTGTGCATGTGTGTGTGTGTGTGTATGTGTGTGTGCATGTGTGCATGTGTGTGTGTGTGTGTGTGTGTGTGTGTGTGTGTGTGTGTGTGTGTGTGTGTGTGTGTGTGTGTGTGTGTGTGTGTGTGTGTGAGTGTGTGTTTAAACGTGTGCACGCATGCATGTGCTTGCGTGTGTGGCAGGCACCTTCACTTACTTGCTTGTATTCGGACACACTTGAAACACGATGTGTGGCAAACTCAAATATCAACACCTGCACAGGGAGATCAATCAGATTATGGGAATATCACATAATATTATTACATATTACATAGCCAGTGAAAAACTAGTTCAGGTGCTTACTTTTAAAACTACCGTATTTGCTGGAGTATAGTGCGCACTTTAGATGTACTATTTGCTGGAGTATAGTGCGCACTTTAGATGTACTATTTCAGGCCCCAAATCGCAGGTGCGCACTATGCTCCGAATGTGAAAGTTCATGTGCATGCACTTTGAAAATTAGTGCAATGTATCCAACAATTGTGAAGTTTGCCGCCTCTGAACCGGAGCAAACCATATGACTGTGTGCACTTCTAGTGTCTACAGCCAGCTACACTGCTAACACATGACTGGTTAGAACCCCATTGGTAGCATGTGCATTACTATGATAAAATGGGAAATGGTTGATATTGTACTGTCGATGATGCTCTCAAATCTAGGCTGCGCATTATACTCCAGACATGCCTTGAATCGCCAACATGTTACTCAAAAGAGAGGGTGCGCATTATGCTCAGGTGCGCGTTATACTCCGGCAAATACGGTAATTATTGCTATGTGCTTTGCTACTCGGGAAAGGGAAGGAAATGACACTTTGGGTAAGATGTCCGTCAATAGCTGGTTGCCACTACATAACCTGGTCTTTGAAGTGAGTGCAACTTTGAAGCTATTAGTAACCCAGTCACGATGCTTGTTAGTACATCACAGTGCCTTTATGAAAAGTTCAGTAATGGCCATCCGCCCTCATATCCCTGGACGAGTCAGGTTATCGGATTTTAACTGCGTGCACACGATACGAGCTACGCCTTTTGGGTGCGAGTGTGTCGACTCACCGGCTCGTCAGGAGTGGAGTCGTCCACGAGTCGCAGGCTGTCTTGCGAAATGAAGAGCGACAACCATGGTGATCTGCTGGATGCCCGGTGTTTCTTAGAATTGCTCTGATGATGCGGGACAGTGACAAATGGAAGAATCCAGGACGAGTTAGAGTGCGCAGGGCAAGACTGCACCGTACATCATACGGTATGATGGCATTAATTGAGGGAAGGAGGGTTCCAATCCCCTTGAATTCAAATTTCTGCATAGGATCCACAAGCTCATTGTGTACTGGCACCACTGATAAGGTATGGGGCACATGCATGTGTGTTCACGCATTCTAGAATTGAAAGACTCCGAACATCAAGATGGATCATGTCATGCTACTGAAACTCTACCCCCGGCCCTTGTTCAGTGGTATGACTTATGTGCCATGGTAGTGGCACCCTTGATGATGTTACAAATCAATGCATCATGTGAGTGTGACAAAATAATGTTGCATACTGCTATTACACAATGCTAATCCGCGGCAGAAACTTGTGCCGCATGATATCTATGCTTGCAACTCTAGAACCGCTGCCATCCTCTCGTGCTATGCCCATGTGACTGTGCCAATAGGCTGTAGCTTACCTTCAATGCCGCAATGGCCTGGATGATGACATCTGAACCTTTGGCCTGCTGTGTCTCCTTGAACCCAAGATACTTCATAGGGAAACACATACATACCGGTACACACACACATACAGTCAGTATCGCCTATAGCGTTGGTGTTTGATTTTAAGCATTTTATCACTATAACTGTATAAGCGATATATTACTATGACCAATACTGCATGCAATGTATGCGAGTGGGGTGTCAAACGACTCAGCGCGCCGTGCACATACGCACTACATACATGTACATGTACATGTACATGTACATGTACTATGTCATGTACACTGTAGCTGGCTGTAGCTCCTGACACACAAAATCAGGATTTCCTCATGATGGAGGCATATTTTGGCAACTTGTACAAGCAAAACTCACCAAACAACACTCACTGGACAAGTTCTTCACGAAGAATTAATACCCTGTTCTCCTCTGACATCGCTTGATTTTTCATCAATCACTATAACCAATGCAAAAATAGTGTAATACAGGTCTTTTGAAATATGAATTTGATCACTACAGTAGTTTGGAGGCGGTGGGAAAAACAGTTTCGTAATACGTATTCGCATGCAACGACGCAAATCCACACAATTCAGTAGACACTTTTTCTATCAAACGTTTTCTTTCCCTTCTCTTCAGGATAGTACAGGGAATGTTGGAAATTAGAAAAACACATAACTATATAGTGAAAGAAAGAAAAGTCAACACTTCAACATAGGTGTTAAAAATGATTAAAGTGTTAAAAACTCAAAAACAAACAGCTGCAAGTTGTAGACAAACACGTTGAACACATCAGGGAACACTTGTCACACTTTCACGAGGTGTGACACCAAACAACTGCAACTCGTGGTACTCGTCCTCGTCGTGGCCGTCCTCCAAAATGTGCTGTGCAGTCCGATACTGGAACGCCTTTGTCTGCGTCCAGTGTAGATGTACGCATGCGCGCCTCCGCCTCGACGGGCGGGGAGCTTGGCCCATCTCAGACAAGCGTGAGGAAGCGAGGGAGACCGTCTCGAAAACCACCCAATGTGACACTGGAGCTCATAGACACCGGAAGAGTTACCAGAAGCAAGGTGAAGAGACGGAGTACTGGGGATCTGAATACGTCGATAATGGAAGTGACAACAACGATCAACAAGAGGAAACGAGGAAGACCAAGAAGTGACACGAAAACGGCCATGAAATCAACAAAAACGGACATGAAATCAACGGACGTTGGAGGTGTGGACCGGAGCAACCAACCAAACAAGCCTAACGGAAGAGAACAACGGCAGGCGTCGAAGGTGACAGAGCTAAGTGATCGGACATCGTCCATCAAGCGTCATTTGTCGGGCAGTGCTAGTTGTCGTAAGTTGTATAGTGATGATATCTTTTCGATTTTGACTCGTGGAAGGTCTAAGTTACATCTTGCTGTGTTAGAAGCTCTGTATATTCGTAAACTAGATCCAGAACTATGTGTACAGAAGGAGAATGTGCTATCGTTGCAGTTGTTTGGTGTCACACCTCGTGAAAGTGTGACAAGTGTTCCCTGATGTGTTCAACGTGTTTGTCTACAACTTGCAGCTGTTTGTTTTTGAGTTTTTAACACTTTAATCATTTTTAACACCTATGTTGAAGTGTTGACTTTTCTTTCTTTCACTATATAGTTATGTGTTTTTCTAATTTCCAACATTCCCTGTACTATCCTGAAGAGAAGGGAAAGAAAACGTTTGATAGAAAAAGTGTCTACTGAATTGTGTGGATTTGATCACTACAGGCGATATATTACTTTAGACGATTATTACTATACGCGATAACTGTGTATACTTAGTTATGGCAAATGAAAATGAATTTGAAGAATTGATCACTATATCCGGTATATTACTATAGCCGCCAACCTTATAGGCGATACGTACTGTACATGTACACATATACACAATGCACATACACACATACATGTACACATATACACAATACATGTGCATACACATACATAGTATTACATACACAATGTGTACGCACATGCACACACACACACACACACACACACACACACACACACACACACACACACACACACACACACACCACACACACACACACACACACACACACACACACACACACACACACAGACACACACACGTGCGCGCATTATGGGCACACACAGCTACATCAGTCAGTTACGTCCTGCGTAATGCCAACCCAGGGCAAGACAAGAGCATTTTGCAACTGATTTCAAGCCTGTGTGCATATCACTATGATCCACAGTGGTAGCCATGTTTATCTCAATCTAAGAACTGGACACTTCGGGAAAACTCAGTCGATGATCGCAGAATGATTGCCTGGCCCGGGATGATTCCGATTTTGAGAGCTCGGAAGACTGAGCACAAGATACCCATCTCGTGTGCGCCAGGCTGGTATCAATAATATTATCTGTCTCATCATTATGATTGAAAAATGCATTGCAAACTTACCTTGACATTGTATCGGACCGAGTCCTGCTGAAGGGTTTGGTCTTCGTGAATCCAGCTGAGCTGTACTGGAGCGTCGCCGGAGCTCCTCCTGCGCAGGCCTCGGAATGAGCCACGCAGTGAGCCGGTCAATCGCTCCCGCAAAGATTGCCGACGGCGAGGAAGCGTGCTGAATGGGTCGGCGCTTGCCATCAGTGTATCATCGATTGATGCTGCCAGCTGCAGTCACACCCCTGGTTTGCAGGAAGTCAGGACTCACTTGTGCTTATCTCGACTTCCTTCCACGGACGACAATTCGACATCTTGGCTAGCAAAAGTAATTGTCTGATCAGCCATTCACCGAATCACGGTGGCGGAGATTCTTGCCAAACATCACAACCGCTAAGCTACTTCAAGTGCATGCGCTCAATGGAGCACCGCGGGTGCTCTGTTCTTCTATCCGCGTCTCCTCCGGAACGGGGAGGTGAAGCTTGCCAGTAGATTTGCGTGCAGAATCAGGCCCTGGAAGACGTCGTTTCTGACAGGGGACGTCAGCCACAGATGAAAGGTGATCACATGTGCGAGCTGCTCAGGAATTCGAGAAGGTATAGCAAGCGACGACGTGCGAAGAGATCCGTCAAATCCGCCGTTGACCCCTGTTACAATGCAGGCCAACTACCAAGCAGGACTCGGGGTGTGGTTTGGCAGCATGGCCCAACTGGCCACGGCTAATTACTCCTTTGCCTTTGGCTACGGTAGGTGGAACAGATTGTTGCATAGTCTGGATCAAGCATCTGCACTAGATCATAATACTTGACCGATGGCGCTTGACAGGCGGTCCGAGTGAACTGGAAAATCTTACATTCTCAGAAATGTCCGGTCGTGCTCAAAAAAATCCGATGTGATGGGTAAGTCAGCGCCCTGCATCATTGTACAGCCCAGTATTCTGAATTTCTGATACATGTGCACAAATGGTATGTGCAGGTCTGTGGCTGCACAGCGCCCGCCCCGCAAGAGTGGACTTACGTGATCGGTGGGATTTCATTGAGCTGCACTGTTTATAATGTAGCAGCCCGGGACCGGCGGAAGGAGTTTTTGATTGGTACGGCCATACTCTAGGCTTTCATACTGTGTGCATGATACGGCATGAGCTCCTCGGCATGCGGTACATGTAAACACACGTTGCACGGTGGCCAGACAGTTGGTCCAGCCATGGCCTGACCAACCGGACCGGTTCCGCCAGGCCTATGTTGCCTCCAGCCATAGTGACTAAGTCCAGTGTACTAGTATGCCCAAACTTGGTACTAGTACAGTGTCTGTACAATAAGCATTAGTATACATTGATTTAGCTCGCTCATCCAGACAGCTGGTTGGCTTGAGAGATCATCGACTGCCTGGCATATCCACCCGCAGCATATAACAAGTTACTCACAGTCATACTCGCCGGCTAGCCGAATCGTCACTTCACTCTCCTGAACACATTGAGCAACCGAGCCACATAAAGCGCCAAAAAGAATTGTACGATACCAGTTGCGGGGAATATTCAACTCTGTACGTGCTATACTGTAGTGTCGCGTATAAAAGCAGGACCTATATAGAAGCATGACTCGAATAAAAGCGCTCCGTGACACAGAAGCACGATTTGAATAAAAGCCACTCTCTGCAAACTACATGTGCACGTACATGCGTGGCAGTATGCATTGCACAGTGTAGACTGATGATGTTGACGTAGAAGCATGTTTTGAATAGAAGCATACCTTGAATAGAAGCATGGTTTAAACCCCGGCTTATACGCTCGTAAGCACCTGCTTTCATACGCGACATTACGGTATGCATAATATAGCACAGATGCCATGCACCCCGGCCGCGCGTGCCATGATACTTATCAATGTTCCACGATGGTACAAATCATTTAAGAAAATGGCACACTGTACATACAGTAAGAACTGGTGTAAGCGACCTCTGGGTTTAGCGACCGTTTTTCCATGCACCGACAGTTCTACACAGACACTGTGGGACCTGGTTCTGAAGACCACCTGACTCTAACAACCACTTTTGCTTTCACCGTGGGGTGGTCGCTTTAACCAGGCTCTACTGTACATGTACATGATAGCGTGGAGGGTAAGCAACCCTTTTGGCCAAGCTCCCCACTGACCTCGTTCACCACACCAGCAACACGACTGCAAGTACTGAATGACTGGGGCTTGTGAATAGCAATCTTTCATACAGGGAACTACTGTGACAATGAAGTAGCACAAACACGCGAGTTGAGGTGACATCAGTGCCGATGCACGGAGAATAAGTGCAAGGTCACACTGATACGTGGAAGGTACTGCCGACACGCGCGCAATACTGTATAGGCGCGAAAGAACGTACTACACTGGAAACAACACACAAATAACACACACACACACACACACACACACACACACACACACACACACACTGAATCGCAAACTAAAATAAACACAACACACAGAACATTGAGGTGTCAGAGGACTAGCACGATTGTCTGTGATTGTGTGTGTGTGAATCCTCTGAGTGCTTAGATTCATGTGCACAATTTGTGGATTCCCAGTTTGCGCAGAGCCTGCTGCAAAATACAGACAACACAAGCATCTAACTTACATGCAAGGAAAGACGTTTCCTACAAGCATAATCGGAGGTTATCCATGCTAGGCAACGTCAGCGGTGTCCATGCTCTTTTCCCCAAAAGGATCTGCGTGCCCTACAAGGGTTCACGCTGTCACTGTGAAAACATGTTACCTAACAGGCAAGGCTTCCATTATAATTATTATACCATAAGGCTACATGAGCAGTTCAACCCCCCCCCCCCCCCCATTCACACACACAAACCCACCCACCCATCCCCAGCAGCAATAAAACTCCGTATTAAAAGTAGTAGATGTCCGTGTTCATGTGGGGACTATCAATATCCACGGGATTGTAAAAAATTGACTACTAGTAAAAGCAAGACAGGGATTACAGACAGCAGAATAGCTGGGAGCTAAAATAAAGCCTAAAGATGACATATCGCACAGTAAATGCTGAATAATACCAAAATAATATGATTGCACAAACGTAGAAACAAATTCTTCATAAAGCAAAGCCCGAAGTAGGGCATCTAATACAACCCCAGCATCACCGAGGGAGAAACCATAACACGAGCAAGTCTAAAAGAAACACTATACAAAGACGCAGGTAGATGTGCAGACTGCGCACAGCATCATTTAGCACAGGCAGACGCACAGCATGGCCCATAGTCCCATACACATCTCGTGCAATGGTACTGATTGCAAGTATCGGTGTTATGTCGCAAGAAAGAAAGAAAGGAAACAGGGTCACTTCAATCTTTAAGCAAGCCAAAGACAACGCAGGGAAGGATGGGGGCATCCATGGGCAGAGTTACCTCATCCTCCGCGAGGAGCGAGAGAGAGAGAGAGAGAGAGTCGGTGGCAACGTGTCCCGCGCAACTTGGCAGCATGCTTTTCTCAGCGACCGGATCGGGCGTCGCTCATGGCATGTGCAATATTGCCATTGTCAAGAAGTTCTCATAGTCAATGGTGATGACACCATTGGTGTTTGTGTCGCGCTGCCGGAACACATCCGTCAGGACCTTGAGCTGCACACAGCACTGGATGAAATCGTCCAGCTTGATGGATTGGGGTGATTCACGGCTATAACGCAGGCAAGCCAGCTTTGCAAACTCCGGGCCGAGGCGATAGCCCATCTGGCTGAAAGCGTTAATCAGCTCGCCTTGATCAATGCTGCCCGAGCGGTCGCGATCAAACATGTCAAAAGAGTTCTTCCACTGCTGTATGTATGCCCACAGCTGCGCAAACTCCTGGAAGTTGATTGTGCCACTGTGGTCGCGATCAAACATACCTAAAACAAGACCCAATTCCAGCACATGGGAGATTAGATAACAAAGAAAAGCAGCATGCGTACAAGACCTAGTGTTATTTATGGCACCATATGCGAAGTTAGTTTATGGCGCCACACAGGTACCTGCGGCCGCTAGCTTCATGCTGCAGGCTTTGCATGAACAATATGAGAGTGAAATCAGTGAATACCATACGAGGTATAATAGTCCATATTGGACACATTGCATGCGGACATCGCTATCAAGCGTGTTGCCGTACACCAGGGAGTCGTAAAATACCGTATTTTAAGACTCCCTCCTGTACACACATTTCCCATTTGTTCCCTCTCCGCTGCGTGCAGCTAAGTCATAAGCGGCCCATTTCACGACTGTCTTCCTGGCTCCGTGTTGTACACTATTTCCTTTTTCGGGTACCCTGCACCTCTAGTTCGTACGTATTAACTAGTTGGGACCACATAGCACTTCATTCTCAAGAGCAGGAGCACTTTAGCCCGCTTTCCAAACTACTCCAAAATAATGGCATTGAGTATACAATTTGTAAGAAAGGGTTTGCTCCCCACACCGGAGCTCGCGCTATTCCGCCGACTTTACTTGACACTTGACTGACTCACGACTGCCATCCAGAGCACACGACTCAAGCTCAACTGATGAGGGGTGAATTCCCCGAAACACTGTGTATTGAGCAGGGAGTGGTGCTTTCTTGTAGGTTTGCCGTGTCGAAGGTTTGATGGACTTCTCGGGTGCTCTGGATGGCAGTCGTGAGTCAGTCAAGTGTCAAGTAAAGTCGGCGGAATAGCGCAAGCTCCGGTGTGGGGAGCAAACCCTTTCTTACAAATTATCGCCGAAGTCGCAACCACTACTTCGTACTGAGTATACAATCATGTAGTTATTTCTTGTGGGGACAATCGGCAGTTCACCACCTGTAGTTCAGTTGTAATTCAAAGTGCTAGAGGCGTTGGGCTATGCAAGTACTGTCGGACAGAAGGAAACTAGTTTGAGTCTGGTTATTGCATTGTGACCAGATGCACTTTATCTTAATGTCGTGTTTTGGCATCAATGAGGCCCTGTTGTGCCCCTGTGCTTGCAATAATTATTAGGTGTCGACTATTTCTCACTGGCTGTGTTTATGGAGATGTTGCTAAACTCCATACGCTGTCTTCGAATCTTCGAAAAGTAAACCCACCCTCTATCTTGATTCTCACTAATGGTGATTACAGATTGTTGAGGTACAGTGATGCAATGTAGATTGAGTTTTCGAAACTAATTTCACTCACTAATCAGAAGGCGACATGTCTCGGGGTTGAAATGTGACCAATTTCCATTGTGGAGAGCAGATTGAAGTTCTTGCACAGACAATTGTCCGGATCGATCCGTATCCACAGCAATAAACCAGGACCATAATGTTGGATCTGCTCCATGGGGCATTCCCGGAGGGCCTGCTGCTGGTGGAGGCTGACCATAAGCAGGCTGACCATAGGCGGGTTGGCCATAAGCAGGCTGGCCGGGTTGGCCATGTGGCTGCTGGCCGTAGCCAGGCGCAGGCTGCCGAGGATACGCCATAACAGCAACAAATGTCTAGGAAATGAACGTCTTCTTGAAAAATGAAAATGCTCTGAAAAATTGAAAATCATCGGCTCGAAAAATAAATGCGTACATGTATGCGTACATGTGTTGTGCGCGTTCTGTCGATTTGGAAAATCGATCGATTTTCTTGCGCGATCTGTCGATCGACAGATCGCGCAAGGATCGATCGATCGGAAAGCGGTGGCGAAACCATTCAAAACAAATCGATCGATTTGGAGCAGGGAGTCGTAAAATACATATAATTATATGGTATTTTACGACTCCCTGATTTGGAGCAGCTCCGAAACGTCGTACAGTGTATGTTTAGGACTTTGGTGAACAGCTTTTCAAATGAAAGAAACCAGTTACGGTACCTTTTCTGAGTGCAATCTTCTTCCCCAAATAATTCAAAAATCAGTTCCTTCCGAAAATTCCATCGTGCTGGACCTCGAAGCTGAACATCATAAGCAAAATAGTCAAGCCGTGTGTCGTCTGGATATGCAGGTGTTTGTCATAGCCAACATTCTTCTGGTCCGTTCGTCCTGCCATTTTCCTGACGATCGCAATGAATACGAGCAGCTCTCATGCTCAGGTTAGTGTTTATTGACTGTCTCTGCACCCACTGCAAGGTATAATTTTTGTGATGCAGCCACTAGCCCATTGTGGAAGTAAGGGAATCACCCAGGTTCTTCGGATTCTCGTCCTGTCCGAAAAATCTCCACGTTTCAACTTCTCATCTTCCCCTCAGGCATGAGCTTGCATATTCATATTTTGTGTTTGCTTTGACAGTGCATTTCATAGGTATCGTTCAGACTTTTAGGGCCCTGTAAAATTGGTGTTTTCCTTCCCGACAGTGATAATAATCGCAATCTATAAAATACATGCGCAGTCATTCTATAGTGTGATAAAACACAAGTGTAACTGTAAGAAAAGAGAAAGAGAGAGGGTCAATAAAACAAACATATGTGCAAAATACAGTTACGGTGCTAAGGAAAGAATGTGGATGCCGTGACATGTTCTTTCTGAATGCATCGGTCTGGCTTACGCTTGTGAATGTAAACAGCATCTATGACTTTTAACTGATTGAAATTCTTTGCAAAACAAACAATACTACAATTGTAAACCGAGAATCATTATACGCCACACGACACGGGTCACTGAACAATAAATGCTTAAACCCTGCCGTGTTCTTCTTCTCATCGCCAACCTCCCCTTCATCTTCATCCTACAGCGTAAAATGAGTGAGGTGTGGTTTGAGATATGGTTGTTTTTTTAGTTGCCGTGAGAGGGAGAGACAGAGAGAGAGAGAGAGACAGAGAGAGAGAGAGACAAAGACAAAGACAGACACACAGACAGAGAGAGAGAGACAGAGAGAGAGACAGAGAGACAGAGAGAGAGACAGAGAGAGAGACAGAGAGAGAGAGAGAGAGAGAGAGAGAGAGAGAGAGAGAGAGAGAGAGAGAGAGAGAGAGAGAGAGAGAGAGAGAGAGGGAGAGAGAGAGAGAGGGAGTGAGAGAGTGAGGCTCTGTCGTTCTGGAGATGTGTTGGCGGTTTTCTCTTTCACCTCTCTTTTCTCTTTATAGTTTTTCACTAATTCGTCATTCAACCCAGAGCTGTGTTTGTTGGCTGGTCGACCACAGGATTTTGTGTGGGGTTGTTCTGGAGTGTCGGACTTTTGTTGTAGTGTGACTGTTACAGTCCTCAAACACATGTAGTAGACACACTACTATAAAATACACTAAAAATGTACAACATGCGCACATTTCCTGGATTGATCAGTGTGGATCGATGGCAATACAGTTGTAGTCTGTAAGCAAACAGCGCCATTTTGACTAGGGTGAAATGGTTAGATAGGTTAACCGGTTATGTAACCGTTAAGAATACACGAACAGTTAACCATATGCATATGGGTTAATCGGTTATTTTCTTTCAATGTCCGCTGTACATAATATACGTGACAGCATGTGCGTACCCTGTCAGTACTGTGCACAATGGATGTACGGCGTGTATCTCCCTCATCTCTGGGGTTGCTCCCCATATTAGTGATGCTTGCGTATGCTCATGATGAGGTTGAGTTGATTAAATGACAAGGTGATGGTGCAATCCGAAGCCCAATGGAGCATACCAAATATTAAAATATGTTGAACCTTTCGTTCAGAAAGTAGTGGACATTCACGCAACTGCATTGTAAATATAAAGGGGGTTTGTCAACTGGCAACCGCTCTATTTAGTTGTTATTCACTCTTTGTTGAACCTGCTCTGGAAAACTGAGCAAAATATAATATGCATCCACTATACATATTGTAAACAGTTTCGTCTGAGACAAAAATGCGATAATACTCATAATACTCATAAAGTATACTTGTGAAGACAAAAACTTTCAAGACGTTTGTAATGAGCCTGAAATGTGTCCTTTTATGAGTATTATACATATTGTAGTGATTGTTTTGGCAGTGCGTGAGGTCATGGTACCATGGATACATGGATTTACAGTCATGTACAGCAATGGTACATGAATACAGGCTACATGTACAGTTTATCTCTTATAGGTTGTAGCAAGAGTAGATAAACAAGAGTGTGCAACTCTGGATCTCTTCTGCACAATCTGCACATACCCCTGCCTGTGGCAGCATTTTTTGTAGACGTCACCTTTTTTCCAGAAAAACGCGCATTTTGACGCAGAACAGTGTGAGAGCACGTACTGGGCACCGACCTTGTAATGTAAAGCCCGGCCAAGTGCACGATGCAAACTTTCCAAAAGACCCGCAGCGCATGCGTCATAGAAAAGATTACGTCAACAAAAAATTCCGCCACGGGCCAACCCATCCCGGAGTTGCACACTCTTGTTTATCTACTCTTGGTTCTAGCCTATAACCTTTTGGTTAACCGCAGCCCTAACTTTGACATATATGGTTTATATTATGTGCCCAACTCGCTATAACATGGACCTCTCTAAAGCATAACACTTGCCGTACCCCAGAGAATATATAGTGAGGTCTCGCCTGTAAGATGAAGTGTGATACCTAGTTATTGCATACATGTACATGTAGGTGTGAACATCATTATAATTGAATTCACGAATCAATTTCATTTCTTGGAGCTGACTGCTTTAATGTCCTCCTCGAATCCCTTCGCACTTTTCCAGTTCATTTCAAATGAAGTTGCAGGAACTCAATGAATACCTTGGGCACCATCTAAGGCTGCGTATACACGACAACGCTGGGGGTGAAAGCGCAACTAAATCCTTTCGGATGCATGGTTCATTTACACGGTACACGGAGCAAAACGTAATAGTTGTACACCAAAGCGGAAGAGAACCAAAACGCTGGCCAAGGTGGAAGAATTTGAAAACGGAAATGTTCTGCCGGATAAATTTGGGTGTGTAAACAGTCGAAACGGTCTGCTGGCCTCGTTTCCGTCACGTTTGTTCCGTTTTCGGCCGTTCACACGGATCCGACAATAAAACTCTTTTTTTTACAATTTTCGTCATGTGACGAGTGCTGGTGTGTGGCCTGTTTTCGATTATTCCTTGAGTGTGATTGGTGCTTCCACGACAACACTCGGCACATGACGAACTTTTGCGGATCCTTTGCTCCCGTGTAGACGCGAGAAAACGATACAAACCGAGACCACCTCGGATCAGCTTTGATCGTGTAAACGCACGAAAATGAAAAAAGAAATGCGGGACTGAAAACGGAAAATGGCCGTGCGTTGTCGTGTAAACGCAGCCTCAGAAGACATTAGGCCCAGTTGGGAATGTTCCTGTAAAATAAGAACATTACACTGTAATAGGAAGTGCAGGTGCCTTGAATGTACAGTCCTGCTCAATGAAATCCAGTCGTGTCACTCAAGTTTGCGCCTTGCACCATTTCGCAGCCCAGTGTTCGCAGGTCTAGGGCTGCGCAACGCCCGGTACTTGAGTGACGCGACTTGATTTCAGGATTTCATTGGGCAGCACTGTACGAAGGCAATTCTCCCATACAAACAGCATGGTGCTGCTGACAAGATGAGATTCACTAAAGTGGACTTTCTTTAGAGGATGGCTCAGCTTTTGTATACTTCTGTAGCGTCGTTCCCATGCCATGAATTTAATGATGAAATTCGTTCGCGAAACCAAGAGGCTTACATCACCTTACTATTATTGTACCTTCACTTTCTTTTACCTTTTTTCATGCAGGATTCTGAAAGCTAGAGGAATCCCACTAGCCCCAAGCACTGAGCTCACGGCTTCCAGCCACGAATCAGGCATGGTGTATCACGACATCTATATGTTTTGCATCCATTTGATTACTAGTACCGTAAAGTACCGCCAGAGCGCCCCACTATCTCGTCCTTTCGTGGTCGTATTGTGTAGGTGGTCTCCCGTCTGTAGGTCATACGACACGAACTTCGTACACATATTGCACGTTGTGCAGACAATCCGTACCTTCGAGCGGACACGAGCTCCACACAAAAACCTTCCTCTGACGTTAGTACACCATACACACTTCGTTGCATTCTGCCGTACGATTTTCCTTTCCCTGGACCCTGGCTGTAAAATCAAGGTGGGGCGCTCTGGCGGTACTTTACGGTATACCATTCACACATAACATGATCTCGCTGTGCCCATGGTGCACTGTAGACTCAACATCCCGCATTAAAGTAAGCTTCACAATCACACGTTAATGCTCCTAACATGTTATCTCGCACTTGATGGCATTACTCTATTTCTGCCTTTAGTATTAGACTCTACACTATCGCTCATCGCGTATTTGACTCTACTCTTTTTCACTGCTATTATTATGCTACGTTGATGCTCAATGTTAATATTGTGTGAGTCAAGTGTGCGCCCTGTGCCAGTTGACAGCCCAGTGTTCACAGCTGGACAACGTTCCGCACGGCATTCACTCGCTTCATTGGACTTCATTGAGCACCACTGTAGTATTCTGTGTTGGTTGATCAGCCCTTCTAGTGACGACTCCTGTCTGTCACTCTGTCTTGAAAGGGACTTTTCGGCTTTGTACTGCATGACCATTGTGTGTGGACTCACGAGTTACTTGGAGTACAATTCACTATAAACTTCACTATAGTAAAGC